AAAGAGGAGGAGGAGGAGGACACGCCGCCGCCGCCATCACCACCACCACCATCACCATCACCGTCGCCGTCGCCATCGCCGCCGACACCACCGTCGTCATCACCGTCGTCATCACCGTCGACCCCGGCACCGCTATCACCACCACCACCACCGCCGCCGCCCCGCCCGCCGCCGCCCGCCGCAAGCGCAATGCCGCGCGTGCCCGCCGCCGCCAGAAGGTCAAGCGCCAGGCCCAACAGGAGGGGGCCTCGACGGCCGGAGTAAAGGTCGAGAAGGATATATAATTAATCCAATGATAATATAATAACCGTTCCTAAACCGTTCACTATGCAGGTACCCTTCTTCTAGGACGGAGCGCAGACAAAGAAGCTTGCTTTTGCACTAGAAAGACAAGTTCTTTGGGCTGTACTGCAATGCATTCTTAATCGCTCCGTTCCTCGGCTCGGCTCCTTTTTCGAGAGTCACAATGGTGGACAAAGTATACTTCAGCGAACCGCTGAGCATGTAACCAATTGCTCAGTACATCGTACGAATCACTAGTATAGGGGATCTCGAAAGTAAACGCCAAGAACGGTAAGTGTTTGATTATCCCAGTGAAATCAACTTGGTAGACCAACTGAATTCTCCGAGATCCTAGCAACACGGCCATGGGCAAACCTCATCGAGAGACTGGTTTGCCTGTAGCCACTCGCCGTAGTGAACCGGCAGCATGCAAGCGTTATGACAGGCAGCTGCATGCATATACGTCCTCAATTGTCCCAATAAACGCTTGTCCCCAGTTCTCTATTTTTATTGGAATAAATTGGGTATATTACCCCGGATATTGGGACCTTTTACCCACTACATCAATACAATCCACCCCACCATATGCAGACCCCAGACCCCCAGTGCGATGCACAGCATCACGGACAATTAGCAATAGCATACTTTTTCGGGTTTCTAACTAGTTACGGGAACATCATCTACAGACACCGCCCCGGTCTCTTTTGAATGCCAAACCCTCCCTCTACTTGGCCATGTACTTCTTCAGCCCTCTCAGCCTATTTTTGGCCTCCTCCAGCACACTATCCTCCTTACACACGGCGAACCGGATATAATCCTCCGCCAGGTGCGTATTCTCGTCGGTATAAAACTCCGTCGGCGGGATCGCCGCGACGCCCACCTCCTGAATCAGGAACCACGCCAGCTTAAAGTCCCGCGGCCGGCTCGCCACGTGCGCCGGAAACGGGTAGTCGGCTGGCAGCCGCACCTGCGCCATGTTGACGAGCACAAAGTAACCGCCCTCGGGCTCCGAGTACGGCAGGCCCAACTCCTCCCACACCGCGTTGAACCGGTCCATCTTGCCCTTCATCTCGGTAATCGTGGCGTCCCAGAAGCCGTGCGCGTCTGCCTGCTCAAAGCCCACCGCGCACGCCTCTTGGAGGGGCGACACGGACGAGTAGCAGATGCGCGTGTGCGCGGCCGCGACGTACTTGATGAGATGCTCCGGACCAATGAGCCAGCCTGTCAAAAAAGAATGTTAGAATCGTGCATCGCTACGGCGTGGGATAATTGTGCGTACCTACGCGCCACCCAGTGGCGTAAAAGTTCTTGCCCGCAGAGCCCACCGTCAGCGTCAGCCGCTCAACCTCGGGCGATAGCGTCGCGATGCGCGTAAACGGCACGTAGTACAGCTTGTCATAAACCTCATCCGACAGAATAATGATTTCGTTCTTGACGCACAGGTCCGCAATCTTTTGTAGCTCATCTTTGGAAAAGACTTTGCCCACGGGGTTGTCTGTCAAAGTTAGAAAAGTGTCATACATGCTAGGAAGGACCACCGCGTACGAGGCGTGTTGATGACAATCATCTTGGTCTTGGGCGTAATCGCACGCTCCAGCTCATCAAAGTCCACTGTCCAGTCAGCCGCCGAGGACGTCGTCGTCGCGCCCGTGGCAGGCGGATGCAGCGGCACATAGACAATTTTGCCGCCCGGCATCTGAATATTCGAAATGTACCTGCTTTTTGTCAGCCATGTCTTCATCCTATCATCACATCTCCATTCATTTCCACGCGTTTGCTTCCGACGTACTGGTCAAAAAAAGGCTCAAAAATGATAACCTCGTCACCATCCTCTAAAAACGCCATAAACGCGCTCAGCATGCCCTCATTGGCGCCCGTCGTAATCGTCACCTCCGTCTCCGGATCAATCGCCCGTCCCCAGTGCGGCGAGTACGAGTCGGCAATCGCCTTCTTCAGCCGCGGCCTTCCCTTGGTCGGCGAGTACTGGTTGCAGTCCACCCGCTCCAGCGCCTCCTTGGCCGCGTCCAGGATGAACCGCGGCGGGTTATAGCCAAAGAAACCCTGGCCCATGTTGACAATCGGCTGCTTGGGCGAGGCGGCGGCCGCTTCGTTGATGATGGACCTGGGGGGACGATGAATAGGATTAGCGCTCCGGTCCCTTCAAGGCTCATTCTTGTCAGAATTTCTTACCAAACATCTTGCTTTTGCCCGGATACCCGCGCCGCGGGCTTGAGCTTGCTGGAAAGACTCATAGTCGCACAGAGTCCTCGCGTCGTGGTGCGGAGCGAAGTCGGGGGGGTCGGAGAGATGACAGCGGCGACGGCAAGCTTGCGAGCTAAAGGACGAGTTGGCGCAGCAAATGCAGACATTCGCGGGCAATTAAAGAAATTTCGGCTACGAGCTTAAGCAGCGTCGGAAACAAGACGCTGTGCTGGTTGTGTTGAATTGCGCAACTTTTCCGCGGACCCTCCAACGTGCGTGATGTTGGGGTTGGCGGGGTTGTTTGGGCGGCGAGAGCCGTTATCGCAGCAGCAGCTAGAGCCTCTCATAACCGAGTGTTACTAATAAGCTGCAAGCACGCCATCGCACCACGTTCTAGATCCATTGCGCCGAAAAGTCTTGTCGGGCTTGAAATGTCCATAGATAGAAATAGATGATTGAATCTCAATTGAGCAAACGTGTCCCCTCTGGGGGATAACTCAATACTACACAAGCCAAGGCTGTTTGGCTGCAATACCGTATACACCCGTCCGAGCAGAGACGGCAAAGGCCTCGCCAAAGGACGGAATCGAGCAAAGAAAGTGAAAACAAAGAAAAAAAGGAGAAGAAAAGAAAAGAAAAAGAAACCGCCCCCCGTTTATTGCGCCATATCACCTCCCGCACGCGTTGAACCCTTTCATACTATGTATTATACGTCCCATAACCATAAAACGCCGGGTACCAAGAATAACAAAAAACAGCCCAATCGCTGAGGGTAGGGGTCATCATTCAACCAGAGCAAAGCAGGCCGTCATCTTCATCGCCAGCGTACAGTTCAAAAATTGGCACAAGTGCCCCGTATGAGTGTCGACATCATCCTTGTTGGGACGCTCGTCGCAGGTTCCGCATCATGTTGTCGACGAATTCCATAGATTCTCGGCCTGGAAAATCAGGAAACTCTTGCTGATCCATCTGCGCATGGTACTTCTGTTGCGTGGTGGCTGGAAGAGCAGCCGCGGGCGTGGGAGCAAAATGTACATTGCCGGTCCACTGGCTTGTTTGCCCGTTCTTCAACGCCGAGGAGTGTTGCGGCGTCAACCCAAACGAGGGCAGAGGCACCGGCGTCGTGGAGATCTTGGCAACTTCAGCTGGCTTCGCAGGTTGGTGTTGTATTGGGGTCGTGGCGACCGCGGGTGTCGCCGATAAGGGCGATGCAGACGCGGGCTGCGTCTGGTTCGTTGGCACCCCAGTTACCGGCGTCGGTGTTCCCATCGCCGCAAGGAATCCTGGTGGCAGCGGCACAGGTGACTGTTTCGCTGGGATCTTGTAAGATGCGCCCTTCTGAGGTGCCGCCTTCGGTTTTTCTGCTTTTTGTGCTGGCGCTAGAGGCCGAAGTGCGTTCCGTGCCATAGAATATGGGTTGCCGTTCTGTAGGTTGCCTGCCTGGGGTGTAGATGGGGTATAGCTCACCCGTCGCATGATGTCGGCCTGGGGGCCAGTGGCCATCAGGGTGGCCTTGTAGTTGTATTCGTAGCCATTGATGAAACCACCATAGGTCGCGTATGGTGTGCGATACCGGTACGGCTCTCTGTTGTAATGAACCTGGAAGAACTGATACGTGTAATACACAGACGGGTGGACGGTGTACTTGGGTCCCTCGGGTGGCATGTTGTTCCAGGTCATCTGCGCTGGCTGGTGGTGGGCTGGCGGAATGTTGTACGAAATTTGGACATGCGCCACAGCTGCCTGGGGAGCAGGTGCAAAGCGTTGCTGCGTATAGGGTCTGCCAACGACCATGTTTCCAACAGCCAGAGGCGGGATATAGCCTCCATTATATTGTTGGTGCGTGGGACCGGCTGTAACACCTTGCTGATGGTACTGCCGGTATCTGGGCGCTGCAACAGGTTTTGGTGGCTTGGGAAGGGTATCAAGGAAATTGCTCCTCGGGTTGTGTCGTCGATTGCGAGCATCTTCGGTGTATTGAGCCTTCGCTTCTGTTGAGCTCTTGCCAAGATAATGCCACAGCTGATCTTGCTTGCGCAAGTCGACCTTGACCTGGTCCTTATTGAGCACCTCGTCATGGAGGTTGAATTCGGCCCATGTGTATCCTTCAGCGAAATCGTCATCCTTGCGCGGCTTGTCGTCATCCTGTCTCTTGGCATTGATGCGGTTTCTAGCCTTTTCTGAGGCAGGCAGTGGTAGGGCATTTGGTGATGCCTTGGGCAGGTGGTAGTCTAACGGATCGGGTATCAGAAGCCACTTCCATTCGATTTCGACGCGCTCGCCACTAGGGACGATGCTAACAAGGAATGTCTCTTCGTCGCTGCGATTCTCGATAACAAGACCAGCAAGTATGTCGCCCTTCGCGTACTGAAACTGGCAGATTTCATCAGTTTTGACAGCTTTGGCCGCCTGATGAATGCGATGGTCGCCTTCCAGTGCCAGGCCATCGAGCTTCTTATCCCTTCGCGTGCGGTGGAAACGACAGCTGAACTCAAAAGCCTGTTCTTTGTACTCTACACCATCCTGACCATAGACGGGGACATCCTGTTCTTCAATAAACACGCCAGCGGCGGCGGCGCATGTTGCATGGTACGCCCTGGCGCACTTGTTTTGTGAGCATTGGAAGCAGGCACCACGCTTGGAGCGACAGAACAAGCACTTGAGATCCAACCTGTCCCTATGGACATTATTGACATTGCATACGACATCCTGTCCATCCACCGTATCAATGTATGTTTCGGGGATGAACAAGGCGCACATTCTGTGAGCCTTGCGGCCGTCGTTGGTGGGCAGGACATCCATGCCAACAAAGTCGTTGGGGCAAAGGCAGCAAGGAGGGTTTGCCTTCGTCTTCAGCCGTAGGCGGACCTTTTTGATCTTCATCCTTGGCCCCTTGTCGCCGCCGTGTTTGCGCTTCCTCGCATCCTTGAACTTGACGCCACTGGAGGGAGGTGAAGGCAGTCCCGACATGTCTTCGTCGTCGTCGTCGTCCTCTGTCTCCTCGTAGTATTCGGGTGTCGGTTCACCCCGCAGTTTGCGCTCAATTTCGTAGACGTCGATCCAGACACTGTCCTGTGCCTGTGAACACTCGCATCGCTTTGCAATTTTGCCCATCGGTAGCCACGAGTCAAGAGCAAAGTTGACGGCTTCGGCACAGTTGTAGCCTAGGTTGTAACCAGAGTGATAGCCATAGGGATATGTGACGACGAATTCTCCTGGGTACGAGAGGCACTTATTCACGCGAATGCCGTAGTGTGACAAGAGGTGCTGAGGGGAAATGAGGTAACCCTTGTGCCGCAGGAACTGGCTACACGACTTGGCATCTGCGGGCCAAATACTCTTCATCGCCCTTTCGAATTTGGGGGCGTCAGCTTGCGAAATACTGTACCATTGCTTTGGTGCGCCAAAATGGAGATAGTTGATGCTGTAGAGATCCACGTCCTCGAGATGCCAAGCAAATGTGGCTTTCCACATGCCAAGATAGAGATATGCGGTGTTGACGCCAGGAATCTTGGTGCCGAGAACGTCGAGAAGATTGGGCAACTTGTTCAAATTCCAGATGTCGGCAGAGTCTTCGAATAGGGTTCCCATCATGTCAGCGCCATATAGAGGAGACGCGTATGTCAGGGTTTTCCAGTAAGCTCTCTCCAACTCCTCGCACCGTTCGGCAGTGTAGTCAGAAATGTCCATCTTGTAATCAAAGTCCTTGAATGCTTCCTCATCAATGGCAACGGAGCCCTCACGGCGGCCGTTCTTTCTGCGTGCTGAAACAGACTGCGTCTTTTCCTTGGTGGATTTGGCACCTCCTATGCGTCCGGACATTCGGCCAGGCGCGGACGCAGGCTCTGCCTCAAGTTCTGCCTCTAGCGCTTCAGTTTCGACGGAGTTGATGATCTCGGACTTGTCCTCTTGTGGCTCTTCAGCCTCGGACTTTGGCGACACTGGCGTCATTGGTCGGTCCTCTTGTTCGGCCGTTGCCTCGTCCTTCTTAGACTTATTCTTTGAAGGACGGCCACGACCACGCTTCTTGGGCACCGCCAGCTTGGATTGTTTCGGCGCAGCGGGCTTTGCTCTCGGAGGTTTCGGTTTATCCGTGTTAGCTCGTCGCTCACCACGGCGGGCGGGCGGCTGGTGCTCGCTCTGGTCGCATAGCTGACGCCACTGTGGAAGGTTGTACGATCGGCCGTGTAGAATGTTGACCTGTCTGTAGGTTCCGTTGGAGCCCATAATGTCCTGCTTGATGGGTTCGCGGACGCGGATCTGCTTGATCATTTCATCGAGCTTGGGCTGCGTGTCCTTCCATTCCTGTGGCGGAATAATTTTGATGATGCCAGACTTCATGCCATAGCTGTCGACCTTGTTCATCTGTCGCGCGTCGCATGGTTAGCAAGAGAGGGATGGGCGGGGAGAAGCGCGGGATGGCGCTAGTCGAGGCGATAGACAAACGCACGAATTTCTTAAAATCTTTGAATTGCTCTATCGTTGGCTTGAAGACGGGTACGGTGCCGGACCAATGATCCGGTAGGACCTCTCCAATGTCATCTTGATCGCTCTCGGGGGCAGGCGGCTCGGCCGAGGCGCTCAGACCGGGGGGAGTGCTGTCGAGGGCGGGTTCGTCGTCGAGTTCGCTGAGCTCGGAGTCGCTCGCGTCTGACTTGAGTGTTTTGTTGGTGTCGGGGGGAGAGTGCAAAAAGTGTGGCTGCGGCGGATTCGAGCACTCGATGCCGTGCTTGGAGCCATCGATGGCGGGCGCTGGCGGCTGCGTGGCGACTGTGACAGAGTCCATGGCTGGCGAAAAAACGGGGGGTGGAGAGGACAAAAGAGTGGCGGATTAAAAACAAGAGCGAAGGGTGCGTTAGGTGGTTGCCTGGAAGCCGTCCATGCGAGCGGAGGGCATACGGAAGCGCAAGCGCAAGGATGTGTTTGCTTGTGGTGAGGGTTAGTTATCAATCTGCGAGTCGTCCTGCCTTGTCGTGGGAGGGTGGTGCTTGGTGGTGCTGCAGGTGTGTTGCTCGATCTGGGCCGGGGTAGTGCAGTGCTTGGTTGATGGACTTGGGCAGCGCCTCCGTAACTACCTGTGCTCCGTAGGAGGTAGGTACCTAGGTACCTAGACAGGGAGAGAGCAGCCAAGCGTCGTCATTGGTCGAGCCCTCCTCAGGTGGACTCTCCTCGCTTCTTCGCTGCTGACTCAGGAAGAGGAGCTTCCTATTTGGGCTTAGCGTCTTTCACACGCCTTGACATGTACCAAAAACTGCCCGCCGCCCGACCAGGGGCGCCATCAAAATCCTCGTCGCGGATTATTTACTCGCAAACGCCTTATTCCCTCGGCCGATACATGATGTCATTGGACAGGCAAAGGATCTGATAAGAAATGCGATGCGACAAGCCGGCAGTCCTGCCAACAGCTGCAGGGAGTACACGGGAACACACTGCCCTCCTAAAATTGCATCAAGCATGAGTCGCGAAGCTAACATACAAAGGATCCCATTATTGTAGTAAAGAAAAAATACATCTCAAAGTGTCCTCTAATACGATATCAAACTATCTGCGTGGTTGCGCACCCTACAACGGGTGGAATACTCCACCATGCATCCCGAAAATCCAATCCCACACCTCGCACTCGGCATACCCCATCTCACCCACCTGCGTCAACTCGCCCTACCAAGCCGCGGCCACTTCAACCGCGGCGTCGGTTTGAAGTGGCCACGGTGTCGACGGCTACGTCTTTGTCGCCATCTCCGTCCACCCCGACACTAGCTCGCGCTCCTCCGCCTCCGCCGAGCAGCTGCCCACGCCAAATAGCTGGCGGTTCAGGTTGCCAAACATAAACGGCAGCTCGCCCTAGTGCGCTACGCTGGAAATGTCGAAGGTGTCGTGCGGCGGCACGGCCTCGGCGCCTCGGACGAGCAGTCAAGGCGCCCGTCGGCTGCTGTTTGAACTCGTAGGCGTAGGAGCGCGTGCTCGCGACGTGTGCGGTCCGGCGCGTCTTGTACAGGCGCGCCCTTGAAGCTAGCGGCCATGAACAGTTGCGACACGGCGGCGCTGACCGCGTCGGAGACACTGCCGTTTAGCGCCCCAGCATAGGTAGAGAGCGGGTAGGTGCTGCTCAGCAATCTGGCGCCGCCATCGCCCTACGTGTGCCAAATATGTTGTAGCTTTCTTCATTCGGGACTGCCTCCAGAGTGGTGTGCTGGTAGAAGCAAGGAAAGACGAACATCTTGCTGTCATTGTCGCCTTGAGTCCTATTCACAGGCAGTCTGTTGGTGATTGCTGGGTTGCACGTTCCGAATCCAGAGGTGGCGGGCAACTGTGAGCCCACACGCCGACGTTGCTTCTTGATCAGGTCATGGTCAGTCGACGCCGCGCCAACGTCGGTCGTGTCCGGGGGCGCCATGTTTAAGCCGAAAAGCTTTGGGGCTCAATCGTCGCCCATGGGAAATGGGGCATTTTTGAAGGTATGCATCAATTTTTCGACGGACATGGACAATAGGCCGCCGAGCTACAGCGTCGATGTTAGTGCATTTGCAGGTGTCTACCCCAAGGAACACTTATATCGTGGGAAGATATATGCGGCGCCAGCCTTTTGCGGCATGTCGTACGATTTCGGGTCCTGGCCACCGTCGGACTGCAGAGTCACGGAGGAGATTAGCCGCCTGGCCTCGGGAAGCGTCGACATGACAAAGGAGTTGTCAGCGCCAGCGCTCTGGCGAAACAGTATCACCCTGTCCGGCATGCCACCAAACTTGGCAAATGTTGTCCTTGGCCCAGCTCAGGGCCCTCAAATTGCCAGAAATGGTAGCGTTGCCGTTGATGCTGGCCTCGTCGAGTGCCAGGAAGGAAGCCGTTAGCGCCAAGACGGTAATTAAATGTCACGATAATGGCATTGTGCAAGGTTACAGACGTCATGGAGCGGGTACATACGTGACGCCTCTTCCTCGTACAAGTGTACCTTGACAAGAAACCACAAGTGCTTATGTGCAGTAATGAGACATTCGTCAAGGTAGAAACTGCTAGGCTGTTAGCAAATCGACCCGAAGGAAAGTATCACGCATATCGTACCAGTCATCAGAGGAAGGGAACTATTCCCGAAGAGGTGTCTCTACAAAGCGCCAGCAGTTCTTTCCATTCATAACGCACCCCCAGGACACTCCCTAAAAAGCTTTCAGGTGACATCAATCGACCTTTGCCCAGTAGAGGCTACGCGTAGGCAGTGCTCTGAAAGAGTTGGACACGAGTTGGGACAGATGCTGGCCACCTTTGACAGTACCGGCCCAGAGCTTTGCCCGGCGACTCGGTGCGCAATTGTTGGCTAGATCACATACAGACAATAAAGCGCCGCAACATCAAAGTTGACGTATCTGAAGTCAAAAGAAAATAGCAGGAGAGTCGAGAGACAGAAACACAAAAGGAAAGTGTATTCGACATGTCGGGTGCAGCCGGGGCGAGATGTAAAAAGAAAGGTTCCAGGGGGAGTCGAACCCTCGCTGGCGGAATCAGAATCCGCAGTCATAACCGTTAGACCATGGAACCAATGAAGCAGTTTAGCCGCTACACATGGGGTCGGTTGTTTTTAGACGAGAACGGCCGCCTTATTTTGTCTTAGAAGCTAAGACAAATGCTGAGCTCCACCCAGGAACCAGCCATCCCAGCTTTATTATCACACATATCTTCAAAGCAAAGATGTATGCCTAAAATCGCCATTTCGCCCCCAGAGAGGTAACTCTCCCCAAACTTGAACAATACAAACCCCACAACTTTCCAATACTTCCAATGGCGTACCGAGTCTATTCGGTTTCGCTCGGCGCACCGCGCAATCACCACGCCATCTTTATTAAGAGCCAATTAGACGGCCCCGGCACCGTGCTGCAGGCGACTGGCAACATCCAACACGGGATGACGTTCCAAGTCAAGAAACACAATCGCCCAGAGGCATCACTCGAATTTCTCAGGAAAGAGTACCTGGGCTGGGTATCTGCCCAGGACTTGCACCGTGTCGAGCGAGTCTGCGCTGCCGTGCCGCCGCCGAAGAAGCAGTTCGAGGGCCCTAAGCGCCTCTATCCCGGGGAGCCTCTGCGGAGGTGTCAGGAGTGGACGCGAGAGGCCGTCGATGCCTTGACCGCCGCCGCCGGCATTCTGCACGCGACGGAGCAGCCCGTAGGGTCGGAGTGTGGCTCGTCGAGTGAGCCGTCATCGGGGGAAAGATGAATGCTGGATTCGAGCTTCCCAATTTGCGGCCACGCGAGATGAACGTGGACAAGGTCGGGAGATGCGAATGTAAAGCCGCTGCTACAAGGATTTTACATCGTCACTGATGGTGTTCTATGATATCATAGCATGATAAAGCTTCTTCAACGTACGAATGGCTACATGGGTTCGAACTTGGCGTTTCAATTCTTTGATGGCGCGGCGATGAACTAGAAAGAGTAATTGCCTTTCCTGTCTGTCCTAAAACCGCTAGATCAAGGCTCCCCCGACTAAATCGGCCCGCCGGAGCTGAAGATGGAAACCATCTGTGATGAGTCTTGAACTAGGCGGCCGCGACTAAGGCACCACAAAAGGCTTAACCTTCACCAAGAACTTTAGACTTTTATGACGCCTTCATCCTCTCCGCTAACAGTAGGTATGTATGAACTAATACGGATTGTTTGAGTATGTGCTAGTCGTCACGTGCGCGTCGTCGTTGTCATTGCTGAGGACCGCCATGACGAAATCGCCGGAACAACCGCCTTATGCATCGCGTGGCTTTCCGTCTAACAGCCTTTATCGCGTCTTAGTGTGTTTCTATTGGTTACCATTCTTATTGACCTTCGGCCTTGCCCGACAGGTTGTATTATTTCCCGCGTCATGCCCGTGACAGTTTGCACATGGGCGGCCCGTCTGTCATCGGCGGGCCGCCTGGCACTGGGAAGTCTCATCTCGGCCGTGCCTAAAGTGTCTGAAGATATATAAATGTATATAAAGAGCATTGTAATCTACGGTGTATGTTGAATGTTTCGTTGATCTTTCTTGGTATATCTCCTCCTGGCCGAATACGACGCTCGATTCGCACTACTCAAGATGAAGATTCTCACTGTTGTCGCGACCCTTTTGGGTGCCACAATGGCCGTTCCGCTGGCTCTTGGCGACGATAGTGGAATTACTATTGCTCATCCCGGTACCGTACAAGACATGAAGGTCACCGAGGAAAACACGCTGAACGGTACATATCATGATGCTGAGACAACGATCGTCTCCGCCGCTGTTATTTCTCGACGTTCGGGAAACCCACTCTCCTTTCAGTTCGTCAACAACTTTTCCGGGCGGGCTGTCAATGCCTACTTTGTCGGCCTGGACCCCCAAAACCGCGTCGTGTTTGTCCGACAAAACGGCACCCTCATCTACCCCAGCTCCGGCGGGTCTGGCGTGCCCGTGCCCGTCCGAGAAGACGTCAAGATTGCGCTCCCCGGCAAAGGGCGGATCCTCAACATGACGCTCCCGATCCCGCTCGAGTCGGGGCGCATCTACTTTTCCGAGGGCGAGCTGCAGTTCTCCATGGTGCGCAACGGCGACGGCGGCGACAGCCTCGTGCAGCCGTCCGTGACCAACCTCGACGACCCCAGCGCGGGCACCAACTGGGGCTTCGTCGAGCTGACGCTGACCAAGGACGGCGCCGTGTACGCCAACATCAGCTACGTCGACTTCATCGGCATGATCCTCGCCATGGACCTGGCCACGGGCGACGGCGCGCCGAAGCAGGTGACCAAGGGCCTCGCGGGCGGCGCCATGCCCAAGATCTGCGACGACCTGCGCCGGCAGGGCGCCCGCGACGGCCGGCCCTGGGGCAAGATGTGCATCGCCAACGGCGCCGGCGCCGCGGTGCGCGTGCTCTCCCCCAGAGACTACACCGTCATCGACCCCCACAGCTTCGCCGACTACTGGGACAGCTACGTCAACGACGTCTTTGCCAAGTACGCCCAGCAGCCCCTCATTGTCAACACCCAGGGCGAGGCCGGCAACGTGAGCTGCCGCGTCGACGGGGACCAGCTCACCTGCGCCGGCGACGACCGCGCCTTCCAGAAGCCGTGCGCCGCCGACATCTGGGGCTGCAACGGCGGGCCGTTTGAGAACCGCGGCAACGGCGTGCACCTGGCCGCCGTCGCGCGCATCTGCGCTGCCTTTGTCCGCGGCACGCTCCTCATGCCGGGTGGCGACGTGCAGCCGAGCCTGCCTGCCAGCGCGTACTACGGCGAGGGCCCGGCGGACCACTACAGCCGCCTCATCCACTATCACGAGGTCGATGGCCGAGGCTATGCGTTCCCATACGACGATGTCAATCCTGGTAAAGAGGATGCCTCTGGCACTGTTTCCTCTGGCCGTCCAGAGACATTGACTGTCTATGTTGGTGGCTACTCAGGGTAGGAGCTTGGCTTGGCATTCCAAGGAGATGATTATATTTCATGTAAATAGTTTGATAGATTTAATTGTACATACCTTTTGCATATTACACGTAAATACTGTTGATGGGCACAGTTGTCCCTTTCCGCACAAGTCGATGCAAATCACACATGATTCTTGAACCAACCAACGCCAGTGCTTGATGAAAGTATCATCCACAGCTCCTTCTTTTGAAGAGCAGTGTGCGCGCTAACTCCTCTCGACAAAGCTCCCGAAGCGGATGGTTTCTCAGTTGATAACTAGTTAGTTAGAGTAGCTCTCATTGGTTAGTTCCGGATATGGCGTGCGGGATGGCCATCATGAATTCCCACTTAACAGCCGATGTCGCGAGTTCTTGGCGGCAACAATTACTAATAAGCTGAGTTGGACCGCGGTCGGTGTCATATATCTCAAGGTCAGTTCGTAGAGAATCCCACCTTGAAACCGTTTTTACTTCCGTTTCCAACACACATACTCCAATATGACGGCTTTCAACATCAAGGTCGTCTCCGACGCTGTCTGCCCATGGTGCTATGTTGGCCACCGTCAACTACAACAGGCCATCAAACTCTGGCACGCCAAACACCCAGAATCCAAAGATACATTTCAAATCGAGTTCTTCCCGTACCAGCTCATGCCAGAGTTTCCCAGAGGCTCTGGCACAAGCATGGACAAAAATACCATGTACAAGGCCAAATTTGGCGCCGCGCAAAGACAGCTGGGCATCCAGCGGCTCACGGCAGTGGGCACGCCTCTCGGCATCAACTTTCGCTGGGGCGGCAACGTCGGCAACACGCGCGACTCTCACCGGTTGATCGAATTAGCCAAGAGATATGGAAGTGAAGTCGAGAAGAAGACTGTCGAGGGTCTCTTCTCTGCCTACTTTGAAAATGAAAAGGACATTACCAAGTACGAGGTTCTCGGTGAGGTGGCCACGTCGGCCGGAATTCCGGAAGGAGACTTTAAGAAGGCCATTGTGGAAAGTGATGAGTACGGAGTTCAAGTGGACAAGGCATCGGCGGGCGCAAGAGAGACAGGCATCGATGGCGTTCCATCCTTCACCCTTCAGGACCGGTTTCAGCTATCTGGAGCGCGAGAGCCAGAGGCGTTCCTCTCCCTGCTAGAGAGAGCCAAGCAGATGGAATGAACATTGTCCGGATTTCTGCCAGATGTAAATAGTACAGAGTTTAATAATCTAGTATACCTGATCAAGTCATACAGTGGCAGTGAACTTGCATGCTATTCCGGAGGAAACGCGCGCCGCCCACGGACGCGCAGCACATTCTCCCACAGAAACCTTTCTGCAAACCCAGGCACATAGAACAGAATACCCAGCTCCTGGCTCGTCCACCAACTAGCTCTGTCCATGTTTCCCGAGCCCAGTAGAAGATAGGTGTCGTCGACCATTGTCATTTTGAAGTGGCTCACGACGGGCTCGTCAGGCTGGCCCTCTCGCTCCGGACGATGCTGATAATAATATACTGTCAACTGCCCCAGGGGATGAGGCTGGGCTTCTAGATCGGACCGGGATCGACGATCATGTATACCTGCCAGTCTTGAGTACTCCTTTATCAACTTGTTGATACAACGACTGGTGGTGGTTCCACACGTGGCCAGCTGCTCGAGAAGCATCATGGATTCATTGGTCCTGATTTCAACTGACACGCCTCGACCGAGTGCGGCAAGTATTGCGTGCATCACAGGCTTGGACGTGACATTGGGCGTCACAAGCACAACGCTGTGCTGGGCGTTGGCGAACAAGGTCAAAATTGCAGCGTTCAGGGGTGTCACTGGTGGGTTCGGTTTCCGAAGGAAGGGAATCCAACTGAAACCAGGATTCCGATGGTGAGAGGAAGGCAGAAGAATTGTGGGAGTCGACTCTAGATTCACCTTGACCGATTGAGTTGGCGACATGGTATCAACAGTGCCAGCAAGGTCCGCAGCGGCGTGCCCACCAAGCGATGCAGTTGCAGGTCGGTCCATGGCCGTACCGTTTGATTGCATGCGATGCGTCAAAGTCGCATCTCGGGGACTCGCCCCGAAACCCCAGACGCGCTCATGGAAGGACAGCAGAGACTGCACAGCACCACCGTGCAGCTGCACGCACCCTTCGAACCACTTCTCCCAGCTGACGTTGCAGCTGGGAACCCATGCCTCGGCTTCATCGATAATGAGGTACTTTGGATGCATGACACTAAAAGGTGTGAAAAAGAGTGTCTTGACAGTCAGCTCAATCGACCCGCTCTGCAAGGTCTGCTGATCCGGCAGCTTCAGCGCCTTCCACGCCGAGGGCGGATAGACATGGCCGTCTCTGGACGAGGTGTGGAACAGCTTCTGTACCAGGCCACGCGAAGAGAAGCCAATGGTGATGCGCAGCGGCGGCAGGTCGCTCTGGCTGGCGCGCGACGCCGCCAGCTCAAAGAGCGTGGCGCGGATGGAGTTGGCCGTGGGCGAGTCGGCCCAGAAGCAGGTGACGAGATGGACCGACCGCTTGGCGCTGCGGATGGCGGGCAGGAGAGCGCGCTCGTAAATGGTGTGCCCGGTGCCGACGTACAGCTCGGTCAGGGTGCTCGTGGTGACGAGGGGCGCGAGGGTGCCGGCGCTGTACGCTGGGAAGTCGTGGGCTTGCTCATGTTCGTGGGCGCCAATGAGATCCCGCCAAGGGTCGACAAAGGACGCGGGGAACTGAGAGGCCATCTCGCCTCGATGGGGGACGGCGAAGGGAGATGGAGCGCGAAAGTGGCCATGAAGCTGGGTTGATGGCGATGTCCTCACGAGGTTCTACTCTGTATTACCATTGGCAGCTTTACAGGGATTTCTTTCAGCGGTCGCCATCTTCTGTAGGCGAATTTATAGCGACAATCCCCTATATTATAGGGCATGTAGCGCTGCGGGACCACCGAAACACACGCTGGAGACACCTGAAGAGCCGCTGTGGCGAAGCCTCCAGGTTTTTCACCGCCTTGGCCGCGCAGCTCCCGGCAGAACAGTGTCCGAGGATGCCCCTCAGGACTCGTCACCACGCGCGATCCGACACCAAACCCTTGTCCAGTAGTCATTATACGGTTGTCGCCAATATGCTGTCCGGCGTGCTAATATTCAATCAAAAAGGCGAAAACCTCATCTTTCGCGCCTTTCGCAATGACTGCCGGCCGCGCCTCGCGGATGTCTTTCGCATCCAAGTGATATCCAACGCCCAGGTCCGGTCCCCTATCCTGACGCTCGGCAGCACGACCTTTAGCCACGTCAAGCACGAAAACATTTACCTCGTCGCCATTACCAAAACCAACGCCAATGCCGCGCTCGTGTTTGAGTTTCTGTACCGCCTGATACAGCTGGGCAAGGGCTACTTTGTCAAGTTTGACGAGGAGGCTGTCAAGAACAACTTTGTCCTGGTGTACGAATTACTGGACGGTAAGAGTCGTCGGAGCAGCAATGGCCGTCTTGGACGAGACTAACGCCTCCAGAAATCATCGACTTTGGCTACCCCCAAAACACGGAAACCGATACGCTGAAAATGTACATCACCACAGAAGGCGTCAAGTCCGAAGCGCGACCAGAAGATACATCCAAGATTACAATGCAAGCCACAGGCGCCTTGTCATGGCGCAAAGCCGACGTCCGCTATCGGAAAAACGAAGCGTTTGTCGACGTCATCGAAGACGTCAACCTGCTCATGTCGGCGACGGGCGCCGTGCTGCGCGCCGACGTCACGGGCCAAATCGTCATGCGCGCGTACCTCTCGGGCACACCGGAATGCAAGTTTGGCCTCAACGACCGGCTCCTCCTCGATAACGACGGCCTCAAGTCGCTCGAAAGCGGCAACAAGCTTGGGTCCAAGGCGACCAAGGCGGCGGCGGGCAGCGTGACGCTCGAAGACTGCCAGTTCCACCAGTGCGTCCGGCTGGGCAAGTTTGACAGCGACCGCATCATCAGCTTCGTGCCGCCCGACGGCGAGTTTGAGCTCATGAAGTACCGCGCCGTCGAAAACGTCAACCTGCCGTTCAAGGTGCACGCCATCGTCAACGAGGTGGGCCGCTCCAAGGTGGAATACAGCATCGGCGTCAAGGCGAATTTCGGGCCCAAGCTGTTTGCGACCAATGTCATTGTCCGCATACCGACGCCGCTCAACACGGCCAAGATTGTGGAACGGTGCACGCAGGGCAAGGCAAAGTACGAGCCGAGCGAGAACTGCATCGTGTGGAAGATTGCGCGCTTCACTGGCCAGAGCGAATACGTGCTGAGTGCGGAAGCCCTCCTGACGAGCATGACGAACCAACGGGCGTGGAGTAGGCCGCCTCTGAGCCTCAATTTCAGTCTACTCATGTTTACGAGTTCGGGTCTTCTTGTGCGATACTTGAAAGTATTTGAGAAGAACAACTATTCCAGCGTCAAGTGGGTGAGATACATGACGCGGGCAGGCTCATATGAAATACGGCAAGTCTTGGCATCAAATGTCTCGTCGCTTTGGCTAACATGTTGTCAGATTTTAAAGATTTTAATGAATGCACAACCATGGCACTCTATAAGGAAGAGGCGTAATATATTATTGTCTATAATATGATTGGACTGGTATACCCTACCCTGAAGTTTGATGCAAAAAAGCTAGAGAATATGCGGTTGCCCAGTCTGTTTGGGTGGACATCCTTGGGCTGTCTGTCAGATTGCAAGTCTGCGATACATCTTATGCCCTCTTGATTCGCCCGATAGTGGCGCCATTCCCAGTAGAAGCAGGGAAAATATATACCCAATGTTGTATTCTGGCAACCGCTTGACCGAATACAGAATGAGATGATAGGCTTTGCTTCCTCACGGCTTGTTTTCCGTTGTCTCTGTCTGTGTGGTGTCCTCTTCCAACTTGGGAACAAAGCCCCACCGACCACAGCGGCATCTATTCGTGGCCCAGTGTAGTTCTTGCGGCCATCGACAACCCACTGAAAGATTGAGATGGCAAGAATAATGGCAAATGCCACGATGCAATAATCTAGATCTGCGTCAGAACGTATCCGCAGGTCGGGCATCGCGATACATACTCATGTTGCTACCAGTAACGTGTCTTTCGGGAGGGAAGACGAAGAGCACGGTGGTGATGGCAATGTAGGACAGCGCGATAGTGTCGCAAGTCCATCCGAGCCATGCCGGTAGCTTCCAGTGGCGATCAGGCAGGGTCTTGCGGCCCTGTAGGCAGTTGACGGCAATGGGCATGGCATAGGAGAGGTCCAGTGTCACCACAGCCGCCGAGATGATGGCGTTGAACGCACTATAGTTACAACGGAGTTAGCAAGTGCACCCAAGAGGGACCAGCGATGCTTACTTTGTGGAAGCAATGTTAATGACGCCGAAAATGACAACCACGACAGAGGTGAGCATAAGCGCATTCAGCGGCAGGCCGAGTTGCGGGTGCACACGAGCCAGGAACTTGGAAGCAGGCAGGCCGCCATCACGCGCAAAGGCAAAAATCATGCGACTGCTCGTGGTCATGACGGAAATGGTGGCAAAGGCCAGACACACGAGCGGGAAGATGAGCAGGCAGATGGCGCCGGCGGTGCTGTTGGTGGCGTTGATGAGGATCTGGAGGAGCGGCCCGGCGCCGGAGTCAATGACCTGCTGGATGTCGCCGGCGACGAGGAGCAGGACAATGAGGAAGAGGAAGCCGGTGGAGATGCCGATGGCTACGCAGCCGACCATGATCTTGGGCCCTTTTTTCGAGGCCTGTGGGATTTCTGGATTTGTCTCAGTACAGAGGCGGGTAGAGGATGCAACTACGTCATGGGTTCACGCACCCTCAATCATATGCGCGACGGAATCCTAGCGCACCGTTAGAATTGAATAGACGACCAAAAAGCAGTCTGCGTCAACTTACAAAAGCGGTGAGACCAAGACCGCCTTGAAGAAGCTAAAGACGGAAAATTAGTCGATAGTGCGGTTTGACATGGGCGGATGGCAGCATATCCCGCATCCGCGTTTTTGCTCACCCCCAGAAGCCAGGCAACGCCATCTGGCCAGCCAGTGTGGTTAATGAATTCTGTAAAGACGAAGCGAGCAGAGCTGTAATTAGGCGATGCGCAGGCCAATGCCGTGATGGAGACAATGGCGAAGCCGCCGAGCGACCAGAAGAGAGCGCCTTTGTATATTCTAGGCAGCAGCGAGTTCATAAAGGCGTTGAGCAGAAATGCGACGAGTGTAAAGGCAATGTAGATGAGAAACTGCTGCCAGTTGGAGACGTTGTATCCCTGCGTGCACCAACGGGATCGGAATCAGGCAAGGGGTTGGGAGAAAGGCGGAGTGGCGAGACATACAGATGTGGCATGGACGATGCCGACGATCAATTGGCTGGAGAGGAGCGCATTTGTGGCCACGAGCGCAACCTGGGCAAAAAAAAAAGAAAAAAAGTCAAAGGTCGTCATTCGGTAGCAGAATGGGAGTGAGGTGCGTCTTACCCATCCAACAACATTGACCCAGCCAGTGATCCATGACAAAATGGGTACCCATCGAGGCCAAGAGACTGTACCCGTTAGCCATCGACAGGTCTAAGAAACAAAGACGGAAAGGACCAACGTACTAGCTAATGCATGTTTGTGCCAGTTGAGAATCAGACTCGGAGACGGGAGGGGGGGACTGACCTGCAACCCAATGATATTGGCCACCGGCGCTAGACAGAGAGAAAAGCGGCTGCAGTTAGCCTCAAGGCGTTGCATAAAAGGAAGAAAAAAAGCATGCAGCAGGGCGACGTACGTTGGGTACGCAGATAGGAATTCCGCCAGGGATGTTGCGATGCACAGATTGCAGGCACCCGCGGTGACCAGGCCTAGATGGTTTTTCCAAGACAAAAAAATGAGTCTTGGAGTCTTGGAGCACATCACATGAGGCCAAGACGTACCCCAGACAATGCTGGTGCTGCCACCCGAGGACAGGCTGACGCTGAGACTGGCGGAGAGGGCTGTCCAAGACTTTGGAGAGGTTAGTGAGAAGTTTGGGGAATCGTATACGACCTTATGCAAAAAAAAAAAAAAAAAAAAAAAAAGAAGACAAACTCACATTCAACACGGCAAAGGCCAGCCCCAGCATCGAGCTTTCATGGTCGCCGATGTCAGTGTCACGGACTCGCGGGCGGTGGCGGGGAAGGCGGGCCGGCTTACAGCATGGAAAAGTTGCGGTTGAGCTCAGCCTTGTGACCCAAGGCGGCCAGCTGCGCGTCGTCATGTGTGCTATCCGTGCGCATGGTGTTTTTTTTTTCCAGGTTTGATGGTTTAGAAGGGTGTGGTACAAAAAAGAAAAAAAGATGTCGAGTAAAAAGGCCAGTCAGGCTGCCTTTGAGGGGAGCTTTTATTCACTTGCCGTTCGGCGCGGGACCGGTGATGCTGCGCCTGGATACAACCCGCTTCGTAATTACTCATGAAGACGCAGGTCAATTCTCGGTACATGAGATGGTATCGCATAATGATTTGCCGTCCCTTTGGAAATCCGGGGCAGCTCAAAACGGCGCCTTACAACTACAGATGGGGGGGTCACTCGGCCAAAGCTTGCGTCGACTTTGCAGGGCGCCGTGATTGTTTATCTGCGGGGAAGTTGCACACGTTTTCCAAGGCCGAGACTGTGTTTGCATTTCCGCTAGGATTGTGGTTCGCTGATGCGCCCGGTTTCATCCTAGCCCGCGTTGAATGATGATGGCGGAAGTTCCCAGGATATAGACTTGTTGTAATTAGGTTCTTCTCATCGTAGTATTCCAGCAGCGGCATATAACAGTCGCCAGTCGCCAGTCGCGCGCATCTTTTAATTCGTCTTGTAACGTTATCAATCGAGTGAAATCTTAAACGCCCAACGCCACCCCGCCGCCACCAGAGCGCTATCTCGTCCACAGGCGGGATCCGCGGGCGCACACTGGGGTAATCTCACGACGATCGACAACCTGGGGAAGCACCCCGCGGGCGCCGTCACCGGACCATTATCGGTCGGGAGAATATATGAAGTGGTGGGGGGAAGCGTGTTGGACATGGACGATTCTTCCCCAGAGACGCCCAGAATGCCCACTATCCGACATTTCGCTGCGGCGCTGGCCGTGGCCGCCTTTGCCGCCCCAGCAGCCGGCCTCGTGGCAAAGACGGCTGCTGGTGATGGGACGTGCACGAAGACGACGGTTGCGATTTTGTGAGAGCTTTCCGGATTTATAATTTATCGTCATTGCAGTCAGTTGCTAACGATTTTATTGGGTAGAGGCGGTGGTATGGCTGGCATCGCTGCAGCGGTAAGTACCCCCCTCAGCAAGAATAGGTTAGGTACAGAGCATGTGCTCATCCATCACAGCAAGCACTTGTGAACAACTCGATTACGGATTTCATGATTCTCGAGTACAATGACAGGATTGGCGGTCGCGCGCAACATGCGAATTTCGGGAAACAGAAAGATGGTTCGCCCTACGTGATTGAGCTGGGCGCGAATTGGGTGAGTTACATGTTATCGCGGGGTGTCGCTGTGCTGACCGTCTATAGATACAGGGCCTCGGCCACCCTGGTGGACCTGGTACGTGAGGCCCCCATGATGAGATGAATGGCAAATAGCTAACACGCATTAGAAAATCCCATCTGGACTCTTGTACGCCGTCATCATGGCCCCCGGCTCCCCTGCACCACTAACACCATCGCCAGGCCAAAAAGCACGGGCTGAAGAACACATACTCCAACTACAGCTCCATCCTCACGTACAACGAGACGGGCCCGTCCGACTACGCGGACCTGCTCGACAGCTACAGCACGGCATACGCGACGGCTTCGGCGCACGCCGGACGCCTCCTGGCGGAGAATCTCCAAGATCAGACGGCGCGTGCGGGTCTGGCATTGGCGGGATGGAATCCGAGGCACAGCGACATGGCGGCCCAAGCCGTGGAATGGTGGAGCTGGGGTAAGTACATACATACCCAGTCAATCTGTGGCATTGTTACAGATGCACGATTCCCATCTGCAAGAAGCCCCTTGTTACAGATTCACCATCCCCATTCTCATCTGCAAGCTGGCCCACCTCGCTAACATCCCCCGGATCAACAGACTGGGAGAGCGCCGTGCCGCCCGAGCAATCATCACTCATCTTCGGCGTCGCCAGCTCCAACCTGTCCTTCCACCAGTTCAGCGACGAGAACAACCTCGTGATTGACGCGCGCGGGTACAGCTACATCATCGAGCAAGAGGCATCCACCTTTCTGGCCGCCGCCGACGACGCGCGCCTGCGCCTCGGCAACCACATCACCAACATCAGCTACTCCGACGACGGCGTCACGGTGCACAGCGCCGACGGCAGCTGCGTGGCGGCCGCGTACGCCATCTGCACCTTTTCCGTGGGGGTGCTGCAAAACGACGTGGTGGGCTTCGCGCCGGCGCTGCCGCGGTGGAAGCGCACCGCCATCCAAAAGTTCACCATGGGCACGTACACCAAGATCTTCCTGCAGTTCAACGAGACGTTTTGGCCGCGCGACACGCAGTTCTTCCTGTACGCGTCGCCCACGCGCCGCGGCTGGTACCCCGTCTTCCAGTCGCTGTCCACGCCCGGCTTCCTGCCGGGCTCGCACATTCTCTTCGTCACCGTCGTCGCCGACGGCGCGTACCGCGTCGAGCAGCAGACGGACGCGCAGACGCGCGACGAGATTATGGCGGTGCTCCGCGACATGTTCCCCGGCGTGCGCGTGCCGCACCCGACGGCCTTTCTGTACCCCCGCTGGACAAAGGAGCCGTGGGCCCTCGGCAGCTACTCCAACTGGCCCGCCGGCACCACCCTCGAGATGCACCAGAACCTGCGCGCCAACGCCGGCCGCCTGTGGTTCGCCGGCGAGGCTACGAGCGCGGCGTACTTTGGCTTTTTGCACGGCGCGTGGTTCGAGGGCCGCGAGGCCGCGATCCAGATCGCCGCCGTGTTGCAGAGCAGGTGTCTGCAGGTGTACGAGGACGCGCAGTTTTGCGGCGAGACGAGACCGCATTATGACGGCCTGCATGGAACGTCGCCGCTGCACCACTATAGCCTGCTCAATGGCTGGGCGACGAGCAGCTTCGTCTCTGGTGCGGAATAGAGTGAATAGAGTGAACAGAGTGAACTGAACAGGGTGAACAGGGTGAACAAGAGTGCGGAATAACCCCAAAGGGACGGATGATTCGGGAGCAGGGTTCACCGCGCGGTGTCGACGTGCCACAACATCTTGTGGCTTTTGTTAGTGTAACCAATAGCCAACTTCTGTTGCCTCCCCTCATCAAAGTTCCCAACATGGCCCCAAACCAGCCGTACAAGACTTTGCTCGGAAACAAAGACACACACACACTGCACAACCCGTCACAGATGTCTCAGCCCTTGCCCACTTCTCATCCCAGGCACTCGGAACAGAGGAAATGACAGCTTCCCCCTCATCTCCAAAACGCTGTCGCAATGATGCCGTCGTCTATCGTGTGTTGCATGACAGAATCCCCCAGCATGTCGGGAACTGCCCCCCAGGCGCCTGTTTACGACCATCTGAGTGGTCAATATGAACGAGGCCCCTGCTCCGGCTCCGAAAATCTTCGCACACGCCCAACATGCACCACACACCTGCACGGCATAGATGGATCTTACCTCTCTCTCGTCACCCGATCAATGATTTTTTTTTAGTAGAACACCCGAAACAATTTTTATTTCTTTTTCTTTTTGCCCACATTGGGCCTTTTCCTCCGTCAGCCTCAGCTGCGGTTGCTGATTGGCACAACCGGTTCCTTGGAGCAACACCGAGGTAGTTAAAGAGGGCAAACAAATCCGGAGCCATGGTCTTGCGCCACCTCGAGAACCCAGGAAGCTGGGTCGGTGCTGCGTTGCACGGCATTAAATTCTCCATTTTCTTATTGTAATTTTTTTGAGAAGAGTGAATGACCTCTTACCAAGTTTCTTTTTTCTTTCTTCATTCCCGACCATCACAAGCTAGACATTGTGCCCATTTTATTCTTAATTTTTTTTATTTCTTTTTTGTAGAGAGACAAGAGAGAACTGCTTGGAGTCGGAGTTAAACAATTCTTTCCCGCAAGGCTACACGGATAGCCGCATCGTGGGATGTATATAAACCAACTGGCTGCCTGGGGGGGAAAACTATGCCCTCGCCAAGCTTTCCCCCGTCTTCTTCTTCTCCCACCTTGCTCTTCTCCCTTTGCTCCCCAAAACCGCTTGGCATTTTTTACCTTTACTCATCATGTGCCGCGGACACCCCAAGCATCACCGGTGCGCGCACACCAGCGTCGCCTGGGCCTACTGCCCGTCGGCCTACCTCGACATGGACACGGGCGCCACCACGCCGTGCGGCAACCCCATCATGAACGACTCGCAGCCGACCAAGGCCGCCTGTCCGCTGCAGCACTGCCGCTTCGCCACAAAGAGCGGTGCCGGCCCCGGCCCCGGCGCCGGCTGGGTCTGCTGCCAGTGCCGCCAGGGACCCAACCGCCAGGGCTGGTGCACCCAGCGGCTCACCCCCGGACAGGTCGGCATCGACCCGCGCGACGACGCGAGCGCCTTGCTGCAGATGACGTGTGATCACGGCTGCTGCGAGAGCTGCACAGGACTGGGTAGGTTTTTCTCTTTATTTTGATTATATTCTGTTGGCTTCGTGTGCCCAGGCTAACAAGCATCTAGGCTCAGACGGACGAGGCGCCAAACTGGCTGGGCTGTGGACGCCCAATTATACCGTGTATGACTGTGCAAGCTCCCCGTCGAGCTCGTCCGATGGAGCGAATACATGGGTTTCGTCGCCGCCCTCGTCGGACGCGGGCTCGGACCGGCCAAGTACCAAGGGCAGTAGTCGAGCCAAGAAACGCTCCAGCAAGAAGTCGTCAAAGAGGAGTTAGACTTTTGTGTAAACAAATTCGTGTACCTATTTGTATTTTTGTATTTAGTGTATTTTTTATATTTAGTGTATTATGTGTATGTTTGTATTATGTATTTAGTTGCATCATCTGCCTGTCTCTATTCATGTACTCGTCTTTCATGGTATTCACCTGTGTGTACTTGGGATATATTTGCCATAACATGTCTCTATAGTCGTCCTTCATTGTCCCGTGACCAACTAGGGTAGTCACATCTCAATCCATCGCTTTACTTCCGAGTACTATCGATCTCAATACGAGTCACTGTGCAAAGTTGCACACGTACTACGTGATAGTCATGGATCTACCACTGCACGGGGTGCTGGTGTGCAGACGAGTACTGGTCCACAACACACCTGCCTCGAGGTGACACCCAAAGACGCCACAACTCTGTCGCAACCAATATTCGCCTCAGACTGTGGTTCTGACGACATGAACTCTCCTCTGATGCCGTTTAGCCAGAAAAATGAGTCAAGATGACCGGCAACACGGGATGAAGTGGTACTATGTAGCTGAAAACTGCAGGCCCTTTTGTCGTGTCCGTGATTTGATCGGCACAAGGTTCAGCTCAAGCAGGATCTGCATGGAGCCCTTCCGAACTAACGATTTTATACAGACGGGATACTCGTTTTAGAATAAGAACTCGCGTCATGTGCATATCCAGTAAAGTCTCGCCATCTTCTAGAGTACGTATCGGAACGATGGCCCATAGTTCTCCTCGCCCTCTACCCGATCCGCGTCTTCCACCGGCGGGCATCTCTGCGCCAGCTTCCGATTCTCCCACACCAGAAAGCAGCGTAGGCACAGCGCCAAGAGCGCCGTGAAGCCCATAAACGCAGCGCATATCGCATGCCCCTTTGCGTAGTGCGGCCGCTCGCTCGCGGGGTACAGGCGGGTGCCGAGCAGCGGCCCGCACTGGCCGACCAGGTTGAGCAGCACGATGCCGGCGCCGCGGCGCTCGTCGCTGCCCTGGTTGCTCAGCACCCACGGCAGCACGTTGGCAATGGTCGGGAACAGGCCGAGCGCAGCGAGGTACACGCCGGCGTAGCGCGCCGCGTTGCTGCGCGCCGCCGCGAGCATTACGTAGCCGGCGCTGGCCGTGAGGGCCAGCGTGATGACGGTCAGTCCGCGCTGCTGGGTGCGGTCGGCGATAAAGGTCGAGCAGATGGTGACGAGGAAGGAGATGAAGTAGGGCGGCGCGGAAAGGCCTTGCGCGTTTAGCCCAGAGTATCCTGCGACGACGTTAATACTGTGGAAAAAGTAGGCGGTAACAGAAGGGGGGAAATACCTAGGTCCTCCAGAATGGTGGGTAGGAAAACAGGCAGAGAGGCGTAGGCCACATTGCAGGAAAAGTACATGACGGCTGTCATCCAAGCCTTGAGATCCAGCAGCGTCGAAAACGTTTCCCGCCAGCTAATCTTGCCCACACGGGGTTCCTGACCAGCCTGTCGCACGCCGCGCGCCAAAGCCACCTTCTTCTCCTCGCCGGTGAAGAACCAAGCGTCGTGCGGCGAGCTGGGCATGACAAGATACGTCACGGCCGCCATGACCAGCACCGGAATGCCCTCGACGAGAAAGAGCAGCCGCCAACTGGCCAGGCGAGCGTGGCCAGAGGTGATGGCATACGCGAGGGCGCCGGCAAAGCACGTGGCGAGCGGCGCGGCGGAGAAGAAGAGGCCGATGCGCAGGCCGATTTCGCGGCGGAGGTAGAAGAAGGAGAGCAGGTAGATGGTGCCGGGCCCGTAGCCGGCCTCAAAGGTGGCGAGCAGGGCGCGGCACGCCATCATGCCGCCAAAGGACCGCGTCGCGGCCTGCGCGGTGGCGGCGACGCCCCAGCCGAGCACGAGCAGCGGCACCCACGTCCGCGGCGAGACGATCTTGTACATGAGCGTGAGCGGCTCGGCGAGGATGTAGAAGATGTAGAAGACGGTGAGGAGCCACTGGTACTGGTCGCTGCTGAGCGACAGGTCCTTGTCCATGCCGGCGACGCGCGCGTTGCTTCAGAGAGTGAGTGAGGAGGCGGGTTGAGGGCGGGATGGGATGGAGAAACGTACCCGATGTTGGAGCGATCCAGAAAAGCGAGAAGGACTAGAAGGAAGAGGTGATGAGCGGATTGGGAAAACTTCATGGGGAGGAGTCTGGGGAGAGCGTACACAGAAACCACAACAGGGACAGGAAATGCTTGTCCAGCTTCCTGACAACTCGGCGCTCGACTGCCGCGTCAATCGAGTTGTCCATGACGGCGGACTCGGCCGTGGCCAAATCGTCATTTGCCTTGAGAGACATGATCTTGACGACTTCCCAATATTTAGAAGCTGTAAACAAAATTTTGCTCGTTTCTTTCTGATGATAGTAATAGCAATGGGTGCCAAAGTGGCGAGGTGAATTTATACACGTCTCAGACGTTGACGGTGCACAGACGCGGAGACCCGGCACGAGCGAGATGCAGTAGCGCCTCTATCGTAGATTGCGTCTTTGCGATTGTCTGTGCGCCGGCTTCTGCAACCGTGTAATCGTGCTTGGTCGCAGAGCGCGCCTTGAATGATGGACGGGCAGCCAAAGATGCCGCCACGTCGGAGGCTAGATTGTGGACAAGGGGAGGAGAGGGAGGCGTCCGATGCAAAGCCACTGCCGAGGTCGGGTCGCACTAGTATTCCCTGTTCCCCTGGGTTCAAGGTTCAAGTACAATAACTAGTTCGTTGGCGTTTTCGTAGTGGCGAGGGGTTATGGCGATGGCGGAAGAACAGTGCTTCACCGCTTCAGCGGCTGTCGCTGGTCAGCCTGCCATGTCTACAAATTACATATAGTGTCATTACCTATAGCGTCATACCTATAGTAGTGGAATGCGGGGAAGTCACCAGTGCAAGAGGTCGATCTGTGATGGGTTTTAATGAATTTATAGTAATTTAGCGACGTCTCACTGACCAGCAGGTAATTACGACGCTGCAGGGCTTAACAAGCTGCCCCAATAGCTATTCCTACAGATAAAATCCCCAGTGAGCATTGAGGCTTCTCCAAGCCCTTTAAACACCGGCCTTGGCCTGCAACTCGGAAAGCAGCGAAACAAAGCCAGCATCCCCGCTGGCCGCCAGCTGCTTGAAAACGGGCAGCTGCTTGCCGATCCATTCGGCCTCCTCGCCGGCGACCGGAATCGCAAAGCCGGCCTCGCGCGCCGTGACAATCGGCAGCATGGCGAGCGCGTGCAGGCGCGTCTCCGGAGCCTCGCGCAGATACGGGTGCTGCTGCGCCCCGGCCCCGGAGCCCTTGCCGACGGTGCTGTACCACGCGTCCTCGATGGCCTTGGTGACCTTGTCAAAGTCGGCCTTGGTGCGCGTCGGCGAAGTGCGCACGTACGAGATGATGCTGTTGGAAGTCTTGGTGACGCGCACCCCGGCGACGAAGGCGTGCGACTGCGCCAGGTCCTCGGCGATGAAGCGCACGTTGATGAACATGGACGGCGTGTGAAAGGCCGCGACGTGGATCTTGGTGATGGCTTGCGCGAGGGCCTGACGCTGGGCGTCGGTCAGCGGGTAGGAGTGGGTGATTTCGTAGTATGGCATTGTGTCGGTGTTTGATGGGGTGTTGTATTGGTTCTGCTTCTTCTCGTAAAAAGGCAGAAGGAAAGGGAGTTGGGCGGTCCTATTTATAAGCCCAGCCTGTGGTGACTTGATGCGATGATGCCATGATTTCCTGTGCGCGGGTGGTGATTACGTTGACAAAGCCGACGCCTCGGTGCCGAAAGCTGGTTACTAGATATAGCCGCTGCCTCTATGAAACCACTCCAAACATTATTCAAACACTGCTCTGGTCTTTGTTATTGTCAAGATGGTTGATTGTGACTATTCCTGTAGACGGGCATTGATTGCCCCGGCGGCAGATTGGTCATGCGATATGCGTTGTCAAATCAAAGTCTGTGAGAAGGTGCTTGCGGCTCGTACAGTGACGACACGCTGATAAGCAAGTGCCTATTTCTCTAGGGACAGGGCGTATTTTCTTCTTTTTGAACAGTATAAAATCCTCTCATGAGCAGTAGTCAAGGCTCGCTGGCACAAGACAAGTATATTAACTATTAAACCGGCTACCTTTCGGTCCTCTCCGCAGACCTGTAGTCGACACTACCCGGGAGTGACCACGTTGAATCATCTGGGGACGGCATGCTAGGGCAAACTCTGGGAAAACCAGGCAAGACACAAATTTTGGCCGCGCATTCGCCAGTTATTTGATATACTTTTCAATGGCATCTGTACTGGCGACTGGGATTGTCCTGTTATTCCTTCACAAATCACGAGACAGTGGAGTCACTATGAGTCGAAGCGGGAACCAGGACAACATGGATCCAACGTCTCCAACCATGCAAGTTTACCCCTACACGGATACATCATCAACACCATGGAGCAACCAGTCGGGGATCTGATTTCGACCGAGCCAGCCCAACTGCCCACAGGCATTGAGCTCCCAGGACACTTCACCGGCCTCCGCAGGCTCGACCCCTCCCACGCCGCGAGCCACTTCCAGCACCTCGGCGGCGAAGCAAACCGCTGGCGATGGACGTACATGCTGACGAGCGGATTTCCCTCTTTGCACGACTGCGCCCAGTCCGTCGCGCAGTGGGCGGCCAAGCAGGATCCCCTTTTCTACTCCGTCTACGACGGGCCGCTGTCCGACCCCGCCTCGGCGCCGGCCGGCATGATGGCCTTTATGGCGGCCGTCCCGGCGCACCGCCGCGTCGAAATCGGTAGCGTCATCCTCGGCGGGACGCTCGTCCGGTCGCGGCAGGCCACCGAGGCGTTTTACCTCTTCATCCGCCACGCCATCGAGGACCTGGGGTACCAGCGCGTCGAGTGGAAGGCGAACCACCTCAATGCGCCGAGCCTGGCCGCCGCGGCGCGTCTCGGATTCACGTTTGAAGGCATATTTCGGTACGTAAAACGTGGCTTGAAAGGGTGGGCGTGTTTTGTTGATGCGATCAAAGGAAACATATGGTGATCAAGGGCCGCCGGCGCGACACGGCCTGGTTCAGCATCACGGATGACGAGTGGCCGGCCGTCAAGGCTGGCTTCGTCGCCTGGCTGGACGAGGCCAACTTTGATGAAAACGGATGCCAGAAGAGGACGCTGCAGCAGTGCAGAGCACCGTCTGTATAGGCCATCATGAAATGGATTAGTAGTGAGCCGGCCGGCAGTCTGATTCCGTCTGCGCTAAACTAACTAGGCTCAAAGACTAGGCTCAAGGTGCCATCTCAGTGCGGCCCTTTTGCTCCATGGAGGTATCCGGGACTAGAAAGTACGTCACATGCCATTGTTCCGTTGGAGGGGGGGCAAGGACGCTGCCCGTTGCGGCCAGCCACTAGGTCGTGTAAGCTACATGGCTCTGGTAGAGCAGCATATTGGCAATCAAAGAGTTTTGTTGGCAAAAGCACAGGGGCCAAAATAAACACGTTGTGTTGTCCTTATCAGCATGGCCAGCAATTGATCCATGCATACATTTTACATTAAAAGACCCCGTCTGCAACCCTAAAACAGAGCGAGCCCTGCCTCGCATGGCTGCATGTGCGAGGAACTTATGTTGGCTCGATAAATAAGGCTCGGCCTGGGGTCAAAGAGCTGAAACCACGCAAGACGATTGTGATAGCACTCCGTAATAAAGTTGGCCTATATTTCCCCCAAAGTACCCCAGTACCGCGCCCGTCCATCAGGTGTCGTGTCAATTTGTACATGCTGGCTAGTCGCAATCCGGCCCTTCCTTCTCGGATCAAGAATGCCGCGTGGCGCACAGCTCGCTCCACCACCCTCCCGGAGCGGGCACCACTGAGAGTCAAGTTGATGTAAGTTCCGTGCAAGCCCATCCTTGGGGTCAGCGTTCCGGGGCCATTTGCCTCGCATCCCAGCCGGCGGGCAGGCAGGCGTGGGGGGTCTCCTCCCAGCACGATGAGACTGCGGGATGCGCGCGGGCTAGAGAACTATAGCCACCCATCAAAGTAACTTGCATCCAGATCTCGAGTTCAAACGGTTAAGGATCCCCATGTCTCGGATGGTGGTGGTGGTGGGCAGACCAACGGGTTCGTTGACGTACATGGGGGGCGCTCTGAGGGAATAGGCGCTGCCAAGAAGCACAAAGCGATGGCCATTTCCGTGAATGCCATCCAGGGCCGACTTCCCCAATTTGACCACCCAAGCCATTACTACGTGGCGCCGCCTTGCTTCGCCGCCCCGACCGGCTGCCCCGATTCCCTCTCCAAAACAAGACAGGGAAACCTGTTCTCGTGGCGCACCCATCTTATCATCCCATGTGGTAAACAGTAGGGATGGCTGGCTGATAGCCCTTCTAGAAAACCAGAGTGTAAATACTGTTCCCCCCTCCCCCAAAAGCCTTTGGAAAAGGCTTCCCCAAGCCGCGCCGCACACACACGCCCAAGTTGTTGCCCTTGCACGTGCACCCACGTGTTTGCTTTCCTGCGACAAACAAAACGACCCTCAAAAGGTCCAAATCTTGAAGCTCTCTATACTCTGAGTCTTGACCATTTTGATTGAACCCCAGCTGCTGCCCGCCCAAGATGTGGAAAGAAGAGGACTCGGGCTCGGCGGAAAAGGGCAACGTCCACAACGTGGCCGAGGGCCGTGGCACGAGCACGGTCCTGAACCAGGTCGCCACGGTGCAGCCTCATCCGGATTTCATGACGCGAACCGGAATCAACATTGAGTCGTTCAAATGCGCCCACTATGGCTACGGGCTCGTCGAGATGGAGCGGCCGATGAAGCCGCGCCATCTGAACATGATTGCCATTGGCGGCTCCATCGGCGCTGGCTTCTTTGTCGGCTCTGGCGGCGCCCTCTCCAACGGTGTAAGAGTTGATTGTGCGCGGTTCCGAAGCGATGTGCTGACTTGGCTTGCTAGGGGCCTGGCTCACTGTTTGTCGACTTTCTCATTATCGGCATCATGATGTTCAACGTTGGTGGGTAACTCTCAATGGTTCTACATGCTGCGCATCCTTCTTGCATCGACTAACCTGCTTCAGTACATGCCCTTGGTGAATTGGCCGTCATGTACCCCGTCTCTGGTAGCTTCTACGTGTACTCTGCCCGCTTCATCGACCCCTCGTGGGGCTTCGCCATGGGCTGGAACTACGTCTTCCAATGGGCCTCTGTGCTGCCGCTCGAGCTGACCATCTGCGGCATCACCATCCAATACTGGAACCAAGACATCAACATCGCCGTCTGGATCTCCGTCTTCCTCGTCATCATCATCATCGTCAACGTCTTTGGCGCCATCGGGTACGCCGAGGAGGAGTACTGGTCCGCGCTCTTCAAGCTCAGCGCCACCGTCATCTTCATGATTGTCGCCCTCGTGTGCGTGCTCGGCGGCGGGCCCTCCCACGGACGCTACAACCACTACATTGGCGCCAGTCTCTGGTACGACCCCGGCGCCTTTGCCAACGGCTTCAAGGGCTTCTGCTCCGTCTTCGTCACCGCCGCGTTTTCCTTTTCCGGCACCGAGCTCGTCGGCCTGGCCGCGGCCGAGACCAAGAATCCCATAAAGTCGCTCCCCAGCGCCATCAAGCAGGTCTTTTGGCGCATCACCCTCTTTTACATTCTCGGGCTCTTCTTTGTCGGTCTGCTGATCCCGTATACAGACCAGGAGCTGCTCAACGCCGGCGCCTACGACGACCCCCACGCGTCGCCTTTTGTCCTCGTGGGCAAGTATGCCGGCCTGAAGGGGTTCGACACGTTTATGAATATTACTATCCTGGTGTCGGTGCTGTCCATCAGCGTCTCTAGCGTCTACGGCGGGTCGCGAACCCTCACGGCTATGGCCCAGCAGGGCTATGCCCCGAAGCTGTTCACCTACATTGACAAGTCTGGACGACCCCTGTTTTCTGTCATTCTCATCATCCTCTGCGGACTGATTGCCTATGTCAGTCTGGATGCTACTGGACCTGTCGTTTTTTCCTGGCTGCAGTCAATCTCCGGCCTTGCTGCCCTGTTTACCTGGGGCTCGATTTGTCTCGCACACATTCGCTTCCGGCACGCGTGGAAACAGCAGGGCCACACCGTCGACGAGATTCCGTTTCGTGCGGCCGGTGGCATCTGGGGATCCTATCTCGGACTGTTTTTGAACATTATTGTCCTGATTGCTCAGGTATGCATGCATGCGTACCGCGATGTACTCACAAGTCACTAACCTGAGAATAGTTCTACACCGCGGTCGCCGCGCCCATTGGCTCATCCGGCGTCGGGACGGCCGAGAGTTTCTTCAGGACCTACCTTGCTGCACCGGTCATTCTCTTTTTCTGGGCTGTTGGGTATTTGTGGAAGCGCGAGGGTTGGATCAGAACATCGCAAATCGACGTGGATACTGGCCGTCGTGAACTTGACTGGGATGAAATTCATGCCCATCGTGCTAAAGTCGCTGCTTGGCCGAAGTGGAAGCGCGTTTGGAATGCTTTCTTTTAACAGGCATGTGGGGGCGGACTCATCGACTTGGCTTTGCGGATGTGCAAGTACTTGCTTTACTACGCTTTTCCTTTCGTTGGAGGCGATTATTTTATTCTATACGTTGAAGATGCATTGTTCGCTCGAGAGCCATAAACGAGAGTGAGACCGCGCCGGTAGTAAGGGACGCAAGTAAATTGTATTGAATATATAAGAAGAATATGTAGAAAATGTGTCGCTGGCATGCTGTATTTATTTGACGGCTTCCTGATCGTAGTAGAAATCGCACGCATGAGGGTGCTGGAGGCAGTACTTGGGCACCAGGGGAGTGGCTGCCACACCATTGGCGACCAGGTACTCTCTAAAGTTGAGGATGCGCTGCGTGAAAGTCGTGGTGCGCTTCTTGCCAGTCTTGGGGTCCCTGTTGCCCGACCAGAGGAGCTCGGCGAGAGCGGCGGCGCGCGGCCACATCTTGCCGCTGATGATGGCATCGTCGACCTGCTCGGACCAGAGGGGAGCCGACGCGCCAATGACGTGCTTGGCCTGCGCGTCGGTCAGGTTCTGGGCAAAGTCGTAGTCGTAGATGCGCTGCCACGTCTTGTACGGGGCGCACCAGGAGCCGCCGATGCCGCCGTAGTTGAAGGACGGGGTGGCGCCGGTGGGATCGGGGTTCTCCTGGACGTTGTAGCGCGGGTCGTTGGTGACGTAGCCGCCGAAGCCGCAGTCGAGGTACAGAAAGTCGGCGCTCGACACAATGACATCGTAGCCAGCCGCGGTCAGCTTGCCAATGTTGGTGATGCCGTTGTTCCACGACTGCATGATGACGTCCTTGGACACGTTCTTGGCGGCGGCGTCGTGGGACAGCACCACGTCCTCCCACATGATGATGCGGCGGTCCTTGTTGCCCGTGTTCTTCTCGCTGGTGAAGATGGGCATGGACTTGTCGATCCAGTGCTGGTTCAGGTCAAAGTAGGTGCGCGACGCATCCTCGGCGAACCAGTCGCGGATCGGCTTGCTAAAGTTGAAGCAGCCGACCTGGAGCTCGTCGCCGCCGACGTGGAAGAAGTCGTCGGCGAAGCGGCGCGAGAGCTCGGCGTAGACCTTTTCCACGGCCGCGTACGTCTTGGGGTTGATGACGTCGAGCTGGCCCGGGTTGGGCTGCACGGCCGTGTGCAGCGGCCAGTTGTCGTTGGACCACCAGCTGTTCTGGCAGGTGACAATGTCCTTGTCATGCTGCTGCCAGCCGGACGCCGAGTGGCCGGGCATGTCGATCTCGGGGACGACGCGGACGCCGCGGGCGCGGGCGTAGGCGATGAGGTCGGCGACGTCGCGGGGCGAGTACGTCTCGCGGTCCGAGTACGCGTCCTTTGTGAACTCGGGGAACGCGTCGAGGCGGATCGGCCACGACTGGGAGTCGGTGATGTGCCAGTGCAGGATGTTGAGCTTGGACAGGGCCAGGCCGTCGACCTGCTCGTACAGCTTCTTGACCGAGATGAAGTTGCGGCCCGTGTCCACCATGACGCCGCGGTACGGGTAGTTGGGGCGGTCCTTGATCTTGACGGGCTGCTCGACGACGAGCCCGCCGCGGCCGTCGGAGATGACGAGCTGCTGCAGCGTGGTGAAGGCGTGCAGCGCGCCCCAGGCCGTCTTGGCCGTGACCTGCACCTGCGACGACGCCGCCGAGATGTCAATGGTGTAGCTCTCGTCGACGCCGTGCTTGAGGTCCGCCGCCCAGTCGGCGACCTGCAGGCTGAGCTCGTTGAGCCAGCGACCACTGCTGCCCGACGCGGCGTCGGCGTCGGCGCGCTTGTCATGGCCGGGAAAGACGTCAAAGACGGGGATGGGCTTCTCGACGGCCTGCGGCACCCAGCGGATCGTGGTGATGGTCTTGTAGGCGCGGTTCCACGCGTCGTTGACGACGCGCACGTTGTCGTGCGTGCCCCAGTTGGCGTTGACGGTGCGCAGCGTCAGGTACCCGACGGGAATGGCGCCCGAGGAGCCCCAGGAGATCTCCTGCGGCGCCGGGAGTGGGTTCACCTGGACCGCGCCGGCGGCCGTGGCCAGCCAGGCGAGGAGGACGGAGGAGAGCGATTGGGAGCGCATTCTTTTTTTTGTACGCGTGCAAATGAAGATGCGAGAACTCAATTGGCGTAGGGGATCGAGAATGAGGTGAGAGCTTGGTCTGTTGATCGTCGGGCACCGGCCTGCTTTTGTAGCTTGTTGCTCTCGCGACTTGTGGGGGGCGCACTACACTTTGAACCCCTGCCGCTGGTGCGCTGAACAAATACAACCTACAAGTTGCCTTTGAACAGGGCTGGGAAGCTGGTCAAGTCATGCGCAAAGTCGCGATGTAACCCTACGAGCTGCAAAGTGGCGTGGGATTGAGAGTTGCTGGAAACAAATGCGCCTTCTTCTTGGAAGGCTGAGTCGCTGGGCGCATGAAAATGGTCATCTACAAACTTTACAGGCACAGCAAGATTGCAACTCCCTAGCATCTTGGCGCGCGAACAGGTACATGACGGTCCGAGAAACTGACCGGCTCGCTGCAGAAGGCTCTGCGTGAGACAATGTCTCGAGCTCGCCGGCCGCGGAATCCAAGGTAGCAGCTGATACACTTGGCACTGCTACTGTGTGGCGCTGGGCAGGTGAGATGAAGGAACAGTTGTTTGGTCAAGCAGACCATTGACTGGATGGACCATCTTGACTAACTAAAACATCATCTCACTTCTAGGCTCCGCTCGAGTTTGCACCAGATGATGCGGCCAACTAACTAGGCCAACTAATAATCCGCACGTATCCGTAGTTTTAGCTCAAATACCCCAGCCAGTCAGTGCTACGTTACCCCCTATCCATGCATTCGAGAAGCCTGCCGGACCGTCATGTGCAAGCAAGCCATCTGGCATCGGATAGATTTATTCCGCGACGTCACATATGCGGCTCGCGCCACCCGTCCATTGTTAGTCGGTTTATTCCGAGTCAAAGGCATAATAGCAGTCCTGTCGATATGCCGTGTGGCCGTTGCCAAAGACCGCCCTACCCCAAAGTCGCAGTGCATCTGTAGATATTTCGCGAGGGAGCTTTTATTCGAGTTCCTGGAGGTGGTCGGGTGTCTCTTTCAGGACTGGGCTCTTTAGGACAGAAAATTCATTACACGTTGTCCTATTCGTGCAGGCGTTGCATACTTAGGGTTACTTAGGGTTAGGGAATCCTCGGCTCTCTGCAGATAAACTAGTACACCTATTACTGTACAGAGTAAGAGTCGCGAGCTGGGCTGAGATGCAGAGGAAGCACCAACGACCACAGAGAGTCAATAATTCGCGTTGCGATCAAATTGGTGCATCTTGGCAGCATTCCCCTGAACATTTTACCATATGTCAATGCCACCATATTCACGTTGCCTTGCATGAAGCCACCAAGCCGTATTTATATGAACTGGAATTGCAGGACGCCGCCACCACTAAGCATCCACCACGACGACGTATTATCGAGTTTTCCAACCCGAGCACATTTCCGAGTGCCACCAACTGGCTTCCACCAACTACTAACGTCAATTAGTGACAGCGACTGAACGGATGCTGTTCCCCTTGTCGTATCTGTATGAATTACCCCACGCCTCGCTCTGTGGCTGAATGGTTGGGCAGGTACCCCGCATTGTGAAATGTGACCATCGTTCAACGTTAGTGGCGCAACCTGCTCCAAACAAGAACCATTCTGCTGTCACTAGAAAGCCGACGACATGGCCACCACGAGTCCGCCGTGGGCCAAGATAATCCACCAGGCAGTGGATAGCAATATAGAAGCAATCAAGACAATCAACTACCAGGTACGCCATCGCCCACCTCAGCCCCAGCTGCCCTTCCCAGTCGCGAGCTAACAAGCCGAGCCCAGATTCACAGCGAACCGGAGCTCGCCTACGAGGAGCACAAAGCCCACGCCAACTTTGTCTCGCTGCTGGAATCGCTCGGCTTCCAGGTCACGCCGCACGCCTACGGTGTCGCGACCGCCTTCTCCGCCGAGTACGGCGCCGGCGGGCGGCTGGTCGTGTTCAACGCCGAGTACGATGCGCTGCCCGGCATCGGCCACGCTTGCGGCCACAACCTGATTGCGTCGGCCGGGCTGGCCGCTTTTTTGGGCGTCGCGGCCGCGCTCAGGCAGACGGCGACGCCGGGGCGCGTGCGACTGCTCGGCACGCCCGCCGAGGAGGGCGGCGGCGGCAAGATTCACCTCATCAACAACGGCGCCTACCGCGAGGCCGCCGCGTGCCTCATGACGCACCCGGGGCCCCAGTACCTTTTGTCCGGAGACGTCACGGGTGTGGCGGCCGTCAAGATGCTCGCCAACGTCAAGTGGCGCATCTTCTTCACCGGGCAGACGGCGCACGCGGCCATGGAGCCCTGGAACGGGCTGAATGCGCTCGACGCCGTCTGCTTGTCGTATAATGCCATTTCCATGCTGAGGCAGCAGATCCGTCCGCATGAGAGGATACACGGTGTTATCAAGGAAGGCGGTGACCGCCCCAATGTCATTCCTGGATCGACCAGTGTCGACTACTACAGTAAGTTGCGCGGCCCTTTAGTCTATAGCATGGCAGACTGACGCCCATCCTTTCCAGTCCGAAGCGATACTCTGGCCGCCGCGGAGCGGTTATGGACGCGTGTGAAGCTGTGCTTCGAAGGCGCCGCCATTGCCACGGGCTGCCAGGTTCGATACGAGCCCATCAATTCGTATGCGGACCTGCGTTCCTCCATGGCGCTCTGCAAAGAATTCGTCGCCACACTCCCCCAGGGAACAGTCTCCCTGGACGAGCCGGCCGACTTTCTCGCCGGCTCCACGGACATGGGCAATGTCACGTATGAGTGCCCTGGATTCCACGGCGCTTTTGGCATCGATACCGAAAGGGGACAGGGAAACCACACCAGACCATTCGCCGATGCGTCTGGCCTGGAAAGGTCGTTAGATCGAGCTGTAGAATGGGGGAAAAGCATGGCTCTGGTCGGGTATCGGGTCTTGTCCGATGACGACTTCAATCGAGAGGTTCAGGAGGATTGGAAGGCAGACATGAAGCGGGCGGCATTGTAAGAGGGAGCTATTTTGAATGCCTGCGGTCGTCATCACAGTCGATTCTTACTCAATCGGCGCAATGGGGAGTTGGTTCTGGGACAAGAAATGATACATAAACTGTAGTGACAATATCAATCAATGTGGTTCTTGTATTATTCTTCTCCGAGTAGACGCCCCCGCTTGATAGGTTCAACCAGAAAGACGTCTACTGGTACAGGCAGCTCCTTCTGACTGTAATACGTAGTCGCGTGTCGAAACCAGTGGGCATACGTGTTGGGCCTATTATCGCTCTCAGCGTTCTTCTTCCACAAAGCGCCCAGCGTATCGCCCATGACTCTCAGAATCAGCCCCGTCGCCAGCTTAAAAGCAAAGCTCCGGGCCAGACACTGCTCCACAGTCGCACGCGCCTCCCTCTGGTCCGCCGTCTCCTCCTCGCCGTCGGCGGGCAAGCGCAGCGAAAGCAGCGCAAACTGGCGTGCTCCGTCCCAGCGCGTGAGCTGGTTGATCAGCTGGCTGCCCGTCAGGAAGTCGACGGCAAACACGTGCTCTCTGCCGTACCGCGGCCCGTCCCAGCCCAGCTCCTCGTCCACGGTGCCCATGACCATGTTGATGGCCTGGCCCTGGAACAGATAGTCGGTCAGCAGGCGGCGGCCCTCGTCCAGGGCAACGGTGCGCCCGTTCTCCGTCCACGTCAGCGCGGCGTTGCCCTCGCCGGCCAGCGGCAGGCCCCTGAACAGCGCGCTGCGGTGCATGCCCTGCGGGCTCGTGCGGCCGCCGTCCTCGCCCCAGAGCTGGAGCAGGAACCGGTGGCAGAGCTGGAAAAGGGCATTGCCGCGCTTCGCGGCCATGAAGTAGTTGGTCACCGTCTGGCCCCGGGCCTGACCAAACGTGAATATTTCGTACGGCGATGCGGAATTGCCCACGGTCTCGCGCCAGAGCCGGTCCACGTCGCCAATGGGCAGCACGCCCGTGTCGGCGTACAGCCCGCCGAAGCGCACCAGGAGCGGGAAGCGCACCAGGTCCGAGGAGACCTGCGCCGGGTAGTCGCTGCCGATGGTGCCGTCGCGGAAGGCGGCGGGGAACAGGGCGGGGTCGGCGACGTCGAGGAGGCGCGCAATGTTGAGCGGCGAGCCCGGCGCGCGGTCGACGACGCGGACCGTCCAGCCGAGCTTGGCGAGGCGACGGTGGTACGTGCGGACGGTGCGCCGCGCCGCGGGATACATGTTTTGGTAGCCATTGTGCCAGTAGAACCAGACGTTTTTGTCGTCGGTCACGGGCGAGTGCTGTGTTAATTCGTGGTCGATGGCAGAATCTGGGCGCAGGTCTAAAAGGTGCAGGGGGATGGCCTCGAGGCCTGCGGGGACCTTGTAGTTGACCGGCGGGATAGTCATGGTGTTGGTTGACAGGTTGCTGCCACGCAGCGTTGATATTGGTGGGAGCTATGATTGACGGCTGTATATCAAGGAAGTGTTGAAAGATGTCACAATATGGGGGATGGCTGCCTTATACAATCAAGCTCGCGATCATAAACAAGCCGCACAGTCTAGGCGATGACCACTGTGACTCGACGTCCCCCCCATCATGTTCCGCTATACCACTTTAGACGATGGCTCATTGTGAACAATATGCCAAGGTGGCGCAATTCCATTGTCAGGGCTGTAGTAGCACTCGCCAAGTACCATGTTGGAGACGAGGTGAGCTATGGTAAGCAGCGTTTGTTGTGTTGTGTGTTGTGGAAGGTGATGAAGTACCCTACAGTATTAGTACGCTTGATACCTAGTAGGTACCTCCTAAGGTAGGTACCTAGGTAGGTAGGTAGCTTCGAACAATGTCATTATACTGCAACCTACAAATTCAGTAGAAAGTTTACTGCTATTTACATTGATGTATATGAGTACACGCACATCAAATTACATCGGTACCGAGCATATTAGCATCCTCAGCCTTTCATTGCCCGATCGTGCAGCGTATACGAGCTCGCCGTTAGGTTCAGCCCTGGTGCACTCGTAGCAGTTGGTTCACTAGGCTAGAGTACGCACTAATTGCCGACCCGAGCCAGAACCAGGTACCTGGATCTGGACAGATATAATCGCTAGACAATGAAAAATAGACGAATCGAGTGCGATTTGGCAGCGAGGACCCCCAGTACCATGTATTACAACAGAAGATGACATCTTGCGCCGGGGTAATCTTATAAACCTTGTTACTTGCGAGGACTGTTGAACTTGCACACAGCACAGGTTCTAGTGCCGCACTGGTCAGTTAGTTGATGATTCCCAGTGATGTTACCGCTAGTACATGGAGACCGACTGGCGAATCTATAGTGGAAACGGTGAAACGGTCACTCAGGGGAAGATTGGTCATATTTTCTATTGGTTCAATTTTTTAACAAGAGAAAGAAGAAAAAAGAACGCGTCGTGCTCGTTGTGGCCAGCATCGGCGATCGGAGCGGAGATCATCGCCTACCACATGCTGTTGCACATGGCTGCAGGGGTTGCAGGTACCAGACGTCATATTACGTGTACACGCCCACACGCGACAACGAAAACATTTCTAAAAAAAATGAGAGCATGAATAATTTAGAAAAGATGGATAGATCATACATAGCAAGAAAAAGACATGAAAGTATTACTCACCGGTAGTGTATACCAAGGTTGCAACTGAAGGCGGGCGAGTGGGTCCCCGATTGTGGAGGCGTCCTAGAATTTCATCACGAAACCCAAGTAAACATGTCCATCATCTTCCTCTCCCTCATCGAGCACTCTACTCTGGCACACACGCGCTGAGACTCGTGGGCCCCAGCCGCACCCGTCCCCATGACCATGTCCAGCGCCAGCCGCGCGGCCCTGCTGCTGTTCCTGGTCCTCTGCTGCGCGACGAGCGTCTCGGCGTTTGGCGCCGGCTCCGTGGCCAACGGCAGCAGCTTCAAGGAGTTTGTCTGGCGCCACGGCGACATTGTCGAGGTCCTGCGCTTCCTGCCCTCCAGCCTCGTCACCAATGCCGGCTTCACCCAGCTGCAGCGGCGCCAAATCTACTTTGGCAACTGGCTGCGCGACTTTTCCCAGGTCGTCGACGCCACCTGCCTGGAAAACATCCCCGAGTCCATCCTCCGCGCCATCGTCTCCATCATGGCCATGATGGAGTTTGGCTACGCGACCGACGAGTTTGACGTCACGCGCGAGCGCCTGGGCTGCTACAGACACGTCGAGCACATTGACAACCCGCGCGGCTACAACACCAACGCCCAGGAGATTGACCCCCGGCTGCGCGGGCCCGTCGAGCCCGTCGAACTCGAGTTTGATCCCGACACGGGCATGAAAAACTACATTGCCAACTCTGGTCACGCGTGGGAGACGGCGGCTGACTACGTCCGGGACCAGCTGAGCAAGTGCATCGAGCTTGGCCGCCGTGGAAGGGAGGGCGACCACGCCGCACAAAAGGAATCCTTCATCCATCTCGGAGCCGCGCTCCATACTCTCGAGGATTTTGCGGCACACAGCAACTACATTGAGTTGTGTCTGCATGAATTTGGAGAGCAAGACGTCTTTGCGTTTGTTGGTGATGCGTGCCGCGTGTCGCTGCCCGCACATATGAAAAGCGACCGCAAGGTGGCGCCTCTCGTCACAGGCACCTTTGGCATGCTGGATATTTTCCACAGCCTGCTTGGCGAGGCCGACGACATGGCTATTCTGCAGTCGCAAGGGTCGCTCAACGAAGTGCAGACCCATCTCGGCTATGGCGCCATGGCGTTTGAGCAGCTATTCGATGCCATTGAGACTGGCATAGCCTCGATTCAAACCTTTTCGTCAGAAAACAATTCCCTCATCAGCCAACTCAAAACGGTGCACTTGATACTGCAGAAACTCAAAACAGACACTCCCCCCACGTCGGATGACGAGGACAGTAGCGATAACACTTCTGACAAGTCTCCTGGCGAGGCCAAGAAGTCGAAGGACTCTGTGGATCCCTCCATCGTCTGGCAGGCTCTCGAACCGCTCTTCTTCTTCCATGACAGAATGAAGAAGTGGCTGAAGGAAGTGGGCTATAGCGATGACCAGGAAGCCAGTGGGAACACGAGCTCCGAAATGAGCGACCTGACCAACCAACTAGTCTTTCGGGCCATGCGCATCGTCATTGAATCGTCCGTCAAGGAACTGCGGGCGACGCTCCGCGCAGCGAAGGCGCGCGTCGACAAGGAAGCCGCCTCGTCCGGCTCGGCCGCCGTCTACGACGAGGGCTCCTCCGACTCGGACCCGAGCCACTCGGATCTATCCAAAGACCACTTTTGCAACGTGCTCAACCGACCTGCGGGGCTCATCGCGACCGTCACCACCAACTGGACGACGCAGGAAATCGTCAAATGCTGGGACAACAAGGACCTGGATGCCGCCACGTCTATTGACGCGATTCTCACGATCTTGCACCATCCGGCCTTTGTCAAGGACAAGTCCCAAATACAGGAATACATGTACATGACGGTGGAGCACTGGTGGACGGAGCTGCCGGACGCGGAGCGCGAGCTGTTGCGGGAAAAGCTCACAAAGGAGAGCGTGCGACAGCGCGAGCACGAGGACCATCACTTGCTGGTGCAGCCCAACGGTCGCCAAGGGCCGGCGCACTTTCCGGGGTCCAGGGCGGAAGTCGTGCAGGTGCCCCCCAGACGGTCGTTTCCGTTGGAGTGGGCACTCAAAGAAGTCGTGGCAGACTCGTTGTGGATATTTCAAACTGTGGTCAAATACGTGTTGCTGCCGTTCAAGCTGATCCGCCTGGCCAGAGACAAGGCTGCTGGGTTGTTTGCGAGTTCCACAAGGACTAGGAAGCAGCAGCCAACGTAGACATTTATCGTCCAGGCGCCTCCATATCCCCGCCCGTCATTTGGCACGCTGTACTGTTGCTCAGCTGGCGCATTAGGTAGTCTCTCACGGGTAGCGCGCCTTGTTGGCTCTAGTTGGGGACCACTCGGAAATTCGGCGAGCCAATTATCAAGTCTCGACGAATCCTTAGGCTAGCAAATACACAACATGATACTAATTTACTATCGCAGGTGCGCAGGTGGCGCAGAGAGTACACAGTCTATGATGAGCGCGGGGAGCTGCTGCAGGACAGCGCCGTCTGGAGGTTGATCTGTGAAGCCAACGAGATCGATGTATTGACCAAGGCGTGGTCATCTTTTCTATTCCCGCATACTGAGTCAACAGTCGAGAAAACGGCCGTGTTTTTAGTGACTGGTAGCCAGCTGTGAAGACTGAGACTTGAGCACTTCCTGTAGTTGAAAAAATTGATACTTGCTGTCCTACTTTCGCCTAGGAGAATGGGTGTTGCTGGTTTGACGGCCGTCTTCCGAGTGAAACAAGGAAAAAAACAGGAAAAGAACAGGCGATTTCGGCGCTAAGGAGTCTAGTTTGTACAAGAGTCTAGTTTGTACAACTATTTTTTACTCGAATTTGTTATACAATTCCAAAGTTGTCATGTGCCACGAGCGGCTATAGTGGCGGCCTTATTCTGCAAAGCCTTGATGATTTCGCGAGATAGTATGTAGATGGGGGCAGTGGGAATCCCGTTCGCGTCAACGAATGAGAGGAATCCAGCACCCATAACTTGTATACAGTGGGCACGTCTCCGGATAGCATTTCGCCCACCTCCGGAGGCTGAACGCCACCGGGTGATCGTCTCCTGCTTGGCACGTCAGTGGCTTTTGAAAAGCGGCTTACGGATACAATGCGACGGATTAGTTGCCTTTTTGCCTCGCTCGAATCCACAACTCAAACCTGGCACTGCCCAATCACGCGCGCGAGAATCCTGCTGCCTACGGCCGGCTTGTTCGCGCCGTCGACGCCAGCATGAAGGCCCGAGTTGAAGTGAAAAGGGCGGCCGGCAGATTATTTGATATCGGAACGAGGTATTCCTAACTCAGTCCAGGGAGTCTTGGGAGTTTGCTTGAGACCTCGGAAACGGCGGATTATCGCCTCTGATGAGCATGTCTCAAATTGCCTATTCCGGCTTTCGGCTCCGAGCCGCATGCGACCTGTTACAGCGGCATGACGGCATGTGCCCCCAACGCAATGCGTGAACAAATCCATGGGGTAACGAATCGGGAATTGCCCGCTTTAATAATCATAAGAACAGATGTTTTAAAATCCCTCCGCTGACACGGTGGGGAGGAAACTAGTAATGCTAGCCTTGTCCACCTCCGCATCACACCGTAGCCGGTTGCTAGATGGGACAAGTCCGTAAGCTCTTGACGGATGGAGTAACTTTGCAGAAGCCGGGTTTCTCACCCTTCCCCACGAAATACCCATGGGGTAATCCCCAGAACGCTCAAGCTAGGCATTGGCCCCAACGTTGGTTGCATTTTGATAAGTACCCCGAGTTCCCCCATCCCGGGTGCGACCCAAGAACCTGCCCATTCTCGAACTCATAAGTAGAAATCGTCATCATGGAAAAGAAAGTCTCAAGCGACTCCCCCGACTCGTCCCGTGCCGAGCACGTCCCCGAGCTCGGCGGCCGGCGGCAGTCTGTCGCGCACAACATTATCCAGAACCCGCTCAAGGTTTAACATACCCCATCCTTCTTCGCTGTGTGTCAAGACCCTTATTGCTAACACGGCCCGCATAGCGCAAAACAGAGCAGGACGTCGTCCGGGACGCGGAGCAGTGGGCCCGCACGCACGGCATGGACGCCGACGCGGCGCTCTTTGGCCGGGCGGCGCTCGTCGCGCGGGACCCGGACCGCTTCGAGCACATGCCGCCGGAGCAGCTGCCGGCGGACGAGCGCGCGGCGCTCGCGTACGAGCGCGACCACAAGTGGCACGGCCCCAAGATGCTCTGGTACTCCATCAGCCTGTGCGCCATTGGCGCCGCGACGCAGGGCTGGGACCAGACGGGCGCCAACGGCGCCAACCTGTCCTTTCCCGAGGAGTTTGGGCTGACGGGCGAGGGCCGCGACGAGTGGATCGTCGGGCTGATTAACTCGATTATTTTCCTGACCGCCGGTCTCATGTACGTCTTTCCCCCTCCTTGATATACAACACCCCTTTTGCTAATCTTTGCTGGACAGTGGCGCATTCATCGTCGACCCGCTGAATCACTACCTCGGCCGGCGCGGCGAAATCTTCCTCACCGCCGCGTGCCTGACAGCCACGCCCATCGGGTCCGCGTTCGCCACGAGCTGGCAGGGGCTCTTCTGGGCGCGCTTCGTCATGGGCATCGGGATCGGGGCCAAGAACGCGACCGTGCCCATCTACTCGGCCGAGATGGCGCCGCACCGTATCCGGGGCGCGCTCGTCATGTTCTGGCAGCTGTGGGTCGTCGTCGGCATCTTCCTCGGGTTCTGCGCCAACGTCATCGTCAAGGACGTCGGGCGGATCGCGTGGCGGCTGCAGTTTGGGTCCGCCTTTATCCCCAGCTTCCTGCTGCTGCTCGGCATCTGGTTCTGCCCGGAGTCGCCGCGGTGGCTGATGAAGCACGGGCGCTTCGCCGACGGGTTCCGTTCCATGCGTAGGTTGAGGGCGCACGATGTTGTCGCGGCGAGGGACTACTACTACTCGTACGTCAACTACGAGGAGGAGAAGAAGGCGGCGCGCGGCGCGGGGTACTTTGCGCGCTTGAGGGATTGTTTTGTCGTGCCGAGGATTCGGAGAGCGAATTACGGCGCGTCGACGGCGATGCTGGCGCAGCAAATGTGCGGCATTAACATTATTTCGTTCTACTCGTCGTCCATCTTCACGAGCGTAGGGTACACGGCGACGGAGGCGCTGTATGCGTCGTTGGGATACGGCGCTGTGCAGGTCGTCTCGACCATCCCGACGCTGTTCCTGATTGATACCAAGGGCCGTCGGACGTTGCTGACGATTGTGAGTTGAATGAGTAAAAGGCCTTAGAAAAGTATGAAAAGGCCGTCAAAGAGTAAAACTAACGTGGCGCAGACATTCCCGCTAATGTGCATCTTCCTCCTCGCTGCTGGGCTGTCGCTGCTGCCGAATGGCGCTTATCAGATCCTGCCGCAGGGCGACCAGAACCCCGCGAACGATATGCGGTCAAAGGGCGCTCGAATTGGGCCGGTGGTTCTGTGAGTTGATAATGACCTCGACATTGAGATAAAATATGATCCAAAGGCTAACGATGCATTATCAGGTTCATCTATCTACCTGTTCACCATCTGCTACTCTCTTGGCGAGGGCCCAGTGGCCTTTCAATACTCGGCCGAGGTATTCCCCACGATCCAGCGTGAGCAGGGAATGGCGTGGGCCGTTTGCATCAATAATACGTTTGGTGAGTACACGTTGCGAGTGGTGAAGCTGTGGTGCGGCTGGCTAACCGACCTACCTTGGAACAGCGGGCATTCTGGGTCTCACCTTTCCACGAATGAAGACGGTCATGACTGCGACGGGAGCTTGTAAGTTGCATCAAACTCTGTTGAAAGTGGTGGTTCATCTAATAAGCAACAGTTGGGTTCTACGCTGGTCTGAACCTGGTAGCATGGTTCATGGTATTTTGCTTTGTGCGCGAGACAAAGCAGCTCACTCTGGAGGAGATTGATCGTAAGTTGCGCGGCGAGACTTTTGTTGAATTATGACTAATATGGGTGTACGATACAGAGGTCTTTTCGGTCCCGACCAAAACGTTTCTCCGTTACGAGTTGAAGGAGCAGGTGCCGTGGTTCATCAAGAGATACATCTTTTTCAACAAGAGCGCTCCTCGCCCACCTCCCGTCTTTGAGCAGGAGGGCAAGTCGTATAGGGACTAGTTTGGTTTTAAGGAGAGTCAAAGGTTTTTTTCAGACTCATTGGAGTCCAAGGGAACTAGGTGCTGCAATCTGCAGGTTTATTACGTTTTGCTTATTTGGTCTTGATGTCGAAATTGTGTAATTGAAATGGATATATATCGTGTTCATGTAAATAAACAAATCCCTGGTTTTGCCGTAACGCCATTGTCGTGTTCATCTAAATAAATAAATCCCTGGTTTTCTCCGTAACGCCATTGTCTATATTTCTAGTGTTTGTTTCGCCTTGTTGGCTGGCGCATGGCCATTCGTCGGTATGCCGCGGCAGTCCTGATCCGGGCCTTCTTGCCCCAAATGAGGAGAGCGACGGGGCCGACAAGAATGACGGCTGCCAGCACAGCGATGATGATGTGCGTGTCCCGAATGCCCATGCCATCGAGCCAGGCGGTCAGGGCAAATAAAATGCCGACGGTAAGTAGGTTTCGGATGAGGGTGACGCCGACGAGCGCGTTGCCAATGACCTGCAAGATTAGCAACGAGAAGGCCGCAGGGGAGTGAGGGGACTTACATCATGATAGCAGTCCATGGCGTACGCCAGTGAAATGACGCCGCCAGCAGTGAGGCAGAATCCGTACATGCCGAATCCGACAGCCAGGACTGGCCAAGAAACGCCCTGCACAAGTTAGCGACGGAGACGAGGAGGACGGACGGTGCAGCGTACATTGTCAAGTCCCAGTCCAAAGAGGAGTATACCGGCGGGCGCAATGAGCGCCAGTGGAAGTATCATCCACAGGCGCATTTCGGGCTCGTAGATTCCGTGGTTCCGGTGCGCGAGCCACACGATCATCTTGTCGTTGAGGTAGCCCCCGATCCAGACGCCGGGAATGGAGGCGATAAAAGGTGCAATGTTCATCAGGCCGACGCCGATGGAGGTGAAGTTGTAGGGCGGATCGAACATGTACGTCGCCTGGACGGAGATGAGGGCGGCGAACCAGGCCAGCAAAACACCGTAGGCGAGCGCCGTGTACGTGATGGCGGGAAAGGTGACGAGGATGACGAGGGGCTCGTAGATGTCGTGCAGGATTGATCCGCTGGTTACGGTCAAGAGGGCAAGTCGCTGTCGGTACGACTTGATGGGGATGGACGAATCGATGGTGTGCACACTTGCTTCTCCTCCCAGCTCGGGCTCCAGTGAGTCGGAATCCGGGGTGTCGGCCACGAGGTTTTCCGAGGTGCCTCCCGAGTGCCAGCCAGCAAACGTATACTTTGTCTCCTCGAAGAAGAAGAGGACGAGGAGCAGGTTGATGCCAAACAGGATGGTGCACCACCACCAGACCCAGCGCCAGCCCTGGTTCTGGACGACATAGCCCGAGGCGACGGGGCCGAGGTAGGCGCCGGTAAAGGTGGCGAGCAGGGCGAGGCCGTTGACGGTGGCGTGCTGGTGGACGAAGAAGAGGTCGGCAATGGTGATTTGCACAATGGTCTCGCTGATGGCGCCGCCGACGCCGGAGAGGACGTTGCTGGCGTAGAGGTCGGCGACGGTGCGGGTGCGGGCGGCCCAGACGCAGGAGCCGAGCTGGAGGGCGGCGCTCGCGAGGTAGACGGGCCGGCGGCCGAGCTTGTGGACGAGCGGGACAAAGGCGACGCAGCCGAGGGCGAGCCCGAGGTAGTTGGCGGCGGCGGAGCCGTTGAGCGTGCCGTCGCTGAAGCCGAGCTCGTCAAAGTACTGGTCCCAGGCGGTGAAGCCGACGTCGAGCTGGACAAAGGTGAGGAGCGTGTAGAGGCAGACGAGGCCAAAGTTGACGGCCTTGCGCGCCGGGGACCAGTTGAGGGGGTCGTTTGGATCCGCGGTTGGGGTGGGATGGAGGAGGAGGCCCTTGAAGTCGCCTGTGGGAATGTGTGGTCAGTGAATCTGTATGTCGAGAGTTGCGGGTTGCGGGTTGCGGTGAAGAGGAACAAAACAGCAAACGCACCTTGTTCGAATTTCACAGTGCCCGGCGGCCAGCTGGCAGCAGCAGCGTCATGGTCGGTGGCGGGGAGCGACATGATGCAAAATGGCGCACAGCTTCAACCCGCTCGCAAGCAATTACAGGCTCTCGCATGAGGTGATGTGTGTTCCGAGGGGAGCATCAAGATGAAGAAGCATCGCTGCTGTTTAAGAGCAGGAAATTTTCTGCGCACCGTTTTTTTCTTATTTTATGCTTTCCCTCTTGTGACGACGCACGTCTCGTGCCGTCATCAGCATGCCCGGTTTCTGCCCGCCTTCCTGCCTCCGGTGCATCCGTGGTTGGCTGAACCAGCTAGCTTGAACTTTTTAGTGCGTTCTTGGGGGCGCTGGGCCGGCTTGGCTAGCCGGGTGCAAGATGGGTGTGATGGTCGCCAGCTGACACACGAACCACGTCTCAGAAAACTCTGTGCGTCGGGAACAGTATCGCGGGTGCAGAGGAAACTTTGCTTGCATTCGGTTAAAATAATAGCTTTTCATTTGAGCCTTGTTGACTGATTGAGGCTTTTCCTCGCCTCTTGCGAGATTTGTAGGTACCATGAAAAGCTAAACGGTATACGCGTAACGCTACTCCAACATGGTAAAGGGTATTTATAGTTGCACTGCACTAGGCCCTGTTGAGCGGCGGCCTGGTGCCTCGTCCGCGCATCATTTTAGCCTGAGCCTCTGACGTAGCACGTAGCACTCACTGAAACGTGTAGATGGCAGTGCGCTCTGGAAGCGTACTAGGAGATGCTGGCTTGAAGCGGAAAGAGGGAAAATGAAAAAAAAAAAAATAAAAAAAAAATAAAAAAAAATAAAAAAGAAGAAGAAGAAGAAAATAGAGAGAATCCATTACATTGAAAACAAAATCCGTTATAGTTATCTGTCCATGCATAGATCTGCACTCATCCATGGTCCATGAAGAGCCATGAGACAGCTCAGCATTCCCATGACTCGGTGGCGTATGGTTCTGTGCTCAGACGCACTTGACACACCTTGGAGAAGCATCCAAAATAGAATCAAGAATAGACGCCCAGACAAGGAATCCCCGCACTTGTCTTGGTATCGACACGTTGTGTAACTTCGTCGCGCCAGCTAGCAAAACCAGCTCTTTGGTCATTGGCAGATATATTACTCGCAGGTCGCACATCACCATGCGACTCAGCAATGCCCATCAATGCATCCAAATGGGATCCCAACGCGTGTCAACATCAGAATCCTAGTCGTGCCGTTGTGTGCCACATCCCTCCCCATCTCCGCCTCACCAATCATCCTGCACCAACACGGCCGAGCAGCCAATGCCGCCAATCGAATTCCGCGCCTCCATCTCCGTCTTGACCACGCGCAGCCGCGCCATCTCCGCCTTGCCGGCCTCGGGCGTCTCCATCTGCAGAACCTCAGTCGGGTCCACGACCACGACGCTCCGCTCCTCAGCCACGAGCCGCCTGATGCTCTCGTGCAGGATGCGCCGCGCCACCGTATTCAGCGAGTACACGTCGCGCAGCGAAATCACCACGGCGCAGCAGCCCGCGTGCGCGCCGGACCCCGGATCGCCGTCGTCCGGCGCGCCCAGCTCCCGCACGAGCGCCCTGCTCAGCCGCTCCGAGCCGGGGAAGCGCACGGCGCCGCGCAGGCTGAAAATGACCACGGCGCGCGCGCAGTTGGGGTGGTCCGGCTCCGCGGCGCCGGGCACAATCGTGGCGACGGTGATGCGCACCGTCGCGCCCGCAATCTGGCTCACGTCCATCATGTGCAGCCCCATGTCGCGCGAGAGCTGCTCGCACATCGCCACGCCGCGCACGCTGTTGCCGCGCTCGTCGAGCTTGGGCGAAAACGTCGCGATGCCCACCTGTCCCGGCAGCGCGCCGATGATGCCCCCCGCCACGCCGCTCTTGGCCGGGATCCCCACGTTGGACACCCAGTCACCCGCGGCGTCGTACATGCCGCACGTGGTCATGACGGAGAGCACCTGCCGCACGCTGGCCTGCGGGATCATGGCCACGCCGGTGACGGGGTGCACGCCGCCGTTGCTGAGCGTCGCCGCCATGACGGCCAGGTCGCGCACGTTGACCGTGATGGCGCACTGCCGGATGTACCCGCGCACCACGTCGCGCGGGTCGCAGCTGATGACGCCCGCGGCCTTGAGCATGTAGCCAATCGCCATGTTGCGGTCCGCGGTCCGCAGCTCCGCCTCGTAGACGGCCTCGTCGACGTGCAGCGGGCGGCCGGCGAGCTGCGAGAGGCCGCGCAGGATGCGCTCCGTGCGCTCCTCGGCCGTGCGGCCCTCGACGAGCGAGTGCGCCGTGATGGCGCCCGCGTTGATCATCGGGTTTACCGGCCGGTTCGTGCCGCGCTCGAGCGACAGGTGGTTGAAGGCGTCCCCGGACGGCTCGACGCCAATCTTCTCCAGCACCCGCGGCAGCCCCCGGTCCTCAATCGCCATGGCGTACACAAACGCTTTCGAGATGGACTGCATCGAGAACTCGACGCGGTCGTCGCCCACAGAGTACAGGTTGCCGTCCACCATGGCCAGCGCCACCGCCAGCTTGGACGTGTCGGCCTGCGCGAGCGTCTCAATGTAGCTGGCCGGCGCTCCGCGCTCAATGGAGCGCGCATTGTCCAGCACCGCCTTGAGGTAGTCGGGGATAGGAGACTTCATCGCTGAGCCGGGGGGGAGCCGCCAATTTCGTAAACGAGTTGTATTAGAGCCTTGCACCGAGTAGTTGTTGTAAAGAAAAGAATTCGGAACAGGAAATCATGTCCGCATTGGTCCGATGCACGTGGGCGGACCGACGGAAAAATTCCACTAAAAACCCATCAGCCAAGATGAAACTCAAAAATACGTGAAAGAGCCGTTTTTTTCTGGGCGAAAGGCTGATCGGGTCTTGGCAGGTTGAGCTATGCTTCTTTGAATACTGCCATGCGCAGTTACATAGCAGGCGACGTTATGACGTTATCCCCACCTGGAGACTGATCCAAGCCCCTGAGCCACATCATTCGTCGATTGGACACGAGCTATACAAATTACAAAGGGAACAATAGGTAACGAAACTGGGATGTACGGAAACTTGCGTTACAGCATACGAGCTCCGCTAGGATCTTCGGAAGGTTTCTGCGATTTGCCAATAGGGGGTTGTACTTGGTCAGCCTACGTCGTACGTCGTACCATCATCAGACATTTCCACGAATGCCATTGTTCAGTTATCCATGACATGCTGGCGACTGCCAGGCCGACGTAAATACGGGCGATAAAAGTACCATCGTATTGTATCGATAAAATAGTGCTGAGAATGCAACGTCCGTAGTCAAGTAAGTACAGGTACGTGGATACTTCACCGTCCGGAGTCAAGTAAATATTCGAGGAATATTTAAGTACGTGATGGACCCTGATTTTGGACACATGAACTCACCAACATCGACTACCACTTTTACCATGCTTCCCGTCTTTCTCTCCCTTCTCACGTTGGCGTGGGCCAACACACTCGGGCGCCGCTCAAGCTGCCACAGCGCGGACCCAAGCCACGAACTCTTGACGGTCCATTCCAACCTGGCAACTGGAGAGCTCGTCCGAAGAGCCCCTTTCCCGGAATCCGTCACCATTGAGACGTACGTGCACATTTTTGCCGAAAACAAGACATACGAGGGTGGATGGCTCAGTGTAAGTCCCACGCCCTCTCACGCCACAGACCGTCCGCTTCTAACAAGCCTGCTCAGAACAACACCATCGAGAGGCAGATCCAGGTGCTCAACCAAGGCTACAGCAGCACGCCTTTCAAGTTTGCCCTGAAAGGCATCGACAGGAATGTGACGCTCCTCCCCACGAACCCCCGCGTCGAGCCCCAAGTGCAGTTCAAGTTGCAGTACCGCAAGGGCGACTACCGCAGCCTCAACCTCTACTACGTGAGCGGAATCTTCGGCGGCCAGTGCACGTTTCCCAGCCTGCAGGCCTCGCTCGACAACTGGGCCGCCGACTTCTACCTCGACGGCTGCACCATGGGCGCCGACACGACGCCCGGCAGCAGCGGCCTGTTCGGCGCCGGCACCACGACGATCCACGAGGTCGGGCACTGGCTGGGCCTGCTGCACACGTTCCGCGGCGGCTGCAACTCCACCAACGGCGACTACATTGACGATACGCCCGTCGAGGCCGACTTTTCCGCCGACAAGGCCATTTTCGACACGTGCCCGGTTGGCCGCGACAGCTGCCCGGGCTTGCCAGGTCTGGATCCGATCCAGAACTACATGGACTATGCTTCGGAGTGAGTTTTGCTTTGATATAATCTCTAATAGTTTTCACGTTTTGCTCATATTCTTCTAGGGACTGCCGTACGGAGTTTACTCCCGGTCAGATCGATCGGATGAAGTCGCTTTGGGCATTGGTGCGCAACATTGAGCCAGGCCCTTGAGGCAGAGGCACGCCTGGGCATCACTAGACTGGACTACCAGCGTTTGAGGCTCTTGAAGAGGACGTTGAGGGATGCAGGTTGCTTGGAGCCGGAAAAAAGACTTGTATATGCTCGAAAGTAGTTGTGTAGTATGTAGAACAATGAGTTGAAAGCAACGGCGCAAAGGTATCAACATTATACGTAAGTAGCCCGGGGGCCAGAAATCAATTAAAAGAACTAAATCAAAAGAAATAAATTTCCAGCAAAGATGATCAGGTTTAATCTCAACTGCCAGCTTTTGCTACATCGATCGTTGACGCAGCTGGCGACCAGTAGATTTCCGCACACCACCAGGCCTAGCTCTCAAGCCAAACAAACCTAGCAACACCACTTCAACGGCCAAGCACATCGACTAGTCTTTACGCTTATCATCGACTAACGAGCAGTCCCTCATAGTCTACACGTGCACGACACCACAAAGTCAGAAAGACTTGCACGCCCGGGTTGTATCCCTGGTTCCCTTTGCAACTTATAACCGAGGAACTCTGTTCGGATATGGTTGCCCCGAAATGGCTTCCCGCAGATCAAGGGCTGACAAGACGTGTCCACCACAGCTGTAAGGGCGTATACCGTCTAGTATGATATCTTGGCTCCGCCAGAGCACCTCATGGGATCCATGCATGTACCGGCATGCACTCCATCAGCGCGCGCCCGCAGAGGTGGAAAAGGAATTGCCTCGAGTTTTTCACCTTGTTTTATTGTCTGCTAAGATCCAAAGAAAGGTGGACTGGAAAAAGTTGCCCAGCCCACCCGGTGCAGGACTCGGCGTTTTTGGGACGTGCATTGTCACATACAGGATCTAATCACTTTACATCTTATCAATCTCTGTCTGAGGCTGAATGCTACGACTGTCGCTTGGCAGTGAAGAGCCAAGACCTACAATCCAAATAGTATGGAGCGACCGTCATCATTCCTCTCCTAAATTTTCCATTCAATACCTATCCCGATTCGCAGTCGAGCCTGAATACACACTCCTGCCCTTTCGACTGGTCCAAGGATCGGAGCTCCATCACACCTCCATTTCAAAGCCTGCTCGGTGCCGAGGTGCACATCGACGAGGAGACATGGACTGAGTTTTCCGTCTCTCGCCAAGCTTCCGAAGACCTAGTTTTCTGTCTAGCGTCCCCACGAGCTGAGCAGAGCGGATACTCGACACAAGCATTTTATGTGTTTAAAATATAGTATCGATTACTGTTATCCATACATTTCCAGTACCGTATTTTAACTTTGGCTTTGCAGGGGAGTGTGCCGCCTGCTCGTCGTCGTGTTTTTCTGGGCCGCTTCGTTGATTGCCAAATTCTCATGGATCCGAGGAGGAAGAACAATCTTCTTCTTTTTCAAGTGCCAGCGGAACATGGGTCATTACCGGTCCGGTCCTTAACTTCTCCGCTAAAATAGCAACAAATGCCTCATTGACCCGCGTGCCACCATCGAAGCGTGTACCCATCTGCCCATGCTTATGCCCATGCCATCTAATCAATCAGATAATCAGGCACACACCCATAGTCCCGTTTTTTAAGCCTAGTCTGGCGCTCAGGTAGCGGTCTAGCTCCAGACCCCGGTATAACGATACCAGCTGGCGTGCAGATAAGACGCCCTGTTCTGAACGACCTGGGTGCTGTCACGAACGAGTCATTGCGCAGCACGAATACAACGGCCAGCACACCATATTCATTGGTGACAAGGTTCGTTTATCTAATGTAACTAGTCTGTAATTCCTGTCAAATCCTTTGTTTCTGTCATCTGAAGAGTGATACTCTAGCCAAGCATCAGTTCCATTAGCCTATTGGGGGTGCAACTGTAGATCGTTGACATGTTTGATGCTCGCCTTCTTTTATAGCCTTATTATAGTAGAGCTATAGTAGCACTATCGACGTGCATCGGCAGACGATAAAGGTGGAGCTACATCAATTAGCTTCTCTGTTGTCGTTCATGTGTGCCTCAAGCCTGCTCTTAGACGGTTGTCAGCCGTCATGTAGGAATAACGTCAAAGCCAGTTGCGGCTTGCAGCGGCCCCATCGACCAGAACAATATCCTTGCTCTGTTAATCATGGGGGTCTATCTATTAATAACATTGGCTGACGTTCAAGGCGAACATGCAAGGCGTTCCAACCTGATGTAACTAAAGTGACTGCTACCCTCGCCGCTCGTCGTCACAATCACACAAACCACCCAAGGGTAGCCGTCGACGGAAACAATGTCTGAGCCGAAAAAGATATTGATGCTCACCAACTCGGAGCATGGCCAGGCCAATGTTTTTCTTGCGACTGCCCACGAGATCCTCCAGATCGACGACACCGCTCAGATCTACATTTGCTCATTCCCGGCTCTGGAGCAATCCGTGGACGATATTCGCACGCTGCACGGCGACCGATCCGCCGATGCGCGGCTCAACTTCGTCAAGCTATCCGGGCCCTCGTGGAAGACGGCCCTCTTTGGCCGCACCGAGCACCAGTTCCAGGAGCTCAACGATATCCGCCCCACGATTTGGAATGTGGCCAAGGCGGCCAAGCTCACCCGAATTGCCTGTCCGTGGACCTCGGAAGAGCTGTGCGGCCTGGTAAAGGAGATTGAAAAGGTCATGGGCGATCTGGAGCCGGATCTGACCGTGGTGGATAACCTCTTTACCCCGGCCGTGACGATTTGCTACAAGCTGAAGCCGAACTGGATGGTCTTGTCTCCCAACACGTACAAGGAGTTTGCTCTGGCCAAGCAGCCGGATCAGCAATACTACTGGAAATACCCGCCGTGAGTTTGGCCTCGAGACTTGCTGCCCGCATGGTACTGACGCTTATTGCAACTAGGCCGCGCTCGACGATCCCGTTCCCGGTGCCGTGGTATCAGATGCCGTTGGTGTACTACATGGTGCGCAAAATGTATCTGAACCACAACGACCCATTCATGCTGGGCCACGCCGAGCAGATGAAAGCCGCCATTGACACCGACTACGCGGACTGGGCGTACATTTCCATCATCCCCCCCGACGGTCTCAAGGTGCTGCTGGCCACGCGCCCCGAGATTGACTTTCCGTTTGACGTGAAGCCGGAGCACATGGTCCCGTGCGGTCCCATTGTCCGACCGTCGCTGCCGATCCAGGACGCAGATGCTGACCTCGCGAAATGGCTGGCCGGGCGGCCGACTGTGCTCGTCAATCTGGGCACGCATGCGTCGTATGATGCCAAGCACGCGGGCGGCATGGCGGGTGCGCTGGACCTGCTGCTCGAGGCGGCTAAAAAATCGGAGAAGCCGCTGCAGGTGCTCTGGAAACTCAACAAGCGCGATGACTTTGACAGCTCGGAGAAGACGCTCACCGAGTTTAGCACCAAATGGGGGGATGCTGTCAAGGTGGTCGGCTGGCTGGACGTGGAGCCGACGAGCATCCTGGAGTCGGGCCATGTCGTCTGTTCCGTCAACCACGGAGGCGCCAACTCGTTCTTTGAAGCAATCAGGTAAGTCAAACATCGCTCAAAATGACAAGCAAACAGGGGACAGCTTTGGCTGACAGTTTGCAGTGCTGGGGTGCCGCAGGTCGTTCTGCCCGTCTGGGGCGACACGTACGACTTTGCCAAGAGGGCAGAATGGCTGGGCGTCGGTAAATTCGGCAGCCCGAAACACGCACCCAAGGTTGATGCGCGCGAGCTGGGACGCGCGCTCAAGGAAGTCGTCCTCGGCGCGCGGGCAAGCAAGTTCAAGGCAAAGGCCGTGGAACTGGCAATCCTGTGCAAGGACGGTGGCGGAGGAAGACATGTCGCAGCTAAAACCATCTTGGCTGCGATTGATGGCGATGAAAAGAGCACAGTAGTCTTGTAGTAACTCTCTACAACTCAGAGTACAGTATGTCTCCGAGTAGTTGTTGGGCTATAGTTGTGGAACAGCCAGTGTGCGGTACTACGTTGTGCAAACTTGGTATAAGTCGGAAGTCGTGTTGTAATACAACTTTCTACAACTCCGAGTACATTGCTCTTCCCAATACGTGTTAGTCTGTAGCCTTCTTACACTGTGCAATCCTGTGTGTTAATGAGTAAGATAACTGTTGCATTGTGACCCAGCTCGCATGACCCAGCTCGCAGACTTGTCACTCGGAAGATGATCAAATAACAAAATCAAAAACTTTTTATTAAATATCTAATGAATGTCAACACTCGTCTACTATAGAATAAATTACTGCAACATCTGCTGCATGGCGTTGAGCCTGTAGCTTTCATTCCGCTCCACCAACTCGGCGTGTCGCCCCTGGTCCACAATCTTGCCGCCCTCGACGACGAGAATCATGTCCGCCTTGTGCACCGTATGCAAGCGATGTGTAATGGCCAGCACGGTCGTTCCCTGGGAGGCCCTCTCGAGGCCCTTTTGCAGCGCCGCCTCGCCCTCGGCGTCGAGCGCGCTCGTGCTCTCGTCGAGGAGCAGCAGGCGCGGTTTGCGCACGAGCGCGCGCGCAATCGCCACGCGCTGTCTCTGGCCGCCCGAGAGACGCGAGGCAGACGGGCCGCACGCCGTGTTGTATCCGTCCGGCAGCGCCATGATTTCTTGGTGGATGTTGGCGGTGCGGCAGGCTTCCTCAATCTCAGCGTCTGTGGCCTCGTGACCGGGCACGGCGCCGAGGGCCACGTTGTGGCGTACAGTGCCCTCGAAGAGCGCGGGATCCTGGGGAACCAGCGCAATGACGTTGCGGAAGGAATCCGGAAGAGTGGCGATATCCAGCCCGTCAATCAGCACACTGCCAGATGTGGCGGCGTAGAGCTTCTGAACCAGGTTCATAATGGTGCTCTTGCCCGCACCCGAAGGTCCAACCAGTCCGATGAACTGCTTTGGTTTGGCAACAAAGGAGACGTTGTCGAGGACAGACACGTCTGGGTTGCTGGGATAGGAAAAGGACACGTCTTTGAACGTGACTGTCACGCCTGTCTGCTCTTGGGAAAACGGGCTCGGCGTCTTCGCCTCGCCCGACGACTCTTGATCGTCGCGGGACTCGTCCAGGTTCAAGTTAGACCCAATGTGGACAATGGACATGACACGCGAAATGGCCAGGCGGGCGCGGGAGAACTCTGGCGCAAGCGTGAACATGGTGCCCCAAAGCTGCGCACTTGTCAGCATGGCGACCAGCACAATCAGAAGATCGCGCTGCGAGTACTCGCCCCTCATGATGAGCTGCGAGCCCCACCAATAAGTCAGTCCGTTGACAAAAGCCGAGATGGAGTGGGAGAGCGCCAGCATGATGTTGGTCGTCGCGGCGGAGCGCACAATCTGCTTGGCCGGCGGGTCCAGCAGCCGCGTGTACGAGTTCATGTACGTCTTCTCGAGGGACAGGGTCGCGACGGAGCGGATGGACTGGATGGCTTCGGTGGCGAGCGCGTTGGCCGTGGCAAAGGCCTCGTTGTGGCGCTCCTCGAAGCGCGCCAGCATGCGCAGCTGCATGATGCCGCAGCCGAGCAGGATCGGGATCGTGACGAGCGTGACGAGCGCAATCTTCCAGGCGTAGATGTGCGAGACCACAATCGCGATGATGATGTTGACGCACACGGCGAAGAGCGTGCCAAACGTAGAGCCGCTAAACGCCCCGATGGACATGCAGTCCTTGGTGATGATGGACAGCAGGCGCGTCGGCGTCCGGCCCTCGGATACGTGCCATTCCAGGTTCTGCTCTAGCAGCGACCGGAACGAGAGCTTGCGCAGCGCAAAGAGCACGCGCTCGCCGATGATGCCGAACCCGAGCCACGCGAGGAAGTTGGCAAAGAGCTCCACGGACCCGAGCATGAAGATCATGCCCGCGAAGAAGCGCCCCTTGGACAGGATCCCGGCAATCGTGTTCTGGCACGGGTTGAGCGCGCCCACGGTGTACCCAAAGATGAGACCGGAGCCGGAGAACGTGGCGCCGACAATGGCCGCGGCGACCAGGGCAATGGCGAACCACCCCAGCGAGGGCCGGATCAGCCAGGTCACTCCCTTGATGACGCTGCTGAAGGGCTGCTTCGCGATCGCATCTTCCACGTCCGCTTCGTCCTCCTTCGCAGCAGCCTTGGGGACAGGCTTTTCGTCCGCATCAGCAATCTCGGTCGATGTCTTGCTGACCTTGTCGTCGAGGTCATCGACAGACGTACTAGCACGCGAAGCAGGGGCGTCGTGGCCTCCCGAGGCGCCCATCTTCTGCAGCTGGTTCAGGTGCGCAAACCTGCCGCCCGGAATGGCCATGAGCTCCTCGTACGTGCCCTGCTCCATGACCTGGCCGGCCTCCATGACGACGATGTTGTCGGCCGCCTTGATGGTGGACAGCCGGTGCGCAATGGACACAATGGTCCTCTTGCCGTGGGCGGCCTCGCGCTCAATCGCCGCCTGGATCTTGCGCTCGCTTGCGGAGTCGACGCTGGCCGTCGCCTCGTCCAGGATCAGGATCTCCGGATCGCGGACCAGCGCCTGCGCGAGCGCGATGCGCTGCCGCTGCCCGCCGCTGACAAACGTGCCGCCGGGACCGACCGACGTTCCGTACCCCAGAGCGAGGTTCTCGACAAACACGGCTGCGTCGGCCTTGCGGGCGGCTTCGCGGACCAGCTCCACGACGCGCGCGGCGGACGCACCCTGCGAGGCAGCCCACGTCAGGGCGTCTCGTCCCTTGGTGGCCGCTTCGGCGAGCAGCGGGCTGTCGAGCACGGCCTTGAGCTCCTGGTGCGCCGGACGGGGTGAGTTGACGAGACCGAGCGCAATGTTTTCGAGAATGGAGCAGTCAAAGAGCGACGGCTGCTGCTGCACAAAGGTCATGGTGCTGCGGAGGGAGCGGACGTTGAGAGAGCGGATATCTTGGCCGCACATTTCAATCCTTCCCTCGGTTGGGTCGTGCAGACGTGCAATGAGCGCTGCAACAGTCGACTTTCCGCTTCCTGACAGGCCGACAAGCGCAGTGTGCTTTCCGGCCGGGAAGGCAAGGTTGATGTTGCGCAGAGCCGGCTGTCCAGGGCGAGTCGGGTATTCAAAGGTGACGTCCCGGAAGTAGATGGACTTTTCGGTTTCAGTGTCAAGCTGGATTCCGGAATCCGAAGTGCCGTCAATGGACGAAGGGGTCTGGATGTCTCCCATGAGGCGATTGTAGGACGCAACCGCGGAGCCGAGATACGGGACCAGGGGCGCCAATCCGCCCAGCATAACACACGCTGCATCAATTAGCCATGATCTCGTCAATAACATTCATTCCTCCTTACCATCAATGAGAAGATACACAATAGCATAGATCTGACCAATCGAGGATCCGCCACTGTTGCTCGCGGCAGCATTGGCGATGCGGATGCTGCCCTGCCAAAACGCCAAAGCATTCGCCGCATACGCGATAAAGTACAGCAATCCGGTCTGCACCGAGGCGACGGCCGCCTTCTTGATGGCGTTGCTGCGGGCATCCACCATGAAGTCGGTAAACATCTTCTCCAGGCGCGCGGCGGCGCTAAACGCCTGAACGACGGGGATGTGCGAGAGCGCCTCGGACGCAATCGACGAGGCCTGCGAGGCGGCGTCGTTTTGCTTGCCCATGAACTGGGCAATGTACTTGCTGCTGAGCGAGCCCGAGATGAGAAACGCGGGCAGCACGGAGATGAGGATGCCTGCCAGACTGGCCTGGGTCGAAAAGGCAATGACGAAGACGGTGATGATGAAGCTAAAGGTGGTGATGATGGTGCCGACCTTTTCCGACGTGCCGGACTGGATGGCGGCAATGTCGCTCTGCAGCCGGCTCGACACCTCGCCCGAGGAGCCGCGCGTGTCGAAAAAGGACGGCGGCTGGCGCAGCAGCGCGGCGAGGTAGTGGCTGCGCATGCGCCGCGCGAGCCGCTGGCTGATGACGCCCCAGCACGTGAGGTGGATGTAGATGAGCACGAGCGCAATGGCGCCGATCCACGCCGTCTTGATCACCTTGTCGTTGATGGCCGACTCGTACCGGAACGGGTCCTGCCCGGCGGCGCCGCCGCCGTCGTCCTGCGCCGCGCACGTCGCGCTGTTGAAGTCGTCGACGAGCTGGCCGAAGAGGACACCCATGAGGGGAAACGGCACGCCCGCGGCGGCCGCGCAGATAGTGCCGGCAATGATGAGCAGCACGTCGATGATGGTGGGCTGCGCGGCGAAGAGCAGGCGAAAGTAGACAAAAAAGTTGCCGAGATCCTGTGGCACGACGAGGTTAGTTGGCGCGTTGAGCTTTCAGAGGGCGGTCTTGCAACGTACCAGCCCTTTCTTTTCTGCGTCCTCGGCATCTTTGGGTATCTCAGCACCGGCAGAGGGTGTTGGGGAGCTGCCCTCTGCCTTCTCCGGGCTACTCTTTTTCTCTTCGACTCCCATGTTTCCTCGATCTGCGCAGTTTCCCGCGACTTGACACGAGCTGTCGAAACACGAGGGTTGGCCAGAAGACTTGCAGTAGGCTAGAGCGTAGCAGCAATCACAAAGCTAGATAGATTATCGTCCCTTTCAGATCAAGGTCGAGGACGTGCGTGGTTTGTACAGGATTTGGAGAAAACCTGCCCATCTGTATTTGTGGCAACCCTCCGCTGGAGAAACAAGAACGGCCGCCACTCTTGGCACAAGTCACGTCAAGCGGCCGATCGTAGCCCGCCGTGCTCGGATTTACGAATACAGAACAGTCGGAAATGAGGGGGGGCAGACGGGCAAGGCCAATGCGACACTATTCGAGAATGGGCCTACGGAGCCGACTTAGCAGATGGTTCTAACAGAGTGGGAAGAAAGAGGAGCAAAAGGAGGGAGGCGATGGCCAAGCAACCAAGCTACAGCATGGTGGGGGAGAAGCAGACCAGTACAGCATGTCGACCCGAAAAAAGCAGGGCAATTATCAGATCATCCTGGCTCGTCGTCGGTGGGGTTGGGGGCGTGAATGTGATATAAGCATAACAGGTGGGCTTTTGTCTGAGCGGTAGATGGTGGCCAGGGACCACCCGCCAGTCGCGCATAGTACGGCCGATCCGAGTCTTTTCCTGTCCTTTGCGCTCACTAGTTTAGTTGCTCGTTATTGATCTATCTTGGATGTCAAGGCACTCTGGGAGCTCGCCCCGTTGCAAGTGCCGACCATGTGGATCGGTTGCTGAAGCAGGTCTAATGTCGGGCAGGCTGAAACCCATGTTTTCTTTCCCGTAGAATATTTACATCTGCGACTGGTAGAGCTAGATCCTCGGCCGAAAAAAGGGCAAAAAAGCTCATAAATCGGTTGTATTTCTACGGAAGCCTCTCCGGCATCCAACATGGAGACCAACACAGAGGCCCGGCGGCTCTTATTCCTCACCAATGCCGAGCTCGGCCAGGCCAATGTGCATCTCGCCGTGATTGAATGGCTTCTGGCGCACCAGCCCCAAATCGAGCTGCATCTGTGCTCCTTTGCGTCGCTGCGGCCCGCCGTCGCCGCCATCAACGACGCGGCCGGGGCGGACACGGCAGCGCCGCGGGTCACGTTCCACGCGCTATCCGGCGCGCCCTGGAAAGAATGCCTCTTTGAGCGGCCGGAGCACCAGTGGCAGGAAATTTGCGCCCTGCCGCCAACGGCGTGGAGCGTGGCGCGCTCCGCGCCGCTGATGCCGCGCGTGGTGCTCCCGTGGAACGCCGACGAGCTGGTCGACCTGACCCGGCAGGTCAAAGAGGTCGTCGAGAGCGTGGACGCGCAGCTCGTCATCGTGGACAATCTGTTCACGCCCGGAATCACCGTCTGCTACAACGTCAACCCAAAGTGGTGCGTGCTGTCGCCCAACACATACCGCGAGTTTATCCTCGGCGACCAGCCGCGATACGAAAACTACTGGAAGCATCCGCCGTACGTTTTGCCCGCCCGCCCAGAGCACACGCTGAGCTAATTCTCTTTCCAGAACGTCGTCATTTATCCCGTACCCAGTGCCGTTCTACATGATACCCTCGGCGCTGTACCATCAGCGCCAGTGGACGAGGAACAGGCAGAGCACCTGGATACACGAAAACGCCGTGCATTTGTGGGAGAAGACGGACAAGAAGATCATCTACGCAGACTGGGGGCGGCTGAGCTACGACCCGCCCAAGGACCTCAAGATATTTCTGCCCAGCAACGCCATTGTCGACTTTCCCTTTTCCAAGATCCCGGACCACATCGTCTCGTGCGGACCAATCCTCCGCCCTGTCGCGACCTCTCTCGAGGAGGCGGATCCTAAACTCGCCGCGTGGCTCCGTCGGCGTCCGACCGTCTACATCAATCTCGGAACCCATGTCCTGTACGACAGCGACACGCAGATCAATCTGGCCGGCGCCATCAAAGCGCTGCTCGAGGCCGCCGCGGCGAAGAAGCAGGATATCCAGGTGCTGTGGAAAGTGAACCGGGACAAGAAGAAGGAGGGCTCAGACCACGAAGCTCTCTACAAGGAACTCGGCCAAGATGGCGATCAGGACCGCGTGTTGATCGTGGACTGGTTGTTGGCCGAGCCCGTGTTGGTGCTGAATTCGGGATCCATTGTATGCTCTGTCAACCACGGCGGCGCAAACTCCTATTTCGAGGCAGTCAGGTACGGAATATCCGAGTCTTCCAGGGTTCCCTTTTTTACTAACTTGGTATAGTGCCGGCGTTCCCCAAATCGTCCTGCCCGTGTGGTTTGACACATACGACTTTGCCCGGCGGGTGGAATACTTTGGCATCGGCAAGATTGGCAACCGCAACAACGCGCCAAAGTGCTGTAAAGACGAGTTGGCGCCGATATTTAAACAAGTCGTGCTAGAGGAGGCAGGCAAGCTGATGCAGGCCAAGGCAACAAAAATGGCCGAGGCGTGCAAGGCGAGCGGGCAGGGCTCGGAGAAGGCGGCCAGGGGCATTCTAGAGTTACTGGAGGGTACTGCGGCTTGAAAGTTTCCAAACACCTATAATGGAAGTATAATAACATGTGGATTTGCCGGCTTATAGAACGAGATGGGCGGGCTGCAAAGCACCGTTAAACGAAGCTTTGTTGGATTATCTCCGTATTAAGGTGACAAGATCAACGAGACGCGGCCCAACATTCCTTCGACCTAAGTTGCCGTGTAGCCACCATCCACCAGAATGTCCGTTCCAGTCACATACGACGAAGCATTCGAAGCGAGGAAAAGATAGACTGCTTTCAACTCGACCGTTTCGCCGAATCGCCTACCCTAGATCAGCGAGTGCAAACATTAAGCAGAGGGGCATTTAAAATACATACCCCATCGGGACTTTATCCATAATGGCGCTCATGACTTCTTCTGCGATGGGACCGGAAATGCCTGTGTTGAAGAAGCCAGGGGATACGCTGTTGACGCGCGCAAAGCCCAGCCATTCAATAGCAAGAGACTTGCCTGTGAGTGCCGTCGTCAGCCCGCTTGTCCGGTGTGCGATTGTGTCCTCTTGCCAGAAACAGACACTACAGGTACTCACAGAGGTGAATGATGGCGGCCTTGGACGTATTGTAGACGGCCTGCTGCCTCGGGATGTTGACAATGTGGCCAGACATGCTCGCCTTGGCGATGAAGCTGCCATTGGCAAAGTCCTCCAGCTTGGTCCCGTGCGTCGTTATGCCCTCCAGTTTCTGCCTGCGAAAGTGCTGGCCGGCCACATGCGCGCAGTACGCGACGCCGTCCGTGTTGATGCTCATCAGTCCGTGGTACCGTGCGACGCTCGCGTCCAGAAAGGCCTCGTCGCCCCACGAGATGCCAGAGTTGGCGACAAAGACGTCCAGACGGCCGTTGAGATCCTGAACTGCGCTGCTCACCGCGCGTTCCACCTCGTCGTACGAAGTGACGTCGACTTTGTGAGCCTTGCCTGTCCCACACCAAGTTGGTATCAGTATCTCTTGTCCGACTGCTGCTGAGGGAATGCACAGCTGGGGCAACATTACATTTCACGCCGTAATTTGCTTCCATCTTTGCAGCCTTGGTGACGGCTTCGCTGTTGCGGTTGTACCAGAGGGCGACGTTGGCGCCCGCCTCGGCAAAGGCTTCGGCGGCCGCGAAGCCGATACCCTGCCCGGCGCCGGCCACGATGGCCGTCTTCCCCGCCAGGGAAAAGAGCGGCATGACGGCGCTGCCCGCTGGAGCCGCCGTGTTGTTGCGTCGAAACACGCCGTGTTTCATAGCATTGGCCATTGTTTTCGGATGCGCGCGTGTGTCTCGCTAAGAATACTATTAGAATCAAGGTGTATTCGAATAATAATAAAAGCAATAATAATATTAATTTAGTTCCTAATAATTAAGATAATCTAGATAACTCTAATATAAACACTACCTTCCTTAATAGCTAAGATTAATAGGTCTATAGCCTTTAAAAGTAAGTCTCCTACCTATATACTAGCTAATAAAAGGCTAGCTTTAAGTTACCTACTTATATAAGGTTAATATTTATACTTTCTTTTTTTATAGCTTTATAAATAAACTTAATTTACTTAAAAATATAATAAAAAGCTATTCTTCTTAGTATTATTAATATTAAAGCTTTATTCTTCTATTCTAAGCCTTTCTTAGCTAATTAAACCCCTTTTTTCCCTTTATATATATACTTTTTTTTTAATAATTCCCTTAATACCTTAATCTCTTAATAATTTACCTTTTTTAGTTTATTTTTATATTTTACCTATTTTTCTATTTATATATTTATTTTTATATTATTTAATTTAATAATACTTTTATTATAATATTAATTAGGTTATTATTACTATTAATTTATTATAATTTATAAACTTCTTTTCTTTTATATAATTAATAAAAAACTATAATATTAATTATTAGCTATTTCTTTTTAATTATTTTAAGCTTAATAAGGTATTTATATAATAATAAAGAGTTAATATAAATAATTATTAGGATTTTTAGGATATTTAATTTCTTTATAATTATATTAATTATTAAGCTAATAGTATATTCTATATTTATTCTTATAACTATATTATATAATTTTAATACTAAAGTTAATTTTATTATTTTTTTTAACTTTATTAAGTTTTAAATAATAATATTTCCTTTAAATATAAATTTATTATTATTAATTTATTCTTTATTACTAATTATAATAATATAACCTATTTAAAAACTTAAATCTTTATTATTAGTAAATAATCTATTAATAAAAATAAATATCTTTACTTTCTTAAAGTCTATTAAGATATATTAAATACCTCTTTCTTAATTATCTATTTATTACTAGATTCTTATTCTTAGCTTTTTAAAGTCTTTTTTTTTAAGTTATTACTATTATATAACTATAGAAAGGTTAAATACTACTTCTAGCTAGTAAATACTAGTAATATATACTCTTTAGGCTTTTTATTAAGTATACTCTTTTTTAGTTAAAGGTATTTTTAGTTTCTTTCTTTATTTATATTAGCTTATAATAATTATATTATCTTTTTTAAGGTCTAGGTAGTAGCTATTAAAGAATAATAGGTTTTTTATTATTAAATTATTTTTTAACTTTATAATAATACCTACTTTTAATATCTTTTTATTTTCTTTTTTAATAAAGCCTTTATTATTTAAAATAAGTATATTATTTATTTAAAAACTTATAATCTTAAATTCCTTTTTATTTAAAATAAAAAGGTATAAGTTAAATATTAAAATAACTATATTTAGCTATTTAAAAAGATACTTTAAATATATTATATACTAGTAATTACCTAATTCTAGGATATTATAAAGAAGCCTTAAAACTATTATAATTATACCTTATAGATATTAATATTATAGTTATTTTAATAACCTTATTAGAATTATTCTATTTAGTATTATTTTTAATTAAGTATATACCTAGGTAATATCTTTAAACTAGATTTATTTCCTAATACCTTTTATCTTATTATATTTTTTATCTCTTTCTTTAATAATTAAGAAAGTAATAGTAATAATAATTCTCTAGCTTAATTATTAAATTATAAATAATATTATTAAAATTAAGGCTTTATCTTAGTTATTAAAACTATAAATTACTATTCTAGACTTTTTATACTTCTTCTTAATTTCTTTACTTTTAATTTTATTAATAAGCTTTAAATTAAAGATTTATATATTTTTATAAACTTTAAGATTAAATTTTATAAATTTAAATATACTAATAGTTATTAGGCCTTTAATTTCTACCTTATTTAACTATTTAAATAGTATATTAGGTATTATAATAATTCTAGCCTTATATAATTTAATTACTAGCTTATAATTACTTTTTTCTTTTATAAAAAGGTATATTTTAAAATATATAGTATTTTCCTTATTTATAGTTTCTATTATAAAGATTTTATAGTTACCTTTATTATTTAGGTAATTTATATACTTTTTAAATTCTATATTTATTAAATAGACTTTATATTTTTTTACTAGCTTACCTTTTATTAATTTTAATAATCTCTTTATTATTATCTTTTCTACCCTCTTTTTTATAATCTTATCCTCTTTAAAGGGGTTTAAACTATATAACTAGGTAAAATTTCCTTTTTCTCTAGCTTAAAGACCTTTTATTATTTATTATTAACTAGGCTAGGCTAACTAAGACTAGATATTAATAAGAATTATTATCTAGTATTTAGTCTAATTATTATACTTAATAATATATACTAGCTTTAGTTTTATTAGGTTATCTTCTTTATTTTTTTTACCTTTAGATTCTTTAATATTATTAGTAAAGGCTTAGTCTTTATTAATATCTTAATTAAAAGCTAGGCCTATAGTGTTTTTATTAAAAGCCTAGTTTTTATTAAAGTCTTAATTAGAAGCTAGGCTTATAATACTATTAAAAAATACTTAGCCTTTTAATTCTATAATTTCTTAGCTAGGCTATATAGTAATAGCCTTTTAATTATACCTTAATAGTATTAATAGGGCTTTATTAATATCCCTATTCTTAAAGAGGTTCTTAGCTATTATTCTAAACCCCTTTTATACTCTACCTTTACCTTTATTACTTTCCTTTTTATATTTTACCTTAACCTTCTTTATTCTTTCTTTCTTTATCTTATCCTTTTAAAAGGAATAGATTACTATTAAATAGAACTTTAATAGTCCTTTTAGTATCTTAATAATATAGGTTTTACCTTTTATTATAATTATCTTAAATAGGCCTTACTATTCTTTTTTTTTATACTATATAAAGATATCTAACTATAAAGGTAGTTAGTAAAGAGAGTTTATATTTAAACTATTTCTTTAGGCTTATACCTTTTTAATTTAATACTTTTAATAAAGAATATAGACCTTTATTATTACCTTCTAAATTACTTTACCTTATTTATAGGTATTTAAATAAAAAGGTAATTAATAGGATATTTAAAGGTATATACTAAAGACTAGTAGTATTAGGATAAGGCTATTTAGGCTTACTATATTATTAATAGCTTTAATAACTATTTAGAAGATTTAGTATTTATTTATAATATTATTAATATTATTTTTAATAACTTTAAATACTTAATAAAGAATACTATAATACCTTTTTACCTTTCCTATACTATTATAAGCCTTAATAAAGATAGCTTAAATCTAAATATAAAAGCTATTTATATAGTATTTAAATTTAATAAAAATAAAGTTCTTTCTAGTATTATAAATAATCTAGTTAGGTAGGCTAATATATATATTAATCTAGTATTCTAGAATTATATTTTATATATTCTTTACCTTCTAATCTTAGCTTTAAAGGAATCTTATAGCTTAAAAAACTATTACTAAATTAATAATATAAAGAACTAGCTTACTATTAATATAATAGATATTTACTATAATCTTATAGTTAAATTTATAATTATTCTTAATTATAAAGTAGAATTAGCTAGGGGCTTTCTAGTTTAATTAGTAATTCTTATATATCTTTATTATCTTCTTTAAAGTATTAATATTAAAGTCTTTACTAATATACTCTAGAATATTACTTAAGTAGTAAGCTAATAGGTAGTTAAATCTTTAATATAGTTACCTAAGCTCTTATTCTATAAGGTAGAAGGCTACTACTAAAGCTAGGCTTAATAGCTAAAATAAGTACCCTTATTACTTAATTATTAGGATAATAATATTACCTTTAATAAGGGTGTTTATAAGGTTATTAAACTAAATACTAAATTAATCTATATTCTTAAGGAATATTAAGAAAGAGGTTAGTATTAAAAGGACTTAGAATTTAAGGTTATTAATAGCTATTTATAGCCTAATAATACCTAATAATATAACTAGGTTTATTATATTAAAAGATATTATCTTTATAGTTTTATTATTCTATTTAATTTAGACTATTAGTATAATCTTTATTAGTACTTAGGCTTATAGTATATTAATACTAAATTAACTAGCTACTTTTATATTAAGTAAGATACCTTTAAATATACCTAATAAGTATCTTTCTTTAGAAATAAAGACTTAGTTATTCTTATAATCTCTTTATTCTATAGGGTTTTTTTTAATATAAAAGTAATAAATAGTATTATTAGCTAACTTAACTAGTATATCTTTTAGTAATAACTTAGCTTTTATTACTATAAAATATTCTATTATAAAAAAAGTTAATACTAAATTATAAGCTAACTACCTACTTTTATCTTTATTATCTATCTCTTCTTCTTTACCTTAGTTATCTATATTTATATAGAATTAATTAATTACTTTTTAGATATTATTAATTTCTTTATTTTCCTTAATACCTTTAATCTTAGCTAAGAATACTTAGTATCTTTTAGTAGTTAGTAGTTTTAAGTAGTTTTTACTAAATTACTTCCTCTTAGCCTTTTTATATTCTTTTTAGGAGTAGTTAGTTAACTAATATCCCCCCTTTTTATAAATAAAGTATTTCTTTAAAGGTTAATTTCTTTAATTATTTTTATTATAAAAGTTATTCTTTTTCTATAGTTATTAATAATAGTTAAAAGGTTAGTTTTAACTATAATTATTATTACTATTATTTCTAAATTTATAGTCTATAAAAAATATATTTATAAAAGGCTTATTAATTTATTTATATATAGTAATTAATTATTAAATATTAGCTAATAACTCTTTAAAATTTATAGCTAACTTAAGTAATATAAAGGTATAGGCTAGGATACCTTAAACTACTATTTAAAGGGTCTATATAAGGTCCTAAAAGCTATATAATTAGCTATTAAATATTCCTTAATATAGGCTTTATATCTTATTAGTTATAATTATTAAGTATTAGGTTATATTCTTATTATTATTTTTTCTTATTATATTTATAAAAAAGAAAGCTAGCTATTCTTAATAGTATTTATTAATCTTAATAACTAGCTTAAAGTATACTTTAATACTTATAATAAGCTTTTTAAATTCTATATCTTTATTAATAAGGTTTATAATATAGAAGTTCTAGGCTTAATCTTTTAATATAATAAAGAATACTTAATTAAATATATCTTTTAAGATCTTAAACCTTCTATATTTATTAAGGAATAAGTAGAATTTAATATTAAAGAAGTTATCTTTATAGCTTCTAAAGAACTTTTTAGTATCTTAGAAGTTCTTTTTAAGATTAGCTAGTTTATAGGGAATATCTACCTTTAACTAAAAAGGATTATAGTCTTCCTAATATAAATTAAATCTTAGTTAATTATAGGTTAAGTTATAGTTACTAAGGTTATATTAACCTAGATTATAGCTACTATATTATTATTTAAATAGTTATTAGTAACTATTTCTATTATATTTTAGGCCTTAGAAATAGTTATTTCTAACTATTCTATAAAGTATATATTCTTTACCTTTAGCTATAGTATTTATTATTAGGTAGTTAGTAAGGTAGTTATTTATAGTTAAGGTTTAATAACTACTCTTAATATTAGCTATAAGGTATTTACTATTATAGTTATTAGTAGTTAAGGTTTAATAATTACCTTTCTAGCCTTTAGGGATTCTAAGGAATTCTAGAGTTATAAGGTATTTATCTAAATTTTCTTATATACCCTTATTTCCCTAATTAAAGTATATATATTCCTCTATTTAGTAATTCTATTCTTCCTATATTAGTTCTTACCCTTATTAAGGTTTTAAATAAGATAGTCTTTATATTTATTTATTAATAGGTCTTTTAATTAGAGTTAGGGTTATTAGTTAATAGTATATTATAAAGGCTTATAGTATTTTAATATAATTTAAGTAATCCCTATTCTTTTTTAACTATTTTAATAGCCTTTTTATTTTTAATAGTTTTATTAGTTAGTTCTATATCTTAATACCTAATCTAATTAGTATATAGATACTTTTACTTTAAAGAAAATTATAAAGTTCCCTTTTAATATATTAGCTAAGTCTATTAAATATAGCTAGCTATTACTTTTTAAACTCTTTTTAAAAAATAAGAAGAGTTTTATTAAAGAATTAATATTTTTATCTTAGTATTTTAAAATATAACTATATCTATATAACTATATTATTTAAATCCCTCTTTATTATTATATTTAAGTTAATTTTTAATAACTAGTTTTTTATTTATCTTTTTATTATAGCTTTTATTATATTATAGAATTAGTCTAATAATAATAGCTTTATAGTACTTTTATTTTCTACTTTTAGCTTATTTACTATTCTTTAAGATTAACTTAATAATAAATATTTTAAGGTTTTATATTTTTAATAAGCTTTTTAATAGTCTTAGTTATTATTATTTACTAAGAATAAAGATCTTAAGAATCTTTTTAGATTATTTATTATTTTTATCTTTTAGCTTTTAAATTTAATAGAAAGTATATTTATTATTATTTTTAATACTAATAAGTAATAAAAATTAAGCTTATTCTATTAATAAATCCTTTTAAAAAGATCTTAAGTTAAATATAGATTATTAATTTAATAATAAATACTTTAATTAGGTTTTTTAAAGGAAGTTTTCTTATAATAAATAATAAAATAAATAATCTTTATAAACTATAGTAAATAATAATCTTTTACTTTAAATAATATAAAAAAAATTATAATTAATCTACCTTTTCTTTATCTTAACTATTTATAGTTTTTAATAACTATTAATTAGTATTAAAATTAAAGTATATTTAAATAATAATAAAAGTAATAATAATATTAATTTAGTTCTTAATAATTAAGATAATCTAGATAACTTTAATATAAATACTACCTTCCTTAATAGCTAGGATTAATAGGTCTATAGCCCTTAAAAGTAGGTCTCCTACCTACACGCTGGCTAATAAGAGGCTAGCTTTAAGTTGCCTGCTTGCATAGGGTCAATAAATACAATGTGCGTGTTTTGACGGCTTCTCGTCGGGAAACCCCTCTTCGGCCTTGTTCGGCGGCGGCGGGTCAAGTTCCGTCGCGATGTTGCTCATAATGACTAGTGTCCTACCAAATCGCGACTTTTAGAGGCTGTGGAGCGCTAGTGCAAGCTATAGGGCAGTGTTGTGCTTTTGAAGCCGCCAAAGACTACAGGATGGTGACACTAGAAATACTGAGACTGTGTGAGGCTACATGCATCGCAGAAGACTCTGGCTAGTACATGGAAGCCACTGGGCTGTCTCGCCGATATGCAGAGTAGGAAATAATCATTGTTACAACGATTGACATGTGCGTGAGATTGAGCCACAGCGTCAGATTGGTATAAGCTAGAAATGGAGCCGTCGTGCCTGACTAGTCACTGTCCTGATTTTCCCGTCCAATCCAGTACCGAGATTCCTCTTGGCGCCGACACACTCACACTTGCGAAGCAGGAATATCTTCTTAGCCTCGGAGCCTCGGTGGCACGACGGGATGGCGTATTTCCTGGGAGCTATGGCACGCGGATCCTGTCGAGCGATACGTTGCATCTTGCTGTCGCGAATAAAGACATCCTGACATCGCTGCTAGCGTGAGAATAGCTCCGGTTGGGGGCAATAGTTAGATGACATGTGCGCAGACTTGTGCGTGTGCCCAAGGCAGCAAGAAAAGATGACTACTCTACAGTCCTCCAGCAATCGGGATAGTTGACCAGTTCTCCTTCTCAGAGAAAAGATGTATCGATCATGAACAGAGGCCCGAGGAAGCGTTCGTCCGATACATGGGCTAAAAGCCACCAAACCGCTTCAAGTCACCCGTCAATCAACCCCTGGTCGGGAGCTTTCTTTACACGAATCACGCGAGAGTTCCCCAGAAACTATTCCCGCAATCTGTCGCGCTACCAACCTTGGCTCTTCACCAGTCCAGCTGGTGGCCATCAATGACTTGGCGCACATTCCCCATTTGGCAGCTCGACCGTAAATGAAACGTTGAATCCTTCGCTAGTCCGGCCTTTTGAGTGAGGTTCTATACAACGAGATTGCCCCAATGCGGAGAAACGCGCCCCTGGCATCATGCAGGTCGACAATCATTCCCAAAAGCTATCCGTGGGGGGCATGTCAGCAATGGCTGCCGAACCTGGACAGGAACCTTATTGTCCATTTACGGCAAGTCCTCTACGCCGCGATTGGTGGTCATTTGTCGGGGGGGTTGCTTCGCGCGCCATCAGCAACTTCTAAATAGTGTATACTGCGGCTTCGGCGTCGGCGAGGCTGTTGTCTCGGTTCTCCAGCAGTCAGCAGGGTCGCATCTGACTGGGGTCAGCAACAAGTTATAGGCAGCGGCAGGAGAGAATGGTAGCGAGAAACAAGAATACTGACAAGAAAAAGGCGGAAGAGGAGACAACATCCGGAAGAAGTACTTGAAACTTGAATTCAAGAAAAACTTATATAAACCACCAATGTCTTCCCTCGTCATGCCTCCTCATTCTTCACCCGTCCTACATCACTCTCCTTTAATTGTCTTTACAACTGTACATACCATCCAGAGCTCTGTGAGCTTCTTCCACTCCATTCTACATACATATTTCCCACCCTTCCCAAGTACAATCCCGCCACCATGTACGCCAAGTTCAGCATCACCGTCACGGCTCTCGCCGCCACCGTCTCCGCGGCGCCCTCCACCCTCGTCGCCCGCTTCGGCGACTCCTACACCTTCTACAAAGGCGACGGCTCTACCGCGCAGGGCTGGCCGGCGCAGACGGCCTGGGGCACGTTTGACCAGCTCTGGAGCGCCAACGTGCCGCTGATGCAAAAGTCGTGCGGGTGGAACGGCTGGGGCGCCGACAACTCGGCGGCCGAGATCAGCAACATCAAAAGCAGCATCGCGCAGGTGGCCGGCGAGTCGGGCGTCGACCAGCGCTTCATCCTCGCCGTCGTCATGCAGGAGAGCAAGGGCTGCGTGCGCGCGCCGACGACGGACAATGGCGTCCGCAACCCGGGCCTCATGCAGTCGCACAACGGCGCCGGCACCTGTGTCGGCAAGAACCCATGCCCGGCTGCCGACATCACGCAGATGATCCGCGACGGCACCAGCGGCACCGCGGCCGGCGACGGGCTCAAGCAGGTCCTGGCCAAGGCGCAGAGCGCTACGGGCGACGGCGGCGTTCGCAAGTATTACGCGGCGGCTCGTCTTTACAACAGCGGCTCGGCCACCTATGGCAACCTCAACGACGGCCGGGGCAGCACGAATTGCTATTCCACCGATGTTGCCAACCGCCTCACTGGCTGGACTCTGGCCCCGTCCAAGTGCAATGCCTAGGCTATGGCGACACGTTGGCGCAGCAAATGACGGCATATCATTTCGCCCTAGTAGTATATATCTTCGACAAGGCAGGGCGGCTACTTGGCCGCCGTTGTATATAGTTCATCTCTCAATAAAAACAAGTTCTATTCTGTAAATAACATTCTCTTTCGGATACAATGCAATTGCGTTTAGTGTGGAAAGTCCAGTACTGCGATAGATAGTAGCCAGTAATATATTTCGAACATTTTACAATATGATCTACACCTCGCGCCAAGATTATGTGCCGCTTTCGTATGGTACCTGGATCTTATCGTCGTTTACCTCCAGTCATTATTCCACCCTGCTTGTTCGACAACAAAGGCGAGCGCAAGCTCCGAGAAGCGCGCCATATGCTATACAATGTCAGCACTGCAAATTCATCAAGAAATTTCAATCGACATACATCAAGAGAGAATTTGCCAGTCTCGTCGTCGACATCCATGGTGTCGCGGACTCCATGAACGTATGGATCAAACTCTCCGCTAATGGGGTCACCCTCGGAGGCGAAAGCGGCAGGGAAGCCAGCGTTGGTAAAGGACATGTAGTCCGAACCGGCACCCCTGGGATTATCAGCACGGCTTCACAAAAAGAAAACGGAAAGTTATATGTACTTACTCCTGCAACTGGTAAATGGCAGACTCGATCTTGCTGTACTCTTTCGCTAAGTCGAGAACCCACTTGGTCAGAGGCTTATCAGCAGAAGTCTCAATAATGCCGATGGACTCGGTCGCATTCTTGGCAATGAAAGCCGTCATGTCCTAAGAAAATGTTAATTCCAGGATCCTATATTCACCTTTTTGACACGTACAAATTCCAGCATGGCGCCAATGGTCACGCCGGATTGCTTCTTGTACTTGGCAATAGCCTGGCTACCAAGAAGACCACCCTCTTCCGCAGCATACCAGTGAAACTCGACTGGCCCGTTGCGAGGGATGTAGCCGTTGTGCGCGAGGACGCGAAAAGCCTCGAGGATGCTGGCCGTTCCTGAGCAGTCGTCATCGGCGCCGGGCGCGGGAAGCAGCGGAAAGAGGTAGTTCATGGAATCCTGGTGGGCGCCAAGGATAGTGAGCGGCGCAGAAAAGTTGGCGACCTTGGGCTCGAAACGAGCAATAATGGAGGGCTGCGGGAATGCATGGGGGAATACATCAAGCGAGATGTGTGTATGGAAGGGAGCCTCCTTGATGATCTACGGGGACAGGTTAGCTAGCGGAACGTATGGTTGGCGGCCAAGGGTCATACATCAGCAATATGGTTACGAAGCCAGAGCGCACTCTGTTCGCCTGTGACACTTCCGAAATAACGAGTGTAGAAGCTCGTCAGGTGCTTCAGGACATGCTCCATGTGGTCTTTGGAAACCTGGGGAAACAGAGGCTTCACCAGTCTCTGCTGCGAAAGCTTGGGGAGGTCTGGCAAAAGTTAGCTGCGGTCTGCCGGAAGAAAATGACGGCAAAAATAATCAGGAAAAAAAAAAGAATTCGTACGCGCTTTCCCGGACTGAGAAGATACAGCGTTTTGCTTGTAAAACTCGTCGTAGTCGGTGATGTCGGCAAACGTGCGGCCCTGGCGGCGGAGTCTCATCTTGTCGCCCTCGGTCATCCATTGCGCCTCTTTTTCGCCAGCGACACGCAGGAGGCGCTTCTCGGCGAGCTTCTCGGCCGCCTCGGGATGGAGCGCAATGTAGGCGTCGACGGGGTCCTTGTGTGCCTTGAGCGCGGCGAGGATGGCCGGGTCGACCTGGTGCTGCGCGTGGGCGGCATGGTGAGAGAAGATCACCTGGCTGTCCGGTGAGGCGGCGCCGAGGCCGGCAAGACCCAGGGTTAGCAGGAGCAGCGTGCTCTTACACGCAGAGGGGGCCATGATGTAGTGTTGGTTTGGCGATTTCGGTGGGATGACTATGAAATGTTGTTGATGAAAAAAGGCAGCGAGAGTTGTGTCGGATGAGTGTGTGTCTTAGCGTCCATGTTGTTCGGGCACTGACACTCCGGGTACAGAGCCGGTCGCCATGGCGCCAATACCTAGTTTCAAACTTGAGTGATGGTTGATGCCAGGCTGCGGGTGACGTACCCTGGAAGAAGAGTCACAGAATAATGGTTGCCTCGGATCAGGCTCGCAAGGCTAGTTACCTTGACCGACATTTTCTTTCTAATTGTCTAGTTCTTGTTTATTATTCCTTTTGGTAGTTTTTTTGAAAGCTGACATGCTGGCACAGGTTGTTAGGGCTGAAGTGAGGCTTTCGATAAACAGGTTGTGTTATTAAAAGTAGTTGAAAGACGGGTATAACTAATCTATGGGCGAACGCGCAAAGAATAAAAGAAGCATGCAGACGTTGCCTAGTATGTAATAACGACCATCTTATCCATATAAGCCGCATCCATGTCCTGCACCAGGTTCCTGGCAATCCACTTGCCCGCATCCTCGCGGGAGATTGTGTAGCCAATCGCCTTGGACTCGAAGCCCGTCTTGGGGTCCTCAATGCCGGCGCGGACCACCGTCTCCGACTCGCCGTTGGTGAGCAGGCTGGGGCGCACCACGGTAAACTGCTCGCCGCTCGCGAGCAGCTTCTCCTCCATCTTGACCTTGTCCGCGTGCGGGCCCTTGAGGGCCATGTACAGCGGCAGCATGAGCACCGGCAGGTCGCGGCCAAACTTGGACACGCCGGTGCTGCTGCAGGCGACAATGTGCGGCGCGCCCGTGACGCCGGCTTTGCGGAGGGCGGTGATGGCGGCGACCAGCGTGTCCATGCCGAGTTCGCAGACCTGGGGCTGGTCGATGCCCATCTTGGCCGTGGAGAATTTGCCGCCAATAGTGGTGATGATTTCGTCGACAAAGGTGCCGTTGGGCGCGGTGATGAGCCGGGAGACAATGGCCAGGTCGTGGGCGTTGCCCTTTACAACCTTGAGGTTGGGGGCCTGGAGGTCGTCGAGCTTCTTCGGCTCGCGGCAGAGGGCGACGCACTGATGGCCGGCTTTCAGGGAGTGCTTGAGAGCGCCAAGACCAACGCCAGTGGAAGCGCCAAGGAAAGCAATGTGTCGAGAAGACATTTTGAGTTTGGTAGATATGAAGCTGAGGTCTCAGTATTGTGTAGTAGTAGTGGCTGGATGGTTGCTAGTTGTAAGCTGGTGAGTTGCTGTTGGGAGGATAAGCTTGAATTGTTATTTCTGCTGGCTTAAAAAAAGTATACCTCGAGGTTGGATTGAACGGCATTTATAACATTATTCCTCGCTCTCGTCTCGCCTTGTAGCTGCCGATAAGCGACCGAACCACGCAACTCAATGACGGAAACAGAAGCCACCCACTGTGGTCCGCCTCAGAACGCAGCCTCTCGCGCACTTCTCGCCCATTTCAAGGCGTAAGCCTTGTCGGCAGGCTGAGCATAACCTAGCCCAAGGCGCTCTAGTCAAACAGCCTTCTCCTTAGCTGCCTAGCTAAGGTAGGTAGGTTGGTAGGTAGTCCGCTGTTGTCGTCACTCGTCAGCGGGCGGGTCGGACTATCTCATACCAGGTCGCGGAGTTTCTATTTCCTTTCATTCCCCTCAATACTGTTTTCAGCAAATTATCTGTCTAGGAGGCGTATGGCCTCGACTGCACGATACTAAAAATATCCACTGCCCTGCAGCGACCGTTGCCCTACTTTTTCTCGACATGACGGCGCCCGTGTCTGGAGAGAAGAGCCCGGAAGCAGAGGGCCCCACACCGCCCGCGATCGTCTCGCCCGAGACAAACGCGAAAAGTGACCGAGCTGATGGCGGCCGCCCATCCAAGCCGCGCAGCTGCGTCACCTGTCGCTCGCGCAAAGTTCGCTGCGATAAGAAGACGCCCTGCTCCAACTGTCGCCGGGCCCAGATCCCGTGTGTCCTTCCGTCCGATGACAAGCCGCCGCGATGGGCGAGGCGCCTGGATCGTCTTGCCCACCCAGGGCCTGCCACGACGACTGCACCCGGCGCGGGGTCAAGCCAGGTCATGAGCCGCCTCCAAAATCTGGAAAATTTGGTCAGAAATCTTGGCGCGGAGCTTCATCAAGCGCGAGCGTCGCAGGACAATAGCGCCCGTGGTTCAGCATCGCCGCCGTCATGGCAGGCACAACAGCAGCCACAGCAGGCGGGCGCTTCACCAGCCTCAGCCGGCTCCGATTCGCAATCACATAGAAAACCAGGGCGATTGCTCCCGGGAAACGCTGGTCAGCGCCAGTACGTCACTGGCGGTTTCTGGTCGCAAATCAGTGACGAGGTATGCTTCACCGTGCCTAGCCAGATTGTCTCGCGACACTAATCAGTATCCGTACCCTAGCTTGACTCGCTCAAGATCGAGACGGAGGGACTAGCAGATGGCGATGATGATACTTCCGACGGTGACGAACTTGCTTCTACCGCGACGAATCCATCTACTTTTGAGCTGGACCGCACTCCTGCACAGCGCCACGCCTTTGTGTTTGGGAGCAACCTGCGTCCCCAAGGCAGTGTTCGGGACTGCCACCCGCTTCCGTCCCAAGTTCCTTTTCTCATTGATACCTTTGCCACGAATGTGAATATGATTGCACAGGTTGCTCATATCCCCACTGTGAGGAACCTGATTCGACACGTACCTGGCGGGGACCTGGCAGCTTTGAGCCCTGCCGACTCAGCGCTCATGTTCGCCATTTACTACGCCGCCGTCACCTCCATGGAAGAGACCGAGGTAAGATTTGCCTCATCTTTCTGTCGGAAATGTCTGTCTAATCGGATGTAGGTGAGCCTGAATTTTGGGACAACAAAAGCAAACTTGAATTTAAAGTTCCGCGTCGGCTTCGAGCAAGCCATGGCCAGCGCCGATTTTCTCAACAATCCGACCTTGGTGCTAGTCCAGGCCATGGTCATATTCTTGTTTCTTGCTCGCCGTCACGATAGCCCAAGGTTTATCTGGATGATGACGGGAATCGCAATTCGGATGGCACAGGCTATTGGTCTTCATCGCGACGGCAGTCACTTTTCGAACTTGTCACCCTACGAGGTGGAGATTCGCCGACGAGTCTGGTGGGCGCTTTGCATAATTGATGCGCGCGCGTCGGGTGACCAGGGAACAGATCTCACCATTTTGCAAGATGGCTTCGACACTCGCATGCCTCTCAACATTAACGACAATGACATTAGTGTTGACACAAAAACGATGCCAGAAGCAAGAGACGGCATAACGGACATGACCATCACCCAAGTTTCCTGCGGCCTGGTGCAGGTGGAGAGGAAAATGATTGCTAAACAAAAACAAGGCCCTGCATCACCCGATACTTCGAGCGCAGTATTTGACGAATTATTTGCGAAACTGGACCATAGCTACTTGCGTTACTCCAACCCAGAAAATGACATTACATACTGGGTGGGTGTCATCATCGCGCGACTCGTCGCTGCCAAGATGACGCTGGTTTTGTATTTGCCGACAATCATATCAGCACCGCAAGAGCTTGCATCCAATCAACAACGGGACAAGCTACTAGTCGCCGCCATTGAAGTGGCCGAATACAACCACGTCTTGAATGCCGAAGAAAAATGCAAACATTGGCGTTGGGTGTTCCAGACTTACACCCACACCTACGCCATTGTCTACATGCTGCTATCTGCTACACAGAGAGAGTGGTCTCCGCTTATGGAGCGTGCCTGGCTCGCATTACACAGTCAGTGGCTGATACCTGATCAGTACAGGGCGGAGAAAAGCGTAAGCATTTGGGTACCAATCAGGAAACTTACCGTCAAGGCACGACGCCACCGTGACGCCGAGGTCAGACGGCTACGGCACGACCCAGCTGCCGTGAAACGACTGGAGCAAGAGTACCGGCAGGTAACGCAGCCAGCCAGCCCTGGGCCATTTCCTGGCCAGGATGCCATTGAATGTATTCGTTCGCGCTGGCTGGGTATACTGTCCGTACCCCCGGCCTCAGTCAGCGCCAACGAGTCACCCCCTGCTACTGATGGCAATTATAACCCACCTGAATCCAGAGGTACAGCAATTCCTGTGTACCAAGACACGTATGCTGCCTCCCTTGTGAGTCAAGGGCTCACGGGCAACACAAGCGAACCGCCACGCACCACGGGAGCACCAGCTCCCTCTATGGATTCTATGGAAATGGGATTTGAGCCTTGGATATGGGCCGATAATGACCCCGTATCTGGTGTTTTTACCGATATCGGTGTGAATGAGATGGATGTACTTGATATGGATTTGGACGTGGACTGGTCCAACCTGCTGGCGACGGCGGAGCTGGACTAGCAGGCACCACAGGCAAAATTTATGCCCTTAAAAATCATAAATATGACCGCCAGAGACTAGATTGTAAAATGAGCATAATATTTTCCGGTTGCTTTTGTGCACCTTCATTGGGTGCCTGTTCAACGTAGTTACCGCCCGTCTGGACTGTTTCCCTACCGGATCATAGTTGTTCCGGCGCGATCGTTCTGCTAAAAGCTGGCTACCTAATGCCCGTTGTTGTCATCGACTCCCTTTCGCACGCCGATTACAACCTTTCAAAAGCCGGAAAAAATGTCGTGGAGATCCCAAGGCATCACAGGCTCGAACAACATCCCTCTCGGGAGCCGGCGACGGTTTGGCGACGATGGCGACGGTGACGGTGACGCGACGCCTGATCGCGACCTGAAGCGTGGTCGTGACCCTGAACCCCAGAGCGCCGCACCCAGCGGTCCACGCCAGCGCAAGAAGCGCAACCGCTGGGGCGATGCATCGGAGAATAAGGCTGCTGGCCTGATCAATCTGCCTACTGCGATTACGGCTGCCATGACGAGCGAACAGCTCGAAGCTTACACTCTTCACCTGCGCATCGAAGAAATTAGCCAGAAGCTGCGCATCGACGATGTTGTCCCTGCCGACGGCGACAGGTATGTTCTTCGCAGTCAACTCGCACACGTATACATGCTCACTCGTTAGATCTCCTTCGCCCGCACCCCAATACGACAACCATGGTCGCCGTGTCAATACGCGCGAATACCGTTACCGCAAGAAGCTCGAAGACGAACGCCACAAGCTGATCGAAAAAGCGATGAAGACGATTCCTAACTACCATCCACCACAGGATTATCGTAGACCTACCAAGACGCAGGAAAAGGTCTACGTCCCTGTTAACGACTATCCAGAGATTAACTTCAGTATGATTACTAACCCCTCAACCCTAACCAAGACGATGCTTTGTCTCCCCCCCTCCTGCTTGAAGTTTGACCCGTCCAGGCCCTTGGGCCCCCAGGCTTGGAACGCGGGATGCTTTGTCGAAACGGGCTTACTCTTGACATTGATTCCTCTTGCGACTTGAGCATGATACTAACACGTAGCTCATCAAGTTGGCTTACTTATTGGCCCTCGTGGCAACACTCTGAAGAAGATGGAGACTGAATCGGGCGCCAAAATTGCCATTCGTGGCAAAGGTTCCGTCAAGGAAGGCAAAGGTCGATCTGACGCTGCTCACTCTAGCAACCAGGAGGAGGACCTTCACTGCTTGGTCATGGCCGACACCGAGGACAAGATCAACAAGGCCAAGCAGCTGATTCACAATGTTATTGAGACGGTACGTACACCTATATTTGCCGTGGATGAACATTTTACTGACACGACGCAGGCTGCTTCCACGCCCGAGAACCAGAACGAACTGAAGCGTAACCAGCTTCGAGAGCTCGCTGCGCTGAACGGTACCCTCCGAGACGATGAAAACCAGGCCTGCCAGAACTGTGGTAAGATCGGTCATCGTAAATACGACTGCCCTGAGAAGCAAAACTTCACGGCCAGCATAATTTGCCGCGTCTGTGGTAATGCAGGTCACATGGCTCGCGATTGTCCTGACAGACAGAGAGGTGCAAGTTGGCGCAACGACGGTGCCCGTCCTGCAACCGGTAGAGTCGGTGCAGGCGACGGTATAGACCGCGAGTACGAAGTAAGTTTGGTCCTCGCAGACCATAGAAGCAAGCATATGCTGACTGGTGATAGCAACTCATGCAAGAACTTGGTGGCGGCTCTGGCCCCCCTGCTCGCCTCGAAGCCGGTCCCGGTGGTGGTGAGGAGGGTGGCGACGCCAGGCCATGGCAAAGAGCCGCACCAAGCGGCGGCCCTGCACCTTGGAGATCACGCCGTGACGACAGGGAACCTGGTAACGGCCCTCCTTCAGGCCCCTCGGGCGGTCCTGCTCCCTGGGCCCGCGATCGTGGTCGCGGACAGGACAACCAGGGCGACGGATGGTACGATGGCGGGCGTGGAGGTGCGGGCGGTGCTCCTCCGTGGCAGCAGCAGCAGCAGCAACCGGCATATGGCCAGCAAGACACTGGGTATGGAGGCTATGCTGGCTACGCCGGGTATGGTGGCTACGGTGCGGCGCCTGGTATGGGAGCACCTCCCGGGATGCCGGACAACGGATCTGGTCTTGATGCGCCTCCCGGCCTTGCGGGTCTCAGTTCGTTGATCCAACAGTACTCTGGCGGCGCTGCTCCTCCCCCTCCTCCTCCCGGCGAGGGACCACCTCCCCCTCCTGGACCGCCGACTGATCAGCCGCCTCCTCCTCCGCCTCCGGCGTAAACAGAGCGCAAAAAGTACCGCAGTATTGCAGAATTGAGAATGGGCGGATTTTTGACCTATATGGCCGCTGCTACGAGCAACCAAGGGTGTGAAACGCCAAGGTTTGCCTCGCAGCCGTTGCCAGAAAGCTTTTATTGCTAACAGCAGGATGAACGACAGCAAACTACCGACCGACAAAAAAACTATGTAATTATAGTCCTAGTACATTTCATAGTTGCCCTATGCGCTATGCAATACGAGCGTATTGGATGAAATTTCCTATGCACCTTGTGATTTATCCTTGTTCCCAGCCAGTCCGTACCCCGCAGCGAGTTGCAGCTCCTGCGGGTTCGCTGGTGGAGTTGACGCTGGTATGACGAACAGCTTAGCGCCTGTCGCTAACTGAGACCGGCAATTCCGTTCGCTTGCTCGGAGCTTCGTCTCTCATCTTTCACCTTTCACACCCTTCCCAACATCACTACCAAAGCGAGGCCAGCAATGCCTCTGGCCAATCACTGAGAAAATCACAGACCGAGGAAGCCGCTTCCTACCCCTGCTCCAGATCCCACGGTATCAAGCGACCCCTCCCCCCTCCCTTGCAACGTCATGGTTAGCTTCAACCCGGTCGCGTTTCGGCCTTGGCCCGTCTTCTTCTGGACCACGGTGACGTACCTCGCCATCTTCATCCCCCTCCTCTACGTGCACGAGACGGTTCCCGCGGTTCCTAAGGAGAAAGCACTACCTGCTGGTGTCAACCTGGCGGACGCGTGGATTGATCTGCAGCGCATCACCGGGCTGTACCACCCCTACAACAGCCACGCCAACGACGATGTCCGCGAGTACATCATCCGGCGCGCCAAGCAGATCCTGGACCAGAACAAGATTCCCTACACCCTCGAAAAGTCGGGCGGCCGCGTGTGGAGCGCTGATTCCCGCACCATCGATGATGCGCGCGCCACGGCGGACAGAACGCCCGGCGTCACGCTGTTTGACGACAATATATCCAATGCGACGTTCATCACCGAGAGCACGGTCAAGGGCCGTAGTGCGGGAACCCATACGGGACAGTACTTTGAGGGCACCAATTTCTACGCCTACATCCACGGCAAAGAGGACCCCGAAGGCGAGTGGTGGAACTCCGAGGACGCCGCCGAGACGTTCCGAGGCAAGGGTGGTGTGCTTGTCAACTGCCACTACGATTCTGTGGCAACGGCCTACGGCGCTACTGACGATGGCATGGCCTGCATCACGCTCCTCCAGCTGCTGAGCCACTATTCGACAGAGGGCAACCAGCCAAAGCACGGCATCGTTTTGCTGTTCAACAATGGCGAGGAGGATGGCCTGCTCGGCGCCATCGCCTTTGGTTACAGCCCGCTGCGCCAGTTTTGCCACACGTTTGTCAATCTCGAGGGCGCCGGCGCCGGCGGTCGTGCGATGCTGTTCCGCACCACGGATTTGGAAGTTGCCAAGGCCTACGGCTCGAGTCCCCATCCGTTTGGCTCCGTCATTGCGGCGGACGCCTTTGAGGCGGGCGTCATCCGGAGCGGTACCGACTATCAGATTTTCGCGGACCACTATGGCCAGCGCGGCATGGATATCGCCTTTTACGAGCCTCGCTCCCGCTACCACACCGAAGACGACGACGCTAGGCATGCGTCGCCGAGCAGTATATGGCACATGCTCTCTGCTGCTCTCTCGTCGACAAAGTCGCTCTCGGACACTACGGGCACGTTGTTCCATGGCGATCGGGCCGATGGAAGAAGTGACTTGGTTCAGAACGGAAGACCGACGCGTGGTGTTTGGTTTGACTTCTTCGGCAGTGCTTGGGCCACTCTTGCGCTTAGAGGCCTCTTTGCTTGGACCTTGACGCTTCTCATTTCTACGCCCCTCATTCTGTTCATCGTCACTGTTCTTCTCATCAAGCAGGACAAGTACTACTTCTTTGCCAGCAGCACCGAAGCTAACTCTGGAGTCAGCGACGGCCTTCTCTCTCTCAATGGCTGGCGCGGCTTGTTCCGCTTCCCTTTTGCTCTGATTGTCGCTTGCACACTCACCTTTGGCTCCATCAGGTTGGTTGGTAAAGTCAACCCGCTGATCATCTACAGCAGCAGCTATGCAGTGTGAGTATGGTCTACTATTCTTTGCAACTCTAGCTAACAGGTGACAGCTGGGCCATGTCCATCTCGATCTTCTACTCTTCGTTCTGGCTGATTATGCGGGGATCCAGCTACGTCCGCCCCAGCGCCCTGCACCGCGGCTACTCGCTCATGTGGCTCTTTGTGATTACCTGGGCTTTCCAGATTTTTGTTGCTGTCTGCGAGGACCGCCTCCACGTCGGCGCTTTCTACTTTGCCGCCTTTTTCCACACTGGCGTCTTCTTGGCCGTGCTGATTTCGCTGCTTGAGCTCTTTGCCCTCCCCTCCAAGTCGGCCTTTGCTAGACAGGTTCAGGAAGCGGATCCCCCGACCAACCACGTTGGGGGCAGTGACGCGGAGGATGAGGAAGACAATGACGCAGAAGAAGAGGCGACGGAAACCACCCCTCTTATAAACAACGAAGAGGGCAACGTTGAAGCTGACGCGGCGGACCAGACGACTTTTGCAACAACTTATAGAAGAAGAACTGAGCCGCCCGGTGATGTCAACGTCAGCAAGCCGACGCCTGCCCTTACACCGTATGCCAACGAGCAGTCTTGGTCTAGTCGCCTGCCAAGCTGGACTTGGTTCATTCAGCTGCTCGTCCTCGCCCCGATTCACCTGATTATTATTGGTAACACGGCGCTTGTGCAGACCTCTGCCATGGCTCAGACGAGTGTTGATGGCAGCGATAAGCTCCTGCCTCTGCTGGCGGTCGGCTCTCTCACCGTCCTCCTGTTCCTCCCGCTGACTCCCTTTATCCACCGTGTCAACCACCCGCTGCCGACGTTCTTGTTCCTGGCCTTTATCGGCACGCTCATCTACAACCTTTCTGCTTTCCCATTCTCCTCGAACTACCGGTTCAAGTACTTTTTCCAGCAGATCATCGATGTGGATCTCAACACGAACGAAGTTTCCGTTTACGGCATTCCAGAGTACACGCGCGGCATCATTGAAGCGCTCCCCGGATCTGCTGGCAAGAGCATTGACTGCAAATCTACCGAGTCTCGCGTGGGAGTCTGCGTTTACGACGGAAGCGCGCAGGCTCCTGACGTGGCACCCGGTTTCGAGATGAGGGACCTGGTCACCATCAAGGCGTCCACGTCCTCTGACGGCAAATCGATCAATCTACAGCTGGATGCCATTGACACTAGGACATGCACCATCAGCTTCTCCTCTCCCGTTACCAGCTTCGCCGTGGAGAATGCTGCGCCGATTGAGAAGCGGCCTTCAGGCGGCGTCACCGATGTGCGCTTGTGGCGACGCAGATGGGAGGGGCCGTGGAACGTTACTCTGCAACTTGGTGGCAGCCGCGGCTTCTCAAGCGACGCCAACGATGCAGAGGAGACGTTGACTAGTGAGGAACTAAAACCCAGGGACGATCCTTTCGAAATCACGGCGAGCTGCAGCTGGAGCGACGTCAACGTGGCCTCCACGATCCCTGCGTTTACGGAATTCAAGCGATATGCGCCACGGTGGGCTGTATTATCCAAGTATAGTGTCGGCTTGGTCGATGTGAAGAAGTCTGTCAAGGTTTGAGAGTTGACATCTGAATGAGGAGGTTTCCTGTACGAGAGTGTTTTGCTGTTTCCGCCACGTACCGACCCTAATAACCCAAATTTTGTACTGTTACGAATAGTCTCAAAGCATCTATCATTCTTAGACGGTATGCATTTTTACTCCTCCTAGAGCCTATTTATGCATATTTCTATACTCTTGTCCGCAATCACCAATGTTCGCGAACACCGCCTCTGCTCTCTCGCCATTGTTCCCCAGCGCCACCTCATTGATCAGCGCCATCTCCTCGTCCGTCAGCTCCCACCCAAACGTGGCCAGATTATCATCTCCCCGCGCCGACACGCCGAGCCGCGTCCCGACCAACACGGCCCCCACCGTCGGCTGCTGCAGCACCCAGCGGGTCGCCACATTCGCAATGCCCACCCCGCCGCCGCGCTTCCTCGCCACGGCGTCCAGCACGTCCAGCAGCGCCTGAAAGTCGGCCCACGAGCCCCAGGCGTGCAGCGTGTCGAGGTACTTGCGCTGCGACGGCGTCAGCGGCGTCTGCGCGCCGTACACGTCGGGCGGCGCGGGGTGACGCAGCCACGCCTCGGCGAGGAAGCCGCCGCACAGAGAGCCGTACGTCAGCAGCCGCAGGTTGTACTTGGCGCAGGCGTGCACCATGGCCCGCAGCGGCCGGGCGTCGAGGACGGAAAACGGCACCTGGTTCGAGACGAGCCCGACGGAACCGGTCTTGGCGAGCAGGTACTCGCAGGCTTCGATGGTGTGCTGCGTGTCGAAGTTGCAGAGCCCGATGGAGGTGACGAGCTCGGGATGGGTCTTGGTTATGGTGACGAGCTCGACGAGGATATCCAGGTATTCCTTCTTCTCGTACTTTAATGAAAAGAAAAACCGGTTAGGACGTGTTCACCTTTGTAGTGGGAATACTCAGGGCATCAACTCACATTGTGCCAGTGAAACTGCAACATGTCCGCCCGGCCACGCAGGCGGCGACAGCGCTCCTCCACCTGGCTCAGCACCCACGCCGTCGTCACCGGCCGCCCGATATCCCGGAACACGCACCACTTGGTCGCCATGTACGTGGCGTGTCTCGCCGCGTCCGGCCGCAGCCGCGCGCGAAAGTCGCCGCACACGAGCTCCGCGTCGCCGTAGTGGTCCGACATGTCAAACGCGGTGAGCCCGCCCCCGACGAGCGCCACCAGCGCCTGCTCCTGCTGCGAACCGCTGGACGAGCCCCATGCCGGCGAGGCCATCTGCCACAGCCCGTTGAAAAGCCGCGGCAGCGTTCGGGCGCCGAGGGTAAAGGTCTCGACTGCGGAAGAGGCGGGTAGCGTGACGGTGAGAGCGTGGGAAGGGGGCGCCGGCGGGAGAACCTTGTCGGGGAGCAGGAGAGCGGCCGTGTCGCGGATCTGGCGCGTGCTGCGCTGGAAGGGGTACTGGAGACCTGCTGCGTCGCAGTAGATCTGGCACTTGGAGAATGCGGCCAGGATGCTGTCGACGGCGGCGTCGAGTTCCGCTGCGGACGGGGGCGCTTCTTTTATGGCCTGCATAGCCTGCACCACGTCCCCGTCCAGCCGCACCAGCGTCTGCTCCAGCGCCGACCCGGGCGTCCAGCTCGCCCTGGCGTCGGCCACAGCCGCGACGACATGACACAGACTAGATGCGCTCACGATTCAGCACCCTCCCGTAACAAACCTATTTTGGTCACCCGGCGTACCTTGGAATCGCCGCTGCGAAGAGCTTGGCGGAAAACGTGCACCGGAGGACCGCGAGGTACTCGGCGCAGGCGGGCGCCACCACATCCGGGGTGGGAAATAGGGCGCTCGGCGCGGGCGCGCCGGCGGGGAAGTCGAGAAGTCTCTGCCGCACGCTGGCCCGGAACACGGTCTGGATCTCGGGGCCGGTGGATAGGAGTGAGCGCAGGACGGAGCGGAGGTGCTCGGGAGGGACTAAGGCACGAATTAGCAGCGGGTTCGCCCTGTACGGAGTTTTGGTGTTGGTTACGATTGCCGATAATGACATCGTCCATCATATTTCTAGAGAAAATCATCAGATTGCTTCCTTGGTGAGCGTCTTTGTAACTTACATGTGACCCATCTTGGCAGGTTGGAGTTGACAAGAAAGTAGTACAGGCGTGATGGAGGTTGTCCGACTTATACAGCGGGGTTCCGCCCGGAATTACCGGACGAATAAAGTGCTCGGGCGGACACGATGTCAGTTTTTGGAGGTTAGGATGCAGCCTTTAGTATTAAGAAATCTTTTATATTATATATATATATATATGTAATACTATATCTTGGTCATGCTACGATTCTATTACTATATCTATTACCTTAAATGTTTTTTCTAACATTCCCTATGATTACGCTATTAGGTACAACACGATGTGTTGCCCACACTGTGTTCCTCCCCTACTCAACCCCCCACACGCGTAGGTACAAAGCCTGAGCTGAATCAATAATATTAGTGTCCTTATTAGCTCTATTAAATAGTTTCACAATAATATTTAATTGTCGCATCCCGCCAGTTCAAACTCCCGTTTGTTAACGGCGGCCATGATTTCTGAAGCCTTCGAGAACGTTCCATCCCAACAGCCCAGTATTATATCCCCTCCAAACAGTCCCTCAACGCTCGGGAATTTTCCGCTTGCAAAGCAAGCGTCCACCATTGCTTCATACTTCTCCATTTCCTCCATGGAGGTAAAAGCTCCTGTACCTGTGCGGAATGGCCAGTGTCCCTTGACGATGGCATACAGGACGGATCCGAGGCTGAATATATCAACCGCAAAGGTTGGTTCACCCGGTAGCTTCGGGTTGAAGAACCCAGAGTCTGGAAGTTTCTTGGCGGAGAGCGCCAGCTCTTCGCATGTAGAACCGCCAAAGTCACAAAGCCACAAGTCAAGCGAAATCGGAGCAGTACCGTGAACGAGGAAGTTGTCGGGTCGCAAGTCACAGTGTATAACGCCGCGGCTGTGGATAAAAGCGATAGACTCGACGGCCTGGCTGAACCATTTCTGACGGAGACAGAATGGAATCGAAGCATTGTGTTCATGTAGATAGCACTGGAGATTCCCATGGCTTGCTTCAGCCAGGAGGAGACCACTAGGATGCGGACCTAAGAATCTTCAATCGTGTAAGAAAGCATGCACGGGTTTGATAGTAAGAGTACAACAAGCTTTCAGTACTTAATGATTCTCGGATGCGGGCCCAGCCGTCGCAGAACTTGCTCCTCAATGCTGAAGCAACTGTCAACATTCTGTCGCTTGCCAATGACTTGATCTTCGCCAATCTTAACGGCAGCTTTTAGTATGATGCCTCGTTGGGGCCGGAAGAATATCGCCGTCGAGCCAGGGAAAGCTGCAGCTGGCAATCGTTCCAGCTCTGCCAAGCTTGTAAATGAAGTTTCCGCACTTCGGACGTTATTGCGAAATACAAGGTTATAAAGTTTTAGAATAAAATGTTTTCGCCATGATCGCAAAAGACACCAAAGGTTATAGATTAAACGCATCCTTTAGTATATTTCAGCGTTTTTTGTTCGTGTAGACACAAGTTTAGGAGAGACGTTGCGGAAACGAGGACCAAGGTTGATTACTGCGTGTAACACGGCTTCGGCCTAACAATATGCCGGGGACTGGTACTATTTTGAGAGCGGCGAAAAAGTACGCCCTGTCGAACCCTGTCTCAGCCCGCAGCCGAGGGGCAGTGGGCATAAGGCTGCCGTAGTATTGCCAAAGTACTCCGCGATAGGACCAAGAAACAACTACACAGCCCACAATCGGAGGAGCTCATCATTTTCAGTAACCCTGTTTGTCGTAGCCGTGCAATTAAAAAAAGGGTTCGAAAGAAGGGCTTACGGATTGCAGGTCCAGTCCACACACGGGACGAGGGAAACTGGCCAGCTATTGTACGACTTTACCGCAGCATCGACTTACACCATAGTCGTGTTATAAATAGCTTTTTCGTGAATGACAAGCATAAGTGCTGGTAAAGAGAAAAATTGATAATAATGATGAGGAAAAAAATAAAACCAAGCAAGAGCGCGTTGTCAGTTCGTATCCGGATCTGGAGAGAAAAGCGTTGGGTAAAGTGGCGGCGGTTGATGTTGGCTTATGTTTTGCTCGAGCCTCTTTCTGTCGGTGTGGGAGTACGTAACTGGCAGATTCGCTTTGAGACCAATCTTGTCAGGAATTTCTTTGTGTACGTGTCTGGACTGTACTGCACCAGCTGACATGGGAATATTGTCCAACAGTGTTTCCATATTGTCGGGGGTTATCCAATGCTCAACGTATCAACTCACACGTCAACTAAACACGGATATTTCGGGCTACACTATAGAATGCACGGTCCCCACCTTAAGAAGAATAGCTATTTTCTACCAAGTTAGAGCAGCCTACTCGCCCCATCTTGTACGACCGCGGAAAGAGCAGGCCAACAACCCGGCGCAAGCACAGACGATCTGCGTCGAGTAGAATATATTTTACGAGGGTGATAAATCGCCTGGAATGTAAACTGTAAACAACCCTGAAAAAGCCCTTCACGCGTGCAAGGCCTCATCCACGGGGCCGTCAAGGGCAACAGGCACCCGTGCAGCTTACGTCAACTGGCTCGAACAAAGACATGTGTTTTGAGAAACAAGTAGTTTTGTGTTGCTTTAGCTAATTTCCAAACTCATTTGCAACTGTAAGATGCATTCACCACGAAAACACAATTGACAGGCTGCGCCGCGGCGGCCAACATCAACATGGTATGCAAAGTCCGGCCTGATCAGACCCGTTGTCTCCTGCCCAGGGCTGCGTTCTCAGCCCAGAAGTTGCTTCTCGAACCTTTCTAGCATTCTTCCCGCAACGCACCATCGCTTATGGTCTATGACCCCGGCGTTGTAAAGTTTCATCAACGCTTCGATGACCCATTGCCAGGGGCTGTATTCGGAAGTGTTCGCCGTCAATCTCACGAACCGCTCTACCAGCCAGTGGATATCGGAATCCCCCGTAAAATTTTCACACAGTGGAAGAGTTCTGTAGAGCACATCGAACTGTGGAGATTAGCCGTGTGTATGCGCAGTAGTAATTCGACACCTCGCAGGAATTTCGTAGCAACGCACTTGGTACTTGTGTCGCCTCCACCTCAGTTTTCCGGAGCGTACGAGAGGGGGGATTAATTCGTAGACGTAGCCCTGATCTTGACACATTAACAGGCAGACATGGGCGTCTTTGAGTGGAATGGCGTCTTTGGCTGGGTCTGGTGCGGGCCATGCCAGTTCGAGTTTATATCGGATCTCGGGCATGGTGTCGTATCGCGCGTGTCGTTGTTCTTGTCTAGTTCCAACAAACACAGCAAGTAACAGCTTGGGGACTGGGACGCTTAAATACTTTTTTAGGATGCTGACGCCTTATCAAGCAACAAGATCGAATCACTACATTGCTAGTTACACCTTTTCAATAAACTGCCACCGAATCAGAAAACAAAGGAGTAGGTATGTGTGACCTATCCTAGGTCGTCTTAGGTTCTGGTACTGTCTACCTATTCGGAGCACGAGGCTTGGAGATTCCGTTCCAGAGCTTCATACGTCGTCGCACAGCCATCTCTCATGCTGCACTACCCCGCCCAGGTTGTCTTTGAATGGCGCTTTCTTAAGCCATGGCTCGAGTTGTGCCTACCCAGAGCTTTGAACGCCGTACGCCATTGCATCGATAGTATCTCCTCCCGCCGATCCAGTTTGAACAAGGCAGGAGCTAAACCGGGGGCCTGTGATGCTTGGCTGCACCGATACCTCTCTCAACACATTCAGCAGGCGTTGGGCACACAAGGGGCATGGACCAGTCTATCCGCGACTCCTGGGACCTATTGCAAACCACGTCAGTACGTCAGCCGTTCTTTGCCGTACGTAGTTTTGGTTGTCCCTCTCAAAGAGGGTCGGTCGACTTTGAGTAATTTGGAGCGAGGATCAGCAGACGTGGAAGTTGTCGGGTGGAATCATGTTTTTGTCCCGTGCAGCACCTACGATGTTGAGTGTCCAGCTACGACCGGCGTCGGATTGCGCGACCCTGGTGTCGTGGTTGTTGCTTTTGTTTCAGCATACAGAGAAACGGCTTGAGAAGTCGCTTGAATACCTTTTCAACTTGCCGACGTCTGATCAGGCACATGATGGAACCACTGTCTCTGCAACAACTATAAATCGAAGAGGAGTTGGTGAGAGATGTTGACGCGCGGACACCCGAGAAATGCCGTACTATGGTATATCGCTTTCTGCCTGCTGGGAGCACAAGGCTCTGGGATTCCGTGTACGGGGTGGTGGCCTGCGTGGTCGCAGGTTGAGCGAGATGAGGTTATCCCACACCCTACACTGCCACACACCGTATTGTGATATAAAGGGGTATAGGCGCTACAAAAGTGTGGCGTCCATTTTTTGAGTGAAAAACTCAACAATAGGCAGCCATTCACTAAAAACTACAGAGTGGTATTCTTGCCTCTGTTCTGGAGTCACTAGCACAAAGCGCGCCCGCGGCATCTCAACCTGTAAAGGCACAACACGGACAAAGACTTGCCGCCTCATCAAAGACTCGACCAAAACATGAGCCAAAGTGACAACCAAGATGAAACCTTTGAGCTGTACGATCTCAAGGTCGAGGTTGTCTGTCCACCTGGCGAGCGCATCCTCTGCGGGGCAAAGGCGGGCGACTATTTCACTCTCGAGGGTGAGCTTCTTTCGCTGCCTCCCGGCCAGTCGATAAGTATCTACAGTCTCGGTAGGCTTTATTCCCAGTCATCTTTCTTACTGCCCTTTGCTTTCATTTTTCCCTCTTTGGCAGCTTGCTACAGAGCCGCTGACTGCAGCGAAGCTTCGGTGCTGCCCCTCCTGCCCGCCAAGCAGCGCGTCACGCACAAGAACGACTGGATGACGACGGATGCGCTCGTCGCTTGCCCGGATCCTTCGTGCCCAAGCAAACTGCGAATCACGAGAACCGGAATTCGAACATTCACTCATGCAGAGACGACTGCAGTCGGGCTGCAGGGCAACTGAGGGTCTCGTCAGCGCTCGGCATGGGCGCGTTGTGCGGGGGAGATGATAAGCTGAACGCCTGATCTACAGAATAAATGAGGAAAGTTAAATATGAAATATTTGAAATATTCAAAGAATTAGAAGAGAAGAGTAGCTGATAGTATTCCTAGTGGTGTATCTTGCCAACGCAGTGAACACGTTACGTTGTGGTCATGTCTTACCAGCAGCCGAATGTTTCGGAACATGGAAATGACAGTAGAAATGCAAATACGGATTAATTTGGCAATTTGATCACCTTTCTCGACTTCCCAATCGCGATGTCTCCTCATCACTCTCCGTGCACCTCGGCAAGCGCAGCCCCACATCATCTGGGGGATTCGACAGTATCCCCTTTGCCTCTTTCACATCCAGCAATCGCGTTCTCATCTCCTGTCCCAGTCATGAAGGCCAATCTATCTTTGCCGTCGTTGCGGCAGTCCATCGCCAAACGCCATGCTCTCATCTACTTCGTCCCCGGGAACCCGGGCGTCGTCGAGTTCTACACCGATTTTCTCCGATCCCTCCGCGCGCTGCTCGACAAGACGGAGAGCGACACGGCCTATGACATTTACGGGCGCAACCTTTTCGGATTTCGCGATGCCGACCACGAGCCTTTTGGCGGCCAGAACTTGCCGTACGAGCTGGACGCGCAGGTCGAGGGCATGTGGGCGGATATTGCCTCACAACGCCGCGGCGACAGCCACGACCAGCCGTACGACTCGGTCATCCTCATTGGACACTCTATTGGCGCTTACATTGTCGTCGAGACATTTCATCGACAGTCAGTGAGCCCCAAAGCCGGCCTCAACCTGCAACACGGCTTCCTGCTCTTCCCCACCATCAGCTACATTGCGCGCTCACCAAGTGGCCTCAAAATTACAGCCCTGCAGCAAAGATGGTACCTTCCCGGTGTAGAGGAAAATCTACACACTATTGCGAAGGGCCTCTTGTTTCTGTTTCCCCAGTCCACATTGCAGTGGGTGTGGGCCACTTATCTCGGCTTCAGTTCCCAAGCCGCGGCGACGCTCGCCGAGTGGCTCAAGAGCCGGGATGGCGTGTGGCAGGCCATTCATCTTGGGCGGTCAGAACTCAAATACGTCCTCAAGGACAAATGGGAGGACAGTTTCTGGGATAATGTCTCTACGTCCTCTAGTGGCGGTGTGGTGCCAAAGTTCTTTTTCTTTTATGGCAAGCACGATCACTGGGTCGACAATGACTTGCGTGACGAGTTTATCGCGCGCCAAAAAGCACGTGGGGCTGACCCTGCGCGCCCCTCCATCGAGATTGATACGGGCGATATTTCTCATGCCTTTTGTACAAGAGAAGGTCAGTATATGGCCGCTTCTGCGTTGACGACGACATGACTAATTTTGCCAGACACGAGTCTTCAAGTCGCCGAGAAAGTTTACACCTGGGTTCAGGCCATTGATACTTTTCAGAAATGATACCACTGATACACTTGACTAAGTTTTTTTGTATTTGCTTTGAAAACTTTCATCTGGAGCCCTGAACCCAAATTTGACACGGTGGCTGATCCCTACAGCACAACTGGGCCTGATTTCCAGGTCTCGGCCTACAAAACAAGAACGAAAATACATTTTCCTCTTTATTTCAACTCGGCTTGATATCTTTTTCTCTCTATTTAAATTCGGCTTGATATACGTCTCCAACCCATCTGTGGCCTAGAAGGCTACGGACGGAAACTTGAGTGGCACTTGAGGCAGCCTTGCAAACTATATTGTTCAAATGTGAAAAGTCTTTTTGCCTTGATGTTTCTTGTAAATAAATCGAAAAGAATATAAAATCTGTCGACCTGCTGTCGTTGTGCAACTTGATCCTCAACCCAGTCCTCAATCTATTGACAAGAGAAATACAATCCACCTGTTGATCGATACCACACAATACCCAAACCACAATACCCAGAGCAACCCTCACTTCAAAATGTCGGCACTACTACTGTCACTATCTACGCCCGCCGATCATTCTGACTCCAAAATAATATGGCCTTGGTGCCCGTATTCTCAACGACCGCAGGTTGACCAGGGTGACTCGCTCGATATGTACATGGAGAAGACGGCATTGGTCAGAAAGATTGCCCGATTCTACGAGCAGCCTTCTGAAATATACCCCTTCACACGAAACTTTACAGGCTGGCAGCACGCTCTTTTCTATTCTCTAACCCCTGCCACACTCCGTCGCCTGGCACCCTTCCCATCGCGGATCAAGACCCTCGGTGACAACGCCAAGCCCTTTGCCCACCTTTGTAAGTCATACGGACCACCCCCAGATTGTACCAGCTTTTTTCGCAGACCACACTAACCACTCGGACTTTTGCAGTCGTCCACGGATGGGCCCATACAATCACCCCCGGCGTGTCGAGCAACGAAGAGCAGCCTCGTGTTTCCAAATTCCAGCTCGACAAGACAGTCGCGGCCGTAGCCAAGAGAGACCTACGCTTCTGCGTCATGACGGACAAGATCGGTGTGGTCGACTACGTCTGCATCCTGCCCTACGCCGTGCTGACGCTGGACGCGGCCGTGCTCGCGCCGCTGCTGGACGTGGCGGCGCAGTTCTTCAAGACGTCGTTCCACAAGTACCTCATGCAGGGCATCGTCGAGCTGCGGACGCGCGGCGACCAGCCGTGGAACATGCTCTGTCTGCGCAGCGACATGCGCGCGCTCTTCCACCGCGGCATGGTCGGCCTCCGGCCCGAGTACCTGGCCAAGGACCGCGAGGAGGGCACGACGACCTGGTTCGCGGCGCTGTCCTTCCAGTGGCTCGCCCGCAACAAGGTCGTCCGCACCACGAGGGTCGTGCCCGGCGAGGCCAGCATCGCGGACATGCTGGCGCCATCCGACGACGACGACAAGGTGCGCGATACACCGGGCGGCCTGCTGCAGGCTTGTCGCCGCCTGAACGAGGACACCATCTTCATCCCGTTTGAAAATAAGCGCGACGCGCAGATGATGATGAGCGCGCTGGCGCTGCGCTGGGCGGCAGCGGTGGTCTGGCAGCGCGCGGGCGCCACCGGACTCGCCCCAGGCGAGCTGGAGTGTTGACAAGAATGGACCGGTTCGGGAGCATGTATATGGAGTCATGATTTGCAAATAAATGACTGTCTGCACAATTGTGGCAGCTGAAGGGGCTCATGTCGGATGGACTGAATTATATACGCAATTTGGGTAGGTGTATGGGAACATCGCGAAACGATTGTTTGGAGTTTTGATGGTTTAAAGGACATGGAAACAAAAGCATAAGCGATGGAGAATGATCAATAAAATTTTAATTTGCCTAGTCCATCATCTTTTAACCCCCCTATGATCTCCCATGTGAGAATTATGGGATGCTGGCCGGAGTAGTGATACCGGGTAGCGCGCCAACACCAAGGTACTTGGCGGGTCTCGCATAAAGTATGGACAGTATGTGAGCCACGGTATTGTCCAAGCTCGGTGTGGATAGATGGATTCGCAAGTTGGAGAATAAGGGGGATTTAATGTACAGGGACGCTGAATCCTCTTTTTTGTCTTCTTTTGTTTTCTTTCTTTTTTTTTTCTTTTTTTT